AAATCCGTCATTTTTGATCAAAAAGCCCAATGGTACATACAGACTGGTGACTGCGTTTGGCGAAGTCGGCAAGTATGCTAAACCACAACCATCCCTGATGCCAGATATCGATTCAACCTTACGGTCAATTGCCAGTTGGACTTACATAATTGCTACAGACTTGTCAAATGCCTTTTACCAAATTCCCTTATCCGCGGATTCTATGAAGTTTTGCGGCGTCGCTACCCCATTTAAGGGTATCCGGGTATATACTAGGTGTGCCATGGGTATGCCGGGCTCAGAGACAGCGTTAGAAGAGTTAATGTGCCGTGTGCTGGGAGATTTGATACAACAGGGATTTGTCGCCAAAATTGCCGATGATTTGTACTGTGGGGGGAATACTCCTGAAGAACTCCTAAAGAACTGGCAGGCTGTTCTCAATGCCTTACACACAGCCTCTCTCAACTTAAAGGCCTCTAAAACAATCATCGCACCGAGAAAAACTACCATTCTTGGATGGACCTGGTGTCAGGGATCTTTAACTGCAAACCCTCACAGAATCGCCACCCTATCGACGTGTGCAATCCCTAAGACTATTAAAGACTTGCGAGCCTTTATAGGTGCATACAAGTTCCTCTCACGTGTACTTCCGCAGTGTGCTAAATATTTGAGTCCACTCGATAGCCTAGTGGGAGGAGGAGCTCAGTCTAAAGATATAATCGTCTGGACGGATTACACGACTGCTTCATTCCACCTGGCACAGGCATATTTAAAAGATGCGAAGTCTATCACTTTACCAAGACCCAACGATCAGTTATGGATAGTCACAGATGGGGCAGTCAGAAGCTTTGGATTGGCCTCCACATTATACCTTATTAGAAACGACAAACTACAATTAGCTGGTTTCTACAGCGCGAAGCTCCCTGAACGAAAACATGGATGGAGTCCCTGTGAGATCGAAGCTTTATCTATTGCGGCATCCATCAAACACTTTGCTCCTTATATCATTCAGTCTGGTCACGTAGCTCAAATTCTTACCGACAGTAAGCCTTGTGTTGAGGCTTATTCCAAGTTACAAAGGGGTGAATACTCTACTAGTCCAAGAGTGACCACATTTCTATCCATTGCCAGTCGATATCAAGTTTTCATTCGCCACCTAGCCGGCAAGGTCAACATTCCGTCAGATTTTGGAAGTCGAAATGCTCCAGATTGTGAAGATATGAGTTGTCAAGTGTGCTCATTCATATCGGTTACCATGGACTCTGTTGTTCGTGCCGTGTCTGTGAAAGATATTATGAATGGATCGGTCAGGCTGCCATTTGTTAATCGCTCCATGTGGCGCCAGGCTCAGCAAGATTGTAAGGACCTGCGTCGAGTGCATGCCCACCTTGCACAGGGCACTCGACCATCAAAGAAATCTACCAATATTCATGACGTCAAACGGTACCTCAATACCGTCTCCATCGCATTAGACGGAACCCTAGTCGTTCAAAAGTCTGACCCTTTAGCTGTGACTCGAGACTTAATCGTCATCCCAAGGGACCTGATACTAGGTCTACTCACTGCGTTACACATTCGTTTGGATCACCCCTCAAGCTACCAAACACGTCTTATCGTTCGTAGATATTTCTACGCATTGGATTTAGATCAAGCCGTGGACGCTGTATCTAGAAACTGTCAACAATGTGCAGCTCTTCGCAAAATACCATCTTCTATTATTCAACAAACTAGCGAACCCCCACCTAAAGCTGTTGGAACCTATTTCGCCGCAGATGTTTTATGTCGCGCCAAACAGAAAATTCTCGTACTCCGTGAATGTGTTACCTCCAAAACTTCTGCGACCCTAGTTCCGGATGAAAAGCACCAAACTATCCGGGACGCCCTTCTCCAATTGTGCATTGAGATGGTACCAGTTGAAGGCTGTAGTATTATACGCTGTGACCCAGGCCCCTGTTTTCAAGCTATAGTTAATGACCGCTTACTGAACCAACATGGTGTTTATGTCGAACTTGGCCGAACAAAGAACATAAATAAAAACCCTGTAGCTGAACACGCCATCCAAGAAATCGAGGATGAGATCCTCCGACAGGACCCTTCAGGATCCCCCATCACCCCAGTTTTATTAAGCTGTGTCATTGCGCGCGTTAATTCTCGTCTTCGGGCCAGTGGTTTGTCGGCTAGGGAAATGTGGTGCAAGCGGGATCAAATCACCAATGAGCAGTTACTCATCGATGACAGTAATCTCATACATGCTCAACAAGTGCGACGTCACCAAAATCATCCTTACAGTGAACGGTCAAAAAACCCTCTTGGCAAGTCTGGTCCTCCACAGAACGTCCGTATTGGGGATTTAGTTTATTTATTTTGTGATCGTGATAAAAACAGGGCACGTGACAAATATATTGTCTCGGGTGTTCAGAACGGCTTTCTACAACTTCATAAGCTGAGGAACTCTCAAATCCGCTCGAAGACATACTCCGTCCATCCTACAGAGGTTTACAAGGTAAATATTTCCCCCACAGCTTGCTCCGTTGCTTCAGATGATAGCGAAGATGATACGGTCATCATTCCTTCTGTATTGACCACACCACTCGACCCGACTGCATCAGCTCAACTACCCGACCGTGGCGAGGCAGAAGCATCAAGCAGTTCGTCAGAATCTGATCTTATCGATGATACCCTGAACATCCAGACCCTGTCAAATACAGCAACAAGTGTTTCTTCTAACATACCAGGATTACCACGAAATCGTACACGCCAGTTGCCTAAAAAACTAATAGACTATGTTCTTTATTAAGACTTTTAAGTGTTTTCATGTCTAAAAGTTATTTTTAATTCCATAAATTGTTCTACAAGAAAAGGAAAAAAAGGGTCGCGCCATTATAGTTAATTATATATGTTACAAGTCCCTGTAGGTTACAGGTCCCTTCGTTCATTGTTAGTTCTCGTGATACGAGACATCCGGGTTATCGATTATGTTATTGTAATGGTGGCACGTCAATTAAAGTTATCAACAGTTGTCGCTGTCTGTGTTTGTCCCTGTAGTACTCCCCACTAAACTGTCGCCGCGCTCTTTGGAAAATCCTTAATCCGCAAACAAATCTCAGAGGATGATGCAGTGTATACGGACAACGTTGTTACTCACTTTAAAGGTAAGACTATTTACTAATAACACAGATAATAGAATTGTCAGTATAATAGTAAACAACAATATTATTAATATTATTATTAGTCTATTAATGTTATAAACACCAAGTACAAACAATCCGAACCGTTGAACAAAATACATAAAATCGATTTATGCATTAGTCTAACGGATCGGATCGTTTGTAAATTTGTACTGGTAATTATCATGAATCGACACGACGATCTGAGAATAGCACGTGATTTGACAATCGTAATTACGTTACAGTAAGGGGATTACCGAGTAGCTACGATTGGTGACTTGATAGAGGCTGGAAACGTCATACTCACTGATCTATTAATAGATAGATCAGTGGTCATACTAGACTAGACTAGTCTTGATCATTCAGACTCTTTACTGTTTATGTTCTGTAAAGTAAAGAATCTGGGTGATCGAGACTAGGGTGCAGGCTGTTTCGTAACCTGGCTGTTTCGTACTTAGTTCTTTCGTACCTCGTTTCGTACCTCAGATTGATTCGTACCTTTTCCTACGTGTTGTTGAAATAAAGTTTGAACATGATTCGTACCTCAGATTTATTCATATCTTTTCCTACGTGTTGTTGAAATAATGTTGAAACACGACGACTTAATAATATCCAACCACTACTACAAAAATCTTATAAAAATGGCTGCAACGCGAACTTTATAAAACAAAGATGGCTGCTTGTTGCGCGAATTTTATAAAAATTGCTGCTGAACCAGAATTAGAACCCCAAATAGCTTTGTACTTTTTTAAATATGTTGAAAGAAATTTAAAAATATAAGTTGGCAAAAAAAAACAATCATGGACCTTATTGTATTATAAGGTCCATGACCCAACACACACTGCGATCTGCCTTTGTTGTTTATAATCTGGTGTTGATTACTGAACTCATTAAGCGAGTGAGTAGTGATTCTTATTCTTGACGATAATTGATTGGCGATTGTTAAAACGGTTAAAAAGAGATTGAAAAATATTTAATCTGGTGTTGATTATTGAGTCCATTCAGCTGGGTGACTTGTGATTATTGACTATGAGTTGTGATTTTTGTCAATATTGACCGGCGATTGTTAACTTCAAAGGGTCAGGCGGCGCAAGCAGTTATTGCCAATCCTCCATTTTACCTGCTCTATTGCTGCATAAAGAAGCATCGATATTGCCGTTACAGATAAAGCTTGTGTCAGAGGGGAAGTTAAAAAGATATCAACGTATTGACACTCTAGACCAGGATCGTATTTTTAGCCTGCGGGGGGAATACGCACAGAACCAGATATCAGCCAGCTCCCTGTTAAGAAGATGCGCGTTTGTTTACGGCCCAACTGCCGCTCCTGTTGCACAATGGCGGTCCCAAGCCCGGGTGCAAAAGGAGGAGGGTTAAGCTTAAGTGCATTGTAAAAGTTTAAATCAACGAAGGTACGAAACAGCTCATGTGAGGAAGCTTAAGTTTAAGTACGTGTAAAACTTGAAATTTCCGAAGGTACGAAACAGCTCGCGTGAGGTACGAATGAACTAAGTACGAAACAGCCAGGTTACGAAACAGCTGACATCCCGAGACTACATACTAGACTAGTTCATTTAGCTCTTAATTGTTCTGGTTCAAACTTTAACATTGCGCTGGGTGATGGAGTCTTGTAACCTCGTGGGGGAGAACGCTAGATCGAAGCCGGTCCTTAGCATTTTATGACGTCATATGTGGATTATGGGTTAGGGTAAGGGTTAGGCTTGGCCCAGGGTTAGGGTGAGGGCTAGCCCTGTCTACATCTCGAGACTGACGAAATCTGCAGGTCCTAGCCCTTACCATAACCCTTATCTTAACCCACAATCCTCATATGACGTCATAAAATGCTAAGGACCGGCTTCGATCTAGCGTTCTCCCCTCGTGGAACTCACTAAAGGATTCTGGGAAAAGACGACATTTTGCTGGCGCCATTAAAACGAATACCGGTACTGAAATAGTTGAATGGAACGTTTATTGAATGAAAAATTCATTGATTGAAGTAAATTTTACCCAGTGTAAGTTCATGTACTATATGTGTCACACTGTACGCTAATGCTTAAAAAATGTATGAATGTCACGTTTGTAAACACAAATGTACGTCAATAAAGTCTTATTGTCGGCATTATGCATTTCACAGAAATGCTGCAAACGTCAAATTTCCATGTGCTCTAACTTCTTGTGGTAAATTTTGCAAGACATACAATGCATTGCACACTCATATGTCTAGATATCACACCAAACACCAAAAAAGTCTCAGATTATCAAGGTTGCCAGCATTGTCTTCTCCAAATTCGTCACAATATAAATGCTCCGTGGCTGGCCGTCAAGAGGCTTCTGATAGCCCACCATCTTTGATTGCCCATTTAAAAACACATTTGGTTAAAGGAGATCAAATATGCTGTCCAATATCTCCGTGTAAAAGTTTGTTCAAAATAAAGTCCTCATTTTCTTCTCATTTGACACGAAAACATCACAATTGGACAAAGGACAGCTTCAATCGACAAAGTGTTGATGACAATATTACTTCTGATTCAGAGTATTCTGCAGTTGACAATTATCAGTTAGATGATGTTGACCAGGAGGGGTCTGTTGACAATATCGATATCGATGAATACGATACCATAGCAGATGAAAATGATGAAGATATTAGTGTAGAAGATTATGAAAGTAATTTCATGACCAGCTTTGCTTTATTTTACTTAAAATTACAAGCTAAGCAATTAATCCCTCAGTCCACAATTCAGTTCATAGTCGAAGAAATTGGCAATCTGTATTCTTTAGGTTGGAAATATATGAGAAAAATGTTAAAAAGGAAACTGGTCGATCAAGGACTCTCCAATGATGTGGCAGAACAGTTGCTGGAGGAAATTCAAGATCATAATCTGTTTTTGCACGCAACCAACCTTGAGGACTGTCCCTTTCGTTCAACTTACAGAAGAAATATTTATTACAAATCAAAATTTAGACATGTTCCTCCAGTAAAGTGCAAAATTGGTCAAAATATTGAAGGCTCCGTGCATAGTTACTATGTGCCTTTGGAAAAACCCATTGCCTCTCTCTTTCAAGACAGTTCGGTTTTAGATCAGTACAATAATCCAATTATAAATTTTAATAGCAATGAGTTGCATGATATTCATGACGGCACACATTTAAAAAAACAATGCCTTTTTTCAGGATAATTCTCGTATACAAATTCTGCTCTATCAAGATGCGTTTGAAATAGTGAATCCAATAGGTGCAGCAAAAACAAAACATAAGATGATTGGTATTTATTTCACCTTAGGTAACTTTCATCCATGGAATAGATCTAAAATTGATACAATTCAGCTTGTTGCACTGTGTCGTGACAAGGATTTATCTGAATTTGGTGCTGAAGTGGTGTTCAAAAATTTCATTACTGATTGTAAACGGTTTGAGAATGTAGGGTTCCTGAACATCAATGGAATAACTGGTCCTTTATTTGGTACAGTAATATCTTGTTTGGGGGATAATTTAGGTTCACATTACTTGGGTGGATTTGTGGAAAACTTTTCAGGTGAATATTGGTGTCGATTTTGTCTGCATGCAAAGAGTGATAAAGATAATTTACCTAAAGAACCAAGAACTGTACAAAATTACAAGGATTGCCTGAAACATCTGAAAGATCATCCTGATATAAAAACTTATAAAGGGATTAAAAAAGATTCTGTCTTGAATAAATTATCTCACTTTCATGTATGTTCTGGCTTTCCTCCTTGTATTGCACATGACCTATTTGAAGGAGTGGTTGCTTATGACTTGCAGCTTATAATTGATTATTTTGTCAAAGTTAAATGGTTGACATATGATTACATGAATAGTCTTATTAAAAAATTTCCATTTAAATTGAATGATGCAGTTGATAAGCCTTGTATATTGAAACCTAACAAGACCAAATTGCCCGGAAATGCAATGCAAATTTGGTGTCTGTTGAGACTTTTCCCTATGCTATTTGGAACAAATATCCGTGACAGAACAGACAGTGTGTGGAATCTATTACTATCACTCCAGGAAATGGTTCTTTATCTTTGATCTCCATCTATCAGTTTGGGACAAATCAGTTATATGGAGGAATTGATTGTAATTTATATGAGTGAACGTAAACGTTTGTTTCCAGCAGTAACCTTAAAGCCAAAACATCATTATGTTCAACATTACCCGTTGCTGACCTTGCAATATGGTCCTCTGATTAGAGTTTGGACAATGCGAATGGAATCAAAACATACTTATTTCAAGCGTTGTGTAAGAAGGTTTCAATATTTCAAAAATATAGGATACACCCTATCTGAACAACAGCAATATTTGCAAGCATATTATTCTAGTGGTTGTCTATTTGACAGTGAACTTTTTATACATAATTCAATCCCGTTTAAGTTAGAGAATTTTAATAGTACTGTACAAGAAAGTATTAAAAACAGCGAAATGAATATAGAAAGATCTCTAGTCTGTGACAGCATTGTTTACAGGGGTATTACCTACTCCAAGAATGACCATCTTATACTATTAGATACTTCTGACCGTTTCCAAATTGGGAAAATAGTTCTTCATTTAGTGAAAGACAATGAACCGTATTGCATTGTTGAAATGTTTGAGGCCATTCGCCTTCCTAAGTTTGGAGTTCATAAATTGGAACCAATAAACGTCAACTGCTTTAAACTGCTAAAATTTACTCATGAAATATTTAATTATTATCCATTACCTACTTATTTGGCATTTGGGGTCACTTGCATAGTATTAAAACACACTGTACCAATAAGATCATAAACAGGTGTATGTGGTTAATTTCTAGTGTTTCAGCATGGATATTTCACACTTCATTAAAGTGACCTGTAACGGTCGCAAGGTGGCAGTGCATTGTGATGGGAACACTTATGATGAATTTTTGAAGAATGGTAAGTTGAAAAAACTGTTTCCACCAAAATTACAAAACGTCAATTCAATTTGCCAGAAACACTTCATTATTTCAAATGCAAATGAATGTTTAGGCTAAATGAAATATGGCATGGGCAATAAGGGTGAATATGCTTACTACCGATTTTCAACTGTTGAGATCTCTTAACATGCTGTGCATAATGAAACGCTAGTCTCGGGTTGTTGTCTTGTGTGCGAGTTAATTTGTCGTGTCAAGTTAATATCTCAGATGGGCCTTTTTTTGCCAAGGAGGGTGAATTTGCCAATGAACACAATCCCATTTTTTGTCCCCTCCGATGGACTAGAACAATTTTTCTTGTCAACACTCACCTGAAAAAATTCACAAGGTCAACTTATGATATGCTAACCCTGGCACCACCACTGTGAGCGGCAAGTCTATATCGGTTTGTTTGAATCCAGTACAGTCATCTATATTTCGTCCTAAAACTCCTAATGTGTACAATTGTTAGAATACCGTGTACAAGAGTATTCAGAAGACGAGGAGTAACATGACATCTGTCCTTATAAACCTGCTGAATTTGCAAACTCGATGTCCTCGTTCAAATTGCTGAATTATTTGTGGTTCTAGTCCTGCTTTACAGTTGACGCTCGGTTCAGTAATGATGAAATACATTCCATTACATATTTGTATACACACTAACAACATATTTTCTATTTATATTTGTATTTTCAGTGAGTGAAAAGTTTAACATCCCTGAAAATAACATAGAGATCACTACCAGTGATAATACAGAGGTCGATAATGTGTACTTCAACGCAATTGTTAAATCTGTAGACCAACTTAATGCAAGGGATCGTACTGAATGTAAGTAGTTTTTAGTCCCCTACCGGTGAATCCAAGGGGACTATAGGTTTTGTGCCCGTCTGTCAGTCAGTGCATTGGTTAAAGTTTTGTGATGGCTTACCATTCGCTTAAGAATGATGTTAGGATTCTGATTCTTTGCATAGAAGTTCTTTATGGGTCTAACGTGAATGCTGTGGAGTAAAATTGCAAAAAAGATTATGATTTTCTTACGTGTTCATGGACACAATAACGCTTATCTCATTTGCTTCTGTCAAATTCATAAGATTGTTTTATTTCAGGTGAATCTAAAGCATCAACTGAATTTAGTCTACAATCACCTCTACAATCGCCAACGTCGTCAATAAGTTCCAGGAGCTGTATCTCTCCGTTGGAGACTGGGACTCAAGCCACCATACAAATTCCATGGAATAAGATTCCGTCGAGTCTTAATCAGGCATTTGAAGAGGAAGAGCTAATAACGCGAAAACAACGATGTTTGTTAATAAAAATATTGTGGGATGAGATAAAACAAACCAATCAAAGAATCTCGAGGAAAATCCTGAGAGAAGTGGCGGCAAAAGTTGTACGAAGACATCCAAGATGTTTCGAAAAACGGATGGACGGAACGATTTTGACTGACGGTATCGAAGAACTGATGTTAGCTTTAGAAGCGAAAAAAGACAACGAAAACCGACCAGAATCTTGTGAAAAATCCAAGAAACCACGCTTAGACATTGAAGTCATAAATTCAGAGTCATTTAATCAAAATGAACTTAAGGATTTGTTTTTAAAAGATAAACTGACTGATGTGGAAAAACAGAAAGTTCGTGAAACAATGATATCCACATATCAGGCACAAAGAATAGATTTCATCGACAAAGATACAACCATATGCATGGTTAAAGCAAGTTGGCCATTTATATTTCAAAGTGATTACTTTTTTAAACACTTCGAAATGTTAACCAGTGTTAATTTACTGAAGTTGTTCAATGGAATCGGAGAAATACAAAGTGTGCGAATCTATAATTATCTTGTTGCCCAGAAGACCTGTAATCTTTCAGAAATACAAAATCTGCAGGAACAGCCAGATATAACCTGGACATATCAGATGTTGACCCAGGTTTTTAAAGAGGATCTTAAGGAATTGATAGTATGTCAGGTATGTTATACTATACAGCTTTTTCAAATCGGTATGTATTGGCATACATTTATAAACTTCCAACTTCTACTTGGTGTATAAGTTTATATCCAGATGATCCAGTTGGTCACATTTCAAAAGTAACTTGCAGAGTTATTGTCCTTATCCCAAAATTATTATGGGTTTCTGTAAACATGCTAACACCTAGGGCATTTAACTGATTTTGTTCATAAATAGGTGTGTAGAAGATCTAATGTACAACTGTTGATTATTTTTTTGTTTTATTAAAGCGACTATGTTGAAGACTTATATCCCTATATACACGCTAATATGATGATAACATGAAGAAGTAATATATAATTAATAGATTCGTGCAATTACAATTTAGTATATTCAGTATTTTTCTGTCTAAAATTTAACTTCGTTTTATTTAGGATTCATTGAAGACAGATAAACTTCCGTGCACACCATGCATAGTTGGTATTGGTAAGTATTGATATTGTCATAAAATATGTTACGTCTTATCTCAGCAGAATGTTTCTCGAAGTAATTATCAAATTTGTCATGGGCTTCGCTGGCTCAGTATGGTCCTTGCTCGCTAACCAGGAGGTCATCCGGATTTTCCAAACCGGCTTGCCCTTGTCAGTGGCACAGACCCTAGGGGCTGGCAAGGAATAGCATATGTCATTCGGATGAAGCGAAAAACCAAGTTCCTGTCTACTGCATCAGGACGCACGTTAAAGAAATGAAATGGAGTTTTGACGTCCCATTTTTATGTACTGTTAAGGCTAATTAGAGATGCTCAGACAGTTTGAAAATGGCGAGGAGTTGTCACCGACTGAAATAAGTGCATAAAAGTAGAACGTTAAACCCCATATTTCATTTGCTGGTTCATTTGAAATTACATGAAATTTTGATTTTATGAGCTCATGAACTCAAAACATTTTTGATCAACTCTTCCACTACACTTTCACTCACCAGATTTCTGCCATGACGTGATGTCATATTTGTCATTGTTGGGTCTAGTATGTCCGAGTGAAGAGTCCTATCTAAGTTCTACATCTTCTTGTAGCACCAATATACAGACTGTAAATGCCTATGTATGCTTTTAAATTTGGCTGGGGAGATTTTGATTAGCATTTAAAACATATGGTCAGCTCTACACATTCAAACTTCATGCTCACAGTATGTGATAGATTGAAATGAAATGAAATAGAGTTTAACGTCCCATTTTTGTGCACTGTAAGGCTAATTAGAGACGAGTATATGCCAAGTGTGTGCAATGAGGGTGAATTTTGCCAAGGCAGCGGCACATGGCCTACTCTTACAACCGATTTTAACTGCTGAGGTGTCTCCTACGTGATCTATCAAATGAACACGGGACTCAGTTTATCGTCGTCTCCGATGGACTATAACGCTTCTCCATGTCAGCCCTCACCTGGCAAGAGGGAACCCAGTCTGAAAAATTCACAAGGTTGACCCCGACCTCGTCGGGATGCAAACCCGTGACCTTCAGCAAGAGGGGGAAGCGTCCTAACCTTTCGACCACACCGAGCCCCATGTGATAGATTGAACAAATGCTAGGATTTTTCTACATTGTATTTTCTAGGGCCATCTATATTTCATACTTCTAAATATGTGATAGTTGTGGATAAAGAACCCGTCACTACAGATATTACATCACTTTCAGTGGCAATGGCCATGCAATTTGCAGCCTTTTTTGTCCCCCGCCTTTCGAAGAAAGCAGGGGACTATTAAAATGGGTTCGTCCGTCTGTCTGTCCGTCTGTCCGTCCGTCCGTCTGTCTGTCCGTCACACTTTTTGGGACACAATAACTCTCTTCCTAATTGAGCTAGAATGTTCAAACTTGGTGTATGTGTTTATTAGGTCAATGCCTTGATGGAGTTCGAAGATGAGCATTTTCCGCTTAGGGTAAGCAGAGATAAGCAATTTGATTGGTTGATGCTTTGGGACACGATAACTCTCTTCCTAATTGGGCTAGAATGTTCAAACTTGGTGTATGTGTTGATTGGGTCAATGCCTTGATGGAGTTCGAAGATGAGCATTTTCCGCTTAGGGTAAGCAGAGATAAGCAATTTGATTGGTTGATGCTTTGGGACACGATAACTTTTAATTGAGCTAGAATGTTCAAACTTGGTGTATGTGTTTATTAGGTCAATGCCTCGATGGAGTTCGAAGATGAGCATTTTCCGCTTAGGGTAAGCAGAGATAAGCAATTTGATTGGTTGATACTTTGGGGCACGATAACTCTCTTCCTAATTGAGCTAGAATGTTCAAACTTGGTGTATGTGTTGATTAGGTCAATGCCTTGATGGAGTTCGAAAATGAGCATTTTCCGCTTAGGGTAAGCAGAGATAAGCAATTTGATTGGTTGATGCTTTGGGACACGATAACTTTAGTTCTAATTAAGTGAGATTGATGAAACTTGGTGTATAGTTTCATGACAGTAATACCTTGACTAAGTTTGATAATGAGCATTTTCTGCTCAGGGTAAGCAGCAATTTGATTGGTTGATACTTTGGGGCACGATAACTCTCTTCCTAATTGAGCTAGAATGTTCAAACTTGGTGTATGTGTTGATTAGGTCAATGCCTTGATGGAGTTCGAAGATGAGCATTTTCCGCTTAGGGTAAGCAGAGATAAGCAATTTGATTGGTTGATGCTTTGGGACACGATAACTTTAGTTCTAATTAAGTGAGATTGATGAAACTTGGTGTATAGTTTCATTACAGTAATACCTTGACTAAGTTTGATAATGAGCATTTTCTGCTCAGGGTAAGCAGAGCGATACGCAATTTGATTGGTCGAGACTTTGGAAAACAATAACTCTCCTACTTTGATTGTTAGACTATAAGTAAAGATATACTGTTTGATTGTTCAATACTTTGTAAAAGATAATTTGTGATAAATTTATATGTGTCCTCTAATTATTTTCCTATTTCGGCGGGGGACATCAGCCTCACTGTTGGCTTGTTATTTTCAATATTTGCTTTCCGAAAAAAGTTATCAATACCATGGATGCTTTCCAAAGGTATGTAAAGTTATGGTACTTGAGTGAATCTCATGGTGGCTGATTTCGACCACTTAGCGTCTTCGCTTCCAATCAGACGACTTTGTATCTTGACTTTCCATTTTAGTATTATTGAAAAAAACGAAGAACCAAAGACACGAAGTGGAAATCAGCCACCATAGAATCATTTTAGCTTTCACATTTGAAAAAAAAAATATAGTGATTTGCAGGATTTTTTAAAGTTGAAAAAGGAAATGGTGCTATTTGAAGTGTGTGACTGTGAACCCCATTCTTTGCATCGTTTGGTATCCATTTGTTACTTTATTTCTCAATATATTTCACTGGGAAATCTTCAGAAAACTCGATATCCAACTCTGGCATTTGACAGATTTTTGCATATTTGTCCAACGAACAGCTTTCAAAACATTCCTATCAAATAGGGTGATGTTTTACCAGTCATTTGATTTGAGACCATCCATCAGTATTTACGAACTGGTGTTCTGTTGATGTTCGTTGCGATTCCAATTGGATACATATCCTCTCCAAAACCTACTTCAACAGTCCACTAATAAATTTATACATTTGGTTAAATCACCCCTGTTATTGACAGTGTTTAAAGGGAATATTGTTTATGAAAATATGCCACAATTGGCTACAGAAATCTACAAAATATGAAAATCCCCATTATCTGCACTGAATATACTAGGTTACTTGATCTCTCCGGTATATGGAGGTCTACAATGTATATCTATTTTGAACCCTATTCATAATTGATGGATCGTAGATCACATGCACAATTCTCTTTAGTCCTACACCAAGAGCCTATTTGTCCAGGCATAAGTATGAATATGTCAAAGGGTTCTGAATAGATACAAAAACGTTTGGGTTCTTTGCCTGCCACAACTTTAATTTACATGTAGACTAGATTATTACAGTGCTCTATGAACTGTGCCAGTACATAATCATTGTGAAAGGTACTTATAATTTATAGTTGTCTATTACAGGTTCATATTGAAGTTTAAAAATGAGAACACTCCCAAAAAGTTGAAGAAAAAGACCTGTGTCAATGATCAAGTTCTTAAATTTGCGTCCGATGTAGCGAGGTACGAGGCCTTCCTTGAATGTGGAGAGGTATCCGATTAAAGAAATTTTTACAATTTTTGCAATTAACATTTTTAGTGCCGTTACACCCCTCCATATCATTATCGTGGCCTAAAGTGATAAACATTTTTGTGAAATCATTAGTTACAAGTATGTTTGTGATGTCTTAGTGATGAGTAATGATGATGTCATTAGTGATAAGCATTTGTTCATGTTATAAGTATGTTTTTTATATCATTAATGATGAGTATATTGATGTCAATAGTGATGTGTATGTTTTTGATTGTCATTCTAAGTATGGTTGTGATGGCTATTAATGAGGAGTATGTTTCATGTTCACATTTGTTTTAATGTGAGATATTGTTTTTAATGTGTGTAAAGTTTTATTTCATTATACTTTATCAAGGTATGATAACTTTTAAAATGATTTTCTATAACAATTATATACATATGGAAAAAAGTTAAATCGACACCTATATTTTTCAAAATGTCTTGTCTTACGAGGTTTGGCGTTGAAAGCCTGATAACGTAACCTCGGAAAAACAAATGTGGTTTGCAAGAACACTTCTTTGACCATAAGAAAACCGGAAAAGTTTATCCAGCTTTGATATTTAATCATGATTCTGAGAAAAAATCCAAGATGCTGTATTTGTCAAAAAAAAAGAGTCAAAATAAGTATGAAGGTACAGAGTCAGAAACATCATGATTGTTGATGAAAAATGTCATTTTGAGTCCAAAGATGACATTCATGACACAAATCATCAATATAGCCGGTAAACCCGGCACATGTCTGGATGACAGCTTTTATCCTTCGTCTCATTCCTTCTGTTCAGGTGGGTTCAGTGCATTTTCTCGACACCCAAAAATGTCCCAATAATGCTCAAGTGGGTTTAGGTCTCGACTCATAGCTGGCCAGAATTACTGGAGGAATGATGGGAAGGGTAAAAGCTATCATCATGGCACGTGCCAGGTTTATTCGCTGTTGATGATTTGTGTCATGAATGTCATCTTTGGACACAAAATTACATTTTTCATCAACAATCATGATGTTGAATTGTGTTTCTGACTCTGCACCTCCATACTTATTTTGACTCATTTTTTTGGCCAAATACAGCATCTTGGAATTCTCCTCAGAATCATCATTAAAATCTCGAAGCTGGATAAACTTTTCCGGTTTTCTTATTGTCAATGATGTATTCTTGCAAACCACATTTGTTTATCCGATGTTACGTTATCAGGCGTTCAACACCAAACCTCGTAGAATAAGTCATTTTTAAAAAGTTTTATTTCATTATACTTTATCAAGGTATGATAATTTTTAAAGTTGTTTTTCTATTGAAATTGTTTTTCCATCAAATATCTGTATCTGAACATTAATTATATGTATATTTAAAACTTAAGTTCACATCATTTTCTGTAGTTCACATCATTTTCTGTAGTTGAATGCACAAATAAGATCCAATAAACAGATAAACTAAATCAGTTTTGTTATTTCACAGAAAAATGAGAATAATTTCTGGCAGTTATAAAAATTATGTTTTTCGACATAACTGGAAGAAAAAATTCCTGCAGCTGATTTACCAGAATTTCCATTCTATTTTCTGTTAATAGAAGGAAATATTGTTAGTCATTCTGTATTTTAACAGATTTTGTCGTAAAATATTTCTGTTATTTAAAGCAAATATTTTACGAGAAATTCTGTTATATAACTGAAGGCAACATTTTAATTCTGGTAAATCAGCTGCCGGAAATTTTCTGTTAATTAATGGAAATTTTTTTTACAGTGTATACTCAAATGTGTGTAAAAATACAGACGTTTCTGTCCAAATACAGAAATACAACTAAAACAACAGATTTTATGGTAAAAATACGACTTATTTATCTCAAGTAGAAGGAAATTATACATTAACTGATGTAACAAGAGACATTATCTATTGCTATTGTCCAGTTGTCCAAGTAGAAAGAAATTATACATTAACTGATGTAACAAGAGACATTATCTCACGTCAGATGCTATTGTCCAGTTGCACGCTTGCCACACAATATAAAATATAACTGATGTAATAAGAGACATTATCTCGTGAATAAGGTGAAAGGAAGGAATTCTTAAATCGTGACCGGGTTTGAAGCAGGTTAACAGTTTAAATCCATCATTTCACGTGGGCCTAAAACCGTAGGAAAATAGATCAAAGTAAGTATGTAAACAAATTCATAATTATTGATTAGATTTAAACCACAAAAGATTAATATTCACCATCAATATAGCTATTATAGCAATTATGAATTTTACTGAATTCTTCACAACCAGGCTTACCACATGCTGATAATACACACAGGATCACTTAAAGCGGTACTAGGTAATGTTAGATAAAGAGCTGACAGTTTTCGCTGTAATCGTTAGACAATAGATAATGATAAAGGAACTGACAATTTCAGTCAAATTATCGCCATTAAAAGCACACCGTAGACTCGATTATCATTACTACCGCAAGATAATCCAGTCTCGATTATCCATATTTAAATTAAATCATTAAATGTCACTCGTATTTAAATCTGTTGAAAATCTCCAACATCATATGGCATCGAGAGTTGATTATGTTCGTATCATTAGGATCTATATCAAAAAAGTATTCCATTAATCTTATTTTTCTACAAAATTTGAAAAGTTCTGAATTAAGTAATGATTTGTTAATCATTGGAGTGGGGGTAAATTTTAAACCCCTATTTAATAATTTTGTTTCATTCTCTTACAATTTATATGAACTTAAATTTATTATCTTAATATCCTTTTCTTTTATTTCATCCTGCTCCTGATTACTCTGCTCCTGTCTAAACAATATTCATCCATTTTGTTTTCTGCCATAAATCTCGGTCTTGGAGATATATTATTTTCTCGAGATTCCATCCATAATTTTGTGGCGATCTTCAACTGTTAGTGTTCCGTGGTGATCTTATAAAGTTTCTGTTAGGGCTTTGACCCCTATACCACGATTGTGTATTCCCGTAATTATAATTTAAAAAGTTTCTGTTAGGGTTGTTACGTCTATATCTTGGCTAAGGTTTACTGTATTTATAAATTTATATTCATATCTTCTTTCGTTTCTGTATCTTGGTTGTGTTAGATGGATTTCATTTGGCGAATGTGTCCCATCCATTTTACCCTGGCGCAAGTGGCGCGATCGTGCCGAGCTTCTACAATTCACCACATGGTTGAGAAGGCGTCTGTATTATCAAGTCACATACGCTCTATCCAGGGCCCGAACCCTGAACTACAATCCCGAGGTAGCTGGCCGGCTATAGCTTGAAGCGCGACAACCCCTCCCACTTCCCAGATTACTCACTAGGGGGGTAGATATGGGAAATATGTAGTGGTAGTGTCCTAAAATGACGAAGATATGTTATATATACTATTCAAAAAAAGTAGGGGATATTTGATTTTGGGGGCATAATACTAAAATATGCAAATGACTACGAAAAAAGTCACTATAGAACCTAACAGAAGAAACATTTCCAGTTACATGTGACGCCCAAACGCACCAATAGCTACCGCATGGAATGCAGGTGATGCTTGGGATCATCATGGGGGTCCAACCCAAGATTTGCACTCTGACTTTGAATGTTACAGTCATTGTGGCATTGAATTCCAGGGTGGAAACATCAGTTTAATTGTTTTAGTGACCAGAAAACAAATTTTGATATGCGTCGGCTTACCCAAAATGAAAGGTTACGTGCCCTTGGCATGCTACAGATCGGCACAACACAGGCGGTTGTGGCGCGGACGATGAATGTTTCTCAGTCTGTCATAAGCAGGCTATGGTCCAGATACCGTGATACACAATCTGTACAGGACAGACCACGCTCAGGTCGACCAAGGGCGACAACTCAAGCCCAGGATCGATTTATCCGTACCTTGGCCTTGAGAAATCGTGTCATCACAGCAAATCAGATCAGCGCTCGTCTTCAAACGGACACTGGTGTGAGAGTGAGTGGCCAGACGATTCGGAATCGACTGCATAGGGGTCACCTTCGCGCCCGACGTCCTCGCGTGATCCCTTGTTTGAGAGATCATCACATTCAGGCAAGACGTCGTTGGTGTAGGGATCGTCAACACTGGGATAATCGACGCTGGAGCAATGTGATGTTTTCAGATGAGTCAAGGTTCACTGTTGATTTTTTGGACAGACGTAGGAGGGTGTGGCGTCGTCGAAACGAGCTCTTCCAAGACGTTAACGTCATCAGACATGATCGATTTGGGGGTGGTTCTGTTATGGTGTGGGGAGGCATCACTGTTGCTGGAAGAACGGCTTTACATGTTGTTGCAGGGCGTGTTACAGGCCAGTACTACCGGGACAACATCTTGGCAGTCCATGTTGTGCCGTTCGCACGACGTCATGGCCGCCGTTTCATCTTCCAGGATGACAACGCAAGATATCACAGGGCCAGGATCGTTACAGGTTACCTCCAACAACAGAACATCACCACATTACCTTGGCCAGCACTGAGTCCCGACCTCTCCCCCATCGAGCATGTCTGGGACATGCTTGGACAGAGGTTACGTCAACGTCAACAACGTCCTGCCAATGTCCAAGAACTTGCTGCTGCGTTGCAACAGGAAGGGGACAATCTGGACCAAAATGACCTTAGACGTCTCATTAGGAGTATGCCACGTCGGATCAATGCTTGTTTGGCAAACAGAGGAGGATTTACCCGTTACTGACTTGGTTGTGATGCTGTGGTAACTTTGCTGTTTGACCCCGGGTATCATTTTACCCTTATAATGGTCAGTCTGTGCCTTACTTAGTCTAACGATCATTTGGAATAAATCGATGAATGTGAACTTCATTTCATTTTGTCATTTGTTTCTTCGTCAGTTTCATTAGGTGACTTTAATAACACTTAAAAATCAAATATCCCCTACTTTTTTTGAATAGTATATATGAAACAAATATTCCAAAAATAGCAGATGCTATTGTCCAGTTTCACGCTTGAAACACAATATAAAATATAAGATGTAATAAGAGACATTATCTCACGTCACGTGAATAAGTTAAAAGGAAGGGATTCTTAAATCGTGACTAATAGTTTAAATTCATCATTTAAACAAGTTTCGCGTTGGCGTCAAACCGTAGGAAACTAATTCTCAGTAAGTATGTAAACAAATTTATAATTATTGATTAGATTTAAACCACAAAAAGATTAATATTTACCATCAATATAGGAATGAATATGCAAAGTTCCAAGATGATCCATTCAGATTTGCAGCCGATAAATACAAAAAGTGAGTGTGGCTCTGCCCGTGGGGGTTGGGTATGTAACAATATAAATAGGTACCATCCTGTTATTGAAATGACAACATCAATAGTTGCCGTCCTTAGGGTATAAGGACGCTAAAGGCAAAAATTGGGCGTGACTCTGCCCCTGGGGGTTATTATCACTACAACAATATTTGTTATTCGAAACTTAGCTCCGCTTCTTCATTTTTAAACGAAATCATAAAATGGTAAAGTTTAGATAATCGTTTTTCTAACATTTGGAGCCAAATTAATACCAGCAAAAACCCGATTTACCTCTTAAATAATGCATCTTTACGATTCGATTTATTTGATTTCGAAAAATTGTTTTAGGCTCTAGATTTAACCATGAATGAGAACAAGACATAATATCCAATTACCAATTCAAGTATGTTAATTATACCCAATAAACACGCCATTTTCGATATCGCTAAACAGAAATTATAATTTTGTAAAGCACCATAAAATGTTAAAGTGAATATCAGATGAAAGAAATAAATATTATTTGAAAACAAATTATGTTTCTACAGTTTGTCAAGCCGCAACCTATGTGAACATATCCGACACAGCTATTATGACGTTTAGTGATTTGCCTACAAACACTGAGATAAAAATACCGACTGGTATTAGTATTGTTAACAAGAATGGTAGCACCTGTCTGTTAGTAGCTGATCCATCCAAGTATGAAATACTAACTAAAGATTGCGACCCAATTCTCAATTTTCAAATAAAATCCGTGAAATTAAAAGATGCCGGTGATTATACCTGTTCGATAACTGATTGTAAACAAAGATTGATTGTTTTAGGTGAGTATAAGGTATTCTATACCGACATTGTAATCAACGGTTGGTTTCTAAACAATGATTGTTTGTCTGGGCTGATTGTAAACCATACAGGTTGGTTATACTGATTGTAAAAATTCTAAAATCTGTTGTTTAGGCTGGGTAGAAAAAAAGGCAGGTTATTAAAACTGATAAAATTTCTGGTTGTTTAGTAACTACGGGTATCGGCTGTCGTACACACAAAATGATTTTAATTATATAAATTATTTTCATGGTATTGATTAAGTAACATCTTGATTTTATCGATTTTAAAGGTACACCAACAAAGCCTGTTATAACAGCGTCTACAGACGATCTAAAGAGTGGTGGGGACCTGTCTTTAACTTGTGCAAGTGACTCGACTACACAGCCTTCAGACCATGGTCTAGCCTTTACTTATACATGGCTGGAGAATGAAATAAAACGACCGGAAGACACGTTATCTTTATATCTTAAAGATATGGATAAATCAATGTTTAATAACAGTTATATATGTATGGCACGTGAAAGACAAGGAAAACTGTCATTACCAAGTGAAGAATTTTTACTTCAACTGCGATGTACGTATAGAAAGATAACCCTGGATAATATAATGACTTCCATTAGACAAATGGATAATATTAGGACGTCCATTGTTACTCGCTATTTTATATAAACGAATTATCTTTTTGACTTCTGTGTCTTTAACTTTTTTCTACTAAATATTTAATTTAATTTATTTCAGATAGGGATACTTTCATCGTTGCCGTGAATGGTTATTCAAGTCCATCGGTGGTTCTTCGGAAGGGCGATACACTTAATTTTACATGTCATAGTGATGGTTATCCGGTTCTTGATAGTATCAATATCCAGAAACAGGGTGTTACATTTGAAACTATTCTGGAATCCAACATCGCAAATTATACTAAGATCGACATTGACTGCTTAGATAATAGAGTACTGAGATGTATAGGCCGTGGCAGAAGTGGGTATATATATTCCAACACGATAACTGTCAAAATAGCATGTAAGTATTCTAAATTACAGTCATGTAGGTATTACACGGGATGTAGGCATTACGATGAATATAGGTATTCAAAAATAGCATATGTAGATATTATAAACAGCCTTTAGTATCAACACGTGCCACAGTAGTATGGACCAGAAAATGAGTACGTTGTCATCAAAGCCATCCTGGAATCTCATCAATCGATGCGGAATTGTCCAAGGAACCTGCATGCCAAGTTTCTTATATGTCATCGAGTTATAATCAACTTGTTAAAAATATTCTTCAGTTTACATCAGCTTACCAACTTTGAGTAGACACGCATAAAATGTGTGGATTATTTGTTCTTGTCTTGGCAATTAATGTACCACTAACCGACGGTCGAATATGGAGAGCGGAAACGCAAAAAAGCTTACCACATCCGACGTGTAACCCATTCTTTTCTAGACTTTTGTTTGTCTGTGATCGTCTAGGTTTTTCTCTCCATTCCCTACTACACATGTTTTGTTGGCCTGTGATTGTCTAGGTTTGACACTCGTGTAGATAATATTGTAATTCTCTTCTCTTGAACTTCAACGTTGTGTACGTATTTACAGCAGCCAAATCGTTTGTTTATCAGGAACAACAATACAACAGTTTCTTGTATACATCTTTATATATCAAAGTAGAACAATTGGTTATAAGCATCAGGCGGTGTCTAATTATTCGAGCCCTGGGTTTTCTCTTTTATATGCCTAATGACGTCAAGAATTACCCAAATATGGACATGGGCTTTAAAAGAATATCTGGTAATTTTCTATCACTAGTATTTTACAAACAATAACAAATTAGCATTGACTCTAGACCTTATGTACTGTTTTTCTCCGAATATTGAACATAAATTAATTGCATTTTAGATAAACACATTAGCCTTGATTCTAGACTTCATGTACTGTTATTCTCCTAATATTGAAAACAAACTTTTCATTCGCTAAACCAACATCTATATAATTATATAATTATTCATGCAACATACAAACCCTTCTGATTACTATACGATTAACATTCAAGATTATATATGATCAACAATTGTCTCTCAACTTAAAAAGAATAAAACTGAATAATTGAAATAAATGTGGTCAATATTCTATTTTAATATCAGTGTGTAATTTTATTTACATCCCACTTCTACTCGTTGCTACTGGCAACCTTTGATAAAACTGTCCTGTTTATTTTCAATACATGCTTAAGAGTATCCGTGTATCAGAAATGTATAGAAAGAGTACTGTTCATTTCTGAGACACGGATACTTTTATACCGTTTTAGATACCTATCAAGCAATAAGTAGCGGACGTTTAGTCCGACCCAGATCGCAATTGATAACGATAGCTCTATTCAATGTATACGGGCAATGTACATGAAACAACTAGTCAAAATCATAGTAACAAAACAAAATGGGGGGAACTACATGGCAGTTCAAAAACATATACAATGACATTAAATTAACATAACAACATATTACAAAAATCAATTATTATACATATCAATTGGCATCTATTTCATAATTTGGTTTAATTTATATTAATTTGCAAAATATATAAATTAGAATATTGAATAATTATTTTAATTAATTGTGATGATAGAAGGCGCAGTTCTCTTGCTGGACACTTCACAGGCATTGAAAATAAGCAGGATGAAAAAAAAACGCCTAGAAAGTCATAAACTTTATTACAAATAAATTTCAACGGTGATATTCACCGATACACCTCGGAAAGTGTTCTAATAACTACTACATAAACCCGTTAAATTTAATTAACTACCCATTCATGAATATAGGGGTTTTTTGGGTTTTTTTATAAATCATTAAAGACCACTTAAGATCAAAAATCTAAATTTCATCTATGTATAGCCCATGGTTACTATATCAACTTTACGGCAAGTTCACACCAATCTGATTAAAATTAAGTCCGCTGTTAACGTTTAAGTATCCGACACGCCAAAACGCTTTTCGATTTTTCAATTACGACCTTAATCCGGTTTATTGGCTGGTGACGTCACAGGCACTACACATAGGATATACATTATCTATACAATATCTCACATTATGTACAATATAGCACTATCAATACACACGGCAACTGGGCAAGCGTCTATTGACGGTCCAATTACCACGTGACTGGCCTAATCATAATCACCGAATTATCGTCTTTTATTGGTATAGATTAGACATTTGTGATTGGAATATTTTAGAGTGAATTTAAAATGCCGTATCATGCCGTAGATCAATTTAAGCTGCATTTGTTTAAATAGGCCACGTGTCAAATGAAGATGACTCAAGAAATTAGCGCATTTACCGGTAATTTGGATAACCCCGTAATACTTGATATCCCAAACTTAAGTACAGAAATACAAATGGTGCCAGTCATTTGTCGATATATTCATTATTAGCTATATATAATAATAAAAACCATTTCTATACATAAAGAACAACTACAGTGAATATGGAATTTTCCGATGACTATGCATAACATGTACAATAGATCGCACTCATTTCTCTGCCAATCAACGCTTGCTATCTTATTATCATGTACCGTTCCATGTACTACGGGTGTAGTAAATGAGGTTAAACTTCGCCGCGAAAATTGCACGGGATCATTCGTGGAGTTCCTGGTTCCGTTTGGTGAGTGATTAAACTGTCAATGCTGTTGTTGTTGTTGTTTATTACAAATTTAACGTCCAATACATAATGCATGATATTATGGACAGGTTGATTTGATTAAGTTATTTACTTAAATAAAAAATAGAAGTTACTTAAAAACACTAAATAATAAAAAGTTCTTGTATATCTAAACGTCACTTTAAAACAATTTAAAATAATTAAAAGTTCTTGTATATCTAAAAATCACTTTAAAACACGGTTTTAAAAATGGCTTGAAAATCGTTGTCGTGGGAAGAGAAGGCGGGTCATCTTCTCACTTTGTCATAATGAAAGTTAAAATAGGAGATGCAATTGTAAAATACTTTTATTATAAAGAAGATAACCGATGTTAGACATTATAACCTAATCGTATCAAAAACGTTAATCCATCCATCAATTAAATGTTGTTTAAACGCCAATCAACAAACAATACGAGGCTACTTGATTACAAAAACACCGGTGAGTAATAATTATTGGGTAGATAGTAATTTTAAACAACTTATTAGTAAAACTTAATTTATTTTATACAATTAATGTGTGTGTGTATGTTTCTACCATTAGTTGGTTCGTGAGGTATTCACTGAGAGTGATGTCTTTGATCTGGCCGGCGTAAAAAAAGATAATTACCTAATCAACATTCTTAATCCCACTAACACCCACTGCTAACACCAACTTGAAATTAATTTATGACCCATGCTTGTATAACTTTTATAGTCGGATTGATTAATTAATGACAGAGATTAACGACACTACACTTTATGTGGAAAAGCGAAGTGCTCGCAGTAAAAACCACATAACTGGACCCGTATATTTTTTACATATTAAAAGTGTTCGTCCAATAAGTTCCATATTGTAAAAAATTAATTAAGAGTTCAGGACTTCAAAGTTTAAAAGTTGTAGGCACTCTAAATTGGATCTTAAATTAAAATGAATTACAAAACAAATTATTCCATATAGGGGGATTAAGGAATCCTTCAGGAGTTAAAGAATACACACGCCGGCTGTATATAGGTAATTAAGGAATAAACATTCCGAATATGCATTCGGTCACTGTGACGTCACTGGCGTCTGAGGGGGGATTAAGAGTGTTTTCGATACACACGCCGGCTGTATATAGGTAATTAAGGAATAAACATTCCGAATATGCATTCGGTCACTGTGACGTCACTGGCGTCTGAGGGGATTAAGAGTGTTTTCGATAATTGGCAAAGCCGTTTTTACGGAAGGTCTATTTTTACGACTTTGAATGAAGATAACTGAATTAATTTCAACCAGATTGGCGTGAACTTGCTGTAAAGTGGATATAGTAACCATTGGCTACACGTATCTCAATTCTTCCGGGACCATCTTATGTGCACTTTAATAAAATTCTTATCTATTAACTTAGGTCAAGTATTCTAACGACACCACAATTAGAACATATTTACTCACCAGAAACTTAAAGACCATGACATAATATCAATTATATATTTTTAATAACATATAGTAGACGACTTTTTTTCTTTTCACAAATATATAGCATTATACGTTTTAAAGCATTATGCATTAAACAAAATCATAATCACTCACTTGCTCGATAATCTCGCAAATTTTAATAAGTCAATTATTTTACTCCCCAAATACACATAATACCGACACTTCTATTGCCAGAACTTTAATACTCAAATATCTCAGCTTATTTTTCATTACTCTGTGATCACCTATCTCTATATCACTACAAACACTAGATGCTACTCACGATTTATACAGTGACTACATATATCCTGGCAATTATATCCAAACACAACTAATTTTAGCCTTTACTTGGCTCACATTGTAATTTAGATTTATATTCAAAGTCTCAAAAATTTAGTTCTACTTTGCTAAACACATATAGACAAGACAGACATCACAAATAACAAGTCTAACATGAGGACCAACCATGAAACCTCTGTATTAATCACAGCAAAATATGTCTATCTTTCTACTACACCCGAATTAATCCCTCTTAGGACTTCGAATTTTGTGTAATGGTTTGAATTATTCGTACTTACCGTTTTATTTTATTTATATATTAGCGGAGCAGATGAAACAGTCAGATATAATTCAATGGCCTTCTTCTGTATTATCACCCATTACAAAGAATGGATTTACTTGCAGGTCCTCCACAGTTATACCCAAATACACGAGTTCCAATACGTCTGCATGCTACAAACAACTATTACAAATATTTGACTGTGAAAATACTCGACTATCCCATGCCCAATTACACCGTACAAAAGCTAACTCCAGATGGTTTCATACCACTTCCACCACCCCATGAGATTGAACGAATATATGTGGCATGTAGAATTCAGTTTTATAATTTTGATAAAGATGTTTTTGGTACTTACCAATTGAAAGCTGAGAATTCAGAAGGTATTCTGATAACAAACTTTACAGTGACAGGTGAGTTAGAACATGTACACTTGAATTACGCTAGACCACTCGACCAGCAAGAGTAGAACATTTCTTGAAATTATTTGTCAATCATTAAAGTATATAGATTATTTCATATCTACTCTGAATGTGTTACTATAAATATGGATTGTATTTTATATGTAGGACCGCCAGAACCACCTACAAATGTGATAGCATGGAGCACAACATCAAATTCTGCTCATGTGTCATGGCAACCGGGTAACAGCTATAACCTCACGCAAACATATAAAGTTTATATGAAAAATGGTGTGACTGTGTGGAAGGAACGAGGCTCGTATATTGATTCTGGGTCAGTTATTACCATAATTGTTACTTCACTAGAACCAAACACAAGATACTATTTCATGGTTGTAGGCCAAACTCTGGGCAATTATGGTTTTTATTCCGAAGTAGCGGAAGTCGTAACTATAAGTAAGTACTAATTGTTAACCAGATTGGGTTGAGGTTATACAGTTGAAATGTTAAACATATAAAGATCTGTTTACAGCAAAGAATTGACTTTTACAGAAAACAGTTGCCTTATCTTCAAGAGATAGGAATAATTATAATATAATGATCATAGAAATAATTATAATCATAGCTTAGAAATTATTATAATCTTAGAAATGATTATAATCTTAGAAATGATTATAATCTTAGAAATGAGTAAAACCTTTGAAATAATTGCGATTTACAATGAAAAACAAACATATTATCTTATTTTATTTTTTTAAATTTTTTTTTTTTTTTTGGGGGGGGGGGCACTTATAGCTGGTTATACTAGTATACATTACATACCCAGGTTATACCAGTATACATTACATACCCAGGTTATACCAGTATACATTATATAGCTGTGTTATACTACTATACATTATATAGCTAGGTTATACTAGTACAGATTATATAGCTAGGTTATACTAGTACAGATTATATACCCAGGGTTATACTAGTATACATTATATAGCTAGGTTATACTAGTATACATTATATAGCTAGGTTATACTAGTATACATTATATAGCTAGGTTATACCAGTATACATTATATAGCTAGGTTATACTAGTATACATTATATAGCTAGGTTATACTAGTATACATTATATAGCTAGGTTATACCAGTATACATTATATAGCTAGGTTATACCAGTATACATTATATAGCTAGGTTATACCAGTATACATTATATAGCTAGGTTATACCAGTATACATTATATAGCTAGGTTATACCAGTATACATTATATAGCTAGGTTATACTAGTATACATTATATAGCTAGGTTATACTAGTATACATTATATAGATAGGTTATACTAGTATACATTATATAGCTAGGTTATACTAGTATACATTATATAGCTAGGTTATACCAGTATACATTATATAGCTAGGTTATACCAGTATACATTATATAGCTAGGTTATACCAGTATACATTATATAGCTAGGTTATACTAGTATACATTATATAGCTAGGTTATACTAGTATACATTATATAGCTAGGTTATACTAGTATACATTACATACCCAGGTTATACTAGTATATATTACGTAGCTAGGTTATACTAGTATACATTGTGTAGCTACGTTATACTAGTATACATTATATAGCTGGGTTATACCAGTATACATAAAATAGCTAGGTTATACTAGTATACATTATATAGCTAGGTTATACTAGTATACATTATATAGCTAGGTTATACTAGTATACATTATATAGCTGGGTTATACTAGTATACATAAAATAGCTAGGTTATAACAACAACATTTTGTCATTAATAGAGCTTGGTGAGAAACAACAAGATCGGCCATCTTTAACACAAGATGACACGCCTCCTTCTACAACACTTCCAACAATAAATACAAGTGTGGGGACAGAAGGCCCAGGGGAAGAAGACCCAGAGGAAATAAGTTTTGGTGCTGGTATTGGTATTGGTATAGTGATAGGTACTGTTGTAGCCGCCCTGATCTCTGTCTTTATACTTTTCATCAATAGAAAATTTGGTATGATATATTTATGCCTCTGATTCTTATTTTTATCATTTGAACTGATTCAAGATGGAAATATATTTAATCTGCAGTACAGTTAAACTGGTTTCATAGTTAGTGCAGAAGGACAGGGAATATATATAGTGGATATGGGTTAGTTGATTAACGGCATACTGTATACAAGACATTTAAACAATAATATATATTGTACAAGTCTGAAGTTAAATAGTAAGACAGTTGTTTTAATCTTTGGTAAAGTATATTATGGGGATCTCAGAGGCAATACTAACTGGCATCTCAGATTACAATGTCGTCAAAATGTATAATTTATACATGTGGACTTCTTGTATAACTACTTAAATAGTTCATGATGGAATGAATAAAAAGATGAATCTTATTGGTTGTTAATATTTCTATGATCTTGGGGGGTTGGGTGGCCGAATGGTTAGCACGTGCGCGCTGCGCTGTATCATACGGTCTGTCATTGAGTCAACTGACAGGGTTTCGATTCCCCGGTTGTACGCGACAAGGAGTAGGGTCGCCTGTCCAACCTCGTGGGTTTTCTCCGGGTCCTCCGGTTTCCTCCCACTGCTAAAGACCCCTACACACAAGCGAATTATTGAAATAAAATTGAACCATGTGTTAGTCCCGAAATGACCTACTTTGTGTCGAGTGGACGTTAAACCCCATTTCTCTTTCTCTCTTTCTATAATCTTGTCAAGAACAGAACAACACCCCAGAGAGAGGGGTTACACATAGGCATAGCCTGTTCCCCAATCCAAATTCAGATTTAATGAATAAAAATATTGTTTAAAAACAAAACAAACCAACACTAATGGGAATTGATATACATTACAGGCACATAAAGTCTGTCCTTGGTATTTGATGTAAAGTTGTATAGAACGGTTATTAAGATCAATGTATCATGACATTAATCGTATAATCCAATATATATATATATATATATATACAAACAGAGTAAAACGGTTTAGCTCGGAGACACTAATTATAATTGATAAAATTGATAAAAGGTGTAAAACGAAAGATAGTATTCTGGAATTATATTGGGTTAGGGTTGGGTTAGCCCTAAATACACTACTATATACAATACAGGTTGGGGGGGGGGTACGGTTGAAACAATAAAAAATGGTGTAATTATATTATTTAATATAAAATACAATAATATATACAATAAAGGGGATGGGATGAAATTACAGTTGATACAATAACAAGGTTGATTGAAAAAAATACCAATCAAAATAAGTGATACTATACTGATTAGAACGATATACTAATGATTTAAGAAAAAATGAAATTGGCCCCATTCAAAAATCCGTATTCAGTTTGCTAAGGGTTATAAGAATATCAATTGGTCAAATCCTGACTTAATTCTAGTTTGTGTAATTACAGCCAAGAAGAAGAATGTATACGCACAGCCTGTACCGTTACCACGGCCACTACCATATTGATGTCATCAATACAACACAAGGTAAGACTCCTTCTCTATACCTTTATCTATAAGTAAGCTAGTGTTAACCTCATTTCATGACTAAGTAAGCTAGTGTTAACCTCATTTCATGACTAAGTAAGCTAGTGTTAACCTCATTTCATGACTAAGTAAGCTAGTGTTAACCTCATTTCATGACTAAGTAAGCTAGTGTTAACCTCATTTCATGACTAAGTAAGCTAGTGTTAACCTCATTTCATGACTAAGTAAGCTAGTGTTAACACCTCATTTCATGACTAAGTAAGCTAGTGTTAACCTCATTTCATGACTAAGTAAGCTAGTGTTAACCTCATTTCATGACTAAGTAAGCTAGTGTTAACATCATTTCATGACTAAGTAAGCTAGTGTTAACCCCATTTCATGACTAAGTAAGCTAGTGTTAACCTCATTTCATGACTAAGTAAGCTAGTGTTAACCTCATTTGTAAGAGCGAGTGGTATAATACCAAAACTATGATGACATGAATTGAACTTTTATAAATCTATACTATTACAGACTATTCTCAGTACATATCACCAAGACCACTACAGTAACCATACAGACAAGATTATCAACAAATCACCAAGACCACTACAGTAACCATCCAGACAAGATTATCAACACATCACCAAGACCACTACAGTAACCATCCAGACAAGATTATCAACAAATCACCAAGACCACTACAGTAACCATCCAGACAAGATTATCAACAAATCACAAAGACCACTACAGTAACCATCCAGACACGATTTATCAACAACACGATTAACGAGTGCACATAAATTATGAACAGATCTTCAAGCACATACATGTGTTGACTGTATGTGCTATTTAAAACTTTAAAAACCTTTATACAAATTATATTCTTTTTATCTATTTTACTCCCTCCAGAACACCTGATACCACCTTCTAGAACACCTGTTTAAAACCTTTATACAAATTATATTATTTCTATCTATTTTACTCCTTCTAGAACACCTGTTTAAAACCTTTATACAAATTATATTATTTCTATCTATTTTACTCCTTCTAGAACACCTGTTTAAAACCTTTATACAAATTATATTATTTCTATCTATTTTACTCCTTCTAGAACACATGATACCACCTTTTAAATCTGTATAATATATAATTAACAACTAGTAATCGCGGTTCCCTGTTTAAATATACTATTCAAAAAAAGTAGGGGATATTTGATTTTTAAGTGTTATTAAAGTCACCTAATGAAACTGACGAAGAAACAAATGACAAAATGAAATGAAGTTTACATTCATCGATTTATTCCAAATGATCGTTAGACTAAGTAAGGCACAGACTGACCATTATAAGGGTAAAATGATACCCAGGGTCAAACAGCAAAGTTACCACAGCATCACAACCAAGTCAGCAACGGGTAAATCCTCCTCTGTTTGCCAAACAAGCATTGATCCGACGTGGCATACTCCTAATGAGACGTCTAAGGTCATTTTGGTCCAGATTGTCCCATTCCTGTTGCAACGCAGCAGCAAGTTCTTGGACATTGGCAGGACGTTGTTGACGTTGACGTAACCTCTGTCCAAGCATGTCCCAGACATGCTCGATGGGGGAGAGGTCGGGACTCAGTGCTGGCCAAGGTAATGTGGTGATGTTCTGTTGTTGGAGGTAACCTGTAACGATCCTGGCCCTGTGACATCCTGCGTTGTCATCCTGGAAGATGAAACGGCGGCCATGACGTCGTGCGAACGGCACAACATGGACTGCCAAGATGTTGTCCCGGTAGTACTGGCCTGTAACACGCCCTGCAACAACATGTAAAGCCGTTCTTCCAGCAACAGTGATGCCTCCCCACACCATAACAGAACCACCCCCAAATCGATCATGTCTGATGACGTTAACGTCTTGGAAGCGCTCGTTTCGACAACGCCACACCCTCCTACGTCTGTCCAAAAAATCAACAGTGAACCTTGACTCATCTGAAAACATCACATTGCTCCAGCGTCGATTATCCCAGTGTTGACGATCCCTACACCAACGACGTCTTGCCTGAATGTGATGATCTCTCAAACAAGGGATCACGCGAGGACGTCGGGCGCGAAGGTGACCCCTATGCAGTCGATTCCGAATCGTCTGGCCACTCACTCTCACACCAGTGTCTGTTTGAAGACGAGCGCTGATCTGATTTGCTGTGATGACACGATTTCTCAAGGCCAAGGTACGGATAAATCGATCCTGGGCTTGAGTTGTCGCCCTTGGTCGACCTGAGCGTGGTCTGTCCTGTACAGATTGTGTATCACGGTATCTGGACCATAGCCTGCTTATGACAGACTGAGAAACATTCATCGTCCGCGCCACAACCGCCTGTGTTGTGCCGATCTGTAGCATGCCAAGGGCACGTAACCTTTCATTTTGGGTAAGCCGACGCATATCAAAATTTGTTTTCTGGTCACTAAAACAATTAAACTGATGTTTCCACCCTGGAATTCAATGCCACAATGACTGTAACATTCAAAGTCAGAGTCGTGCAAATCTTGGGTTGGACCCCCATGATGATCCCAAGCATCACCTGCATTCCATGCGGTAGCTATTGGTGCGTTTGGGCGTCACATGTAACTGGAAATGTTTCTTCTGTTAGGTTCTATAGTGACTTTTTTCGTAGTCATTTCCATATTTTAGTATTATGCCCCCAAAATCAAATATCCCCTACTTTTTTTGAATAGTATACAAGATTTCATATTCAATAAATATGTTTAAATACATGAATTTATCTGACACTCAAACTATCCTTCTCTATAGCTTTGATTGGAGAAATCAACCCACATATTATATATTGGGAGTTGGGAATATGGACGAAGATGCCGCAAGAGTATTTTTGTTTAGCAAAGCTTTATTTAGTGATTATGATGACTTTTAATAACTGAACTTTTTAATTCTAAAGATTTTCCATGATTATAATTATAATTCAGTTTTTATAAATAGTATTAATATGGTTATGGTAATAGCATTAATATGATTATGATAATAACATTAATATAGTTATGATAATAACATTAATATAGTTATGATAATAACATTAATATAGTTATGATAATAACATTAATATGGTTATGATAATAACATTAATATGATTATGATAATAACATTAATATAGTTATGATAATAACATTAATATGGTTATGATAATAACATTAATATGGTTATGATAATAACATTAATATGGTTATGGTAATAGCATTAATATAGTTATGATAATAACATTAATATAGTTATGATAATAACATTAATATGGTTATGATAATAACATTAATATGATTATGATAATAACATTAATATGGTTATGATAATAACATTAATATGGTTATGCTAATAACATTAATATGATTATGATAATAACATTAATATAGTTATGATAATAACATTAATATAGTTATGATAATAACATTAATATAGTTATGATAATAACATTAATATGATTATGATAATAACATTAATATGGTTATGATAATAACATTAATATGGTTATGATAATAACATTAATATGGTTATGCTAATAACATTAATATAGTTATGATAATAACATTAATATAGTTATGATAATAACATTAATATAGTTATGATAATAACATTAATATGGTTATGATAATAACATTAATATGGTTATGATAATAACATTAATATGGTTATGGTAATAGCATTAATATAGTTATGATAATAACATTAATATAGTTATGATAATAACATTAATATGGTTATGATAATAACATTAATATGGTTATGATAATAACATTAATATGGTTATGGTAATAGCATTAATATAGTTATGATAATAACATTAATATAGTTATGATAATAACATTAATATGGTTATGATAATAACATTAATATGATTATGATAATAACATTAATATGGTTATGCTAATAACATTAATATGATTATGATAATAACATTAATATAGTTATGATAATAACATTAATATGGTTATGCTAATAACATTAATATGATTATGATAATAACATTAATATGATTATGATAATAACATTAATATGGTTATGATAATAAAATTAATATGGTTATGATAATAACATTAATATGGTTATAATGATAACATTAATATGGTTATGATAATAACATTAATATGGTTATGATAATAACATTAATATGGTTATGATAATAACATTAATATGGTTATAATAATAACATTAATATGGACTCAAATCTATAGAAATAAAACACAAAATACATGTATGTAATCAGGCATTATATGTCTATATTGTAATACACAACTGTAAATGTATACTACTAATTTTTAATAAAGATGTCTTTGTTTTAAAACAATGTATAATTCGTCAGTTTTGGGTCGATGATACCCTGCGTATTCCAAACAACCAGAATTCATTATGGAAAATACAACCAAACAGATGTTGATATAACATCCACACCTATGCATTGAACAGTGAAGGTACCGATAGGATAACAAGGAGCACATGTAGTACCAACAGACCACCAACCACCTACAGGTAGCATACTCATTATCCCCACTATCATAGGTACTGAATCTTTTACCAGACGATTCTACAATTTAATCCAGACGATTCTGCCATTTAAGTTAGTCACACCAGTCTATTAAACTATCTGAATATCATGTCATTCTACTAGCAAGGTAAACTACTACCTACATTGACAACCTGAGCTGTGCATAGGCGTATTAAGCAAGTTATATTTGATTTTCGCGGGAAAGAAAAAGGACACTTCTAGGTCAGAATATTATAGATATTTCGGTTAAAAGTGGCATTTTCTCGCAATAAACTAGGTACATTGACAGTATCCGTGAATTTTTATCCAAATATTCGGGCAGACATTTGTAGTCTCCTTATTCATATACGGTCATGTACACCTATCGGGCTGTAGAAATAAATATCGCCACTTTCAGGGCTGTCTGATGGCGCTTCCGGCTGAAGTTGGAAATCCGGTTCTGGATAACTGGACGTGATTATGTAGATCGCCGTAATGAAAACATAATAATAATATCGTCGGTACTATGCCCTATCTACCCAGTCATCTAAAATAAAGACAGATCCGAATCAACTAAATACTGTACCTGTGATAATTTGGGTATGGCATAACCATTTGACATGACTCTTGGAATATGTCTAGCTTCGTTCTTCGCTTCGCTTGTTACAAATTGCGCTCAAACGCGTTATGGTACACGATCCGTGTACCAATTGTAAAATGTTCATTTTGTCTTTAATATTGGATAATAGAAGCCCATCTTTTCTCAGTAAGATCACAACATCACTGTTGATTTAAATTGACAAATAATTCGTGTTTTCAATGTCGCAGACTTCGGGTGATATTGAGTTAGAGACTAGCTACTTTAACAATATAACAACCACCGTCAAGACATCCGGAACGATTTGTCTGTAAAACAAAACACAACCGTTATATACACGAACTAATGAAGACGGGCATACGCCATACAGTATGTCACCAGGAAAATTTTGCCCGAACAGTGGCGCTACGGCCTACTCTTATATCGAATTCCAACTGCCGAGGAATCTTTTACGTGTACGCCAATGTGTACACGGGACGTCAGTTTTTCGTCCTATCCGAACCGAACGACTATACGTTGTCCCTTGTGAAGCACTCCCGTCTTCATTAGCCCAGTATAGGAGCAGAACAGTAGGACGTTAAACCGCATTTCATTTCATTTCGTGAAGAACTCGGTCGTGCACCACTGACAAGGAGGAACTACGCCGGACAATCGAGATGAATATCTCACAGGGATCGAACAGTGGACCTCCACTCAGTCACCGTGGCTTCAACATCAACGCAGGGATCGAACAGTGGACCTCCACTCAGCCACCGTGGCTTCAACATCAACGCAGGGATCGAACAGTCGACCTCCACTCAGCTGCTGGGAAAGTGAGAACACCCCCCCCCCCCCCACCGTGGCTTCAACATCAAGGAGGGCCTATCTCTTTGTTTAACATCTGGGTCAACAGGACATCAATATGGACGAATCTTTCATATCACTGGGTGTCACTGAATATTCTTTGGACATTAAACATAATAATTAATAACGGGGGAGAGGGAGAGAGAGACTGTTTAATGTCCACTCGACACAAACTTGGTCATTTCGGGACTAACATATGCTTCAATTTTATTTTAATAATTCTCTTGCGCGTTGTAGGGAGTGGGAGGAAACCAAAGGACCCGGAGAAAACCCACGAGGTTGGACAGGCGACCATACTCCTCGTCAGGTACAACTGGAGAATCGAAACCACACCAGTTGACTCAATGACACCTTATGATTCAACACGCACCCCCCTATAATTAATAACAACAAATAATTATAATATTGTAAAATCTATTTATTTATTTATCATCTTTGTCTTGTTAAATACAAGGTGAATAAATATATTACAATTTATATTATCAGGTTTAGTTTGTACAAAATAAATATAGCTATACATGTACCCTACTATAAATAAATAATATGTTTTGTCAGGCCAAATAAAAAAAAATATCCTGGTGTTCGACACAAACTAGGTCATTTTGGGACTAACACATGGTTCAATTTTATTTCAATAATTCGCTTGCGCGTAGGGGTCTTTAGCAGTGGGAGGAAACCGGAGGACCCAAAGAAAACTCACGAGGTTGGACAGGCGAGCTTACTCCTTGTCACATACAACCAGGGAGCCAAAACTACCCCAGTTGACTCAGTGACAGACCTTATGATACAGCGAGCACGTGCTAACCATTCGGTCATCCAACCGACCATTTGACAAAATATCAACATTAAAAAAAAAACCTCCCTCATCAGATTTCCAGGAATGGTTGTCTGAGAACCAATCTTACTTTATTATTACAATAGGCTTGACTTTATTATTACAATAGGCTGAGAGTATATGTAAATAAAGTAATACTCTTGAGCATTGCATTGCAGTAGTGAGTTTGGTCCTTAATGAACCCTAAAAAGAAAATGGAGAGTTTGACCTAATAAAATGCCAGTAGATGCCAGGGTTCTTCCAACTGACATATAACAAAACATACGATTGAAATCAAAAAATTTGTCGATAAACAAAGACAATTTCTCATAAACAAAGTATCTCATAAACAAAGTATCTCATAAACAAAGTATCTCATAAACAAAGTCAATATCTCATAAAAAAAAGTTGAAATTGGGGATTTCTGAATATTAATTCTATAGACTATATTTCTAGATTAAAAGACAAAATGTTGTTTAAATGCACAAATCACGAAAAAACCCTTGTCATGGTTTCATAGATAATAACTACTCATATTCATCGTCTATTTTTAAAATCTGTATTTCGTCTGAGTATTCTCACTATTGAACCCCCAGATTCATCAGCTAATATTTGTATTATACCAGCTGATTGGTTAACAAACATGTGCTAAAATTTTGTATTATATCAGCTGATTGGTTAACAAACATGAGCTAATATTTGTATCATATCAGCTGTTAGCCAATTAATAACATAGATCATTCAATTAGTGGATCTAAAAAGGTGTAGGGCAAATTATCTGGGTTTAAAATACAAGGGTTAGTAATTTCGTAATGGAATTATAAATACACAGTTTACAACTCTGTTTATTACTGAGCAACGATTCGTATTCTCTAGTGTTTATCAAGTCAATGATGAGACAATGTAAAAATGTGTGTAAATAACTTCATGATTGAATAGTTCAAGTGAATGATGAAACAATGTAAATATGTGTGTAAATAACTTGATGATTGAATGGTATTGAAGAAGTTGAACTGGGAAGACACAAGAATGGATGAATGAATAAATGAATGGAATACAGTTGCTGAGCAATTAGTTACTTGATTAAGACTAGAGAGACCTACTCGTCACAGAGTAATAAACAGTGTCCAGTAGAATTATGTTCTATATCAGGGGCCTGTTTCACGAAATCTTAACTAAAGATAAAATCCAAATTTTAGTAGATACTTCAACTTTGATTGGCTAAGCACTAAAATCAATCTAATATTATCCAATCAAATTACTAAAATTTGGATTTTATCTTAGTTAAAATTTCGTGAAACAGGCCCCAGAACCCTGGCTGGTTAGTTAGCAAGATCTTTTTCCCCTGATAATATTGTCACATCCATACTATAAATGTAACTGTATTGTGGTTTAAGGTTAAATTTTACAGCTTGTAAATTGATTGATAGGGAAGTTCTCCGGCCAGCCAATCAGTCACGGTGGGATAAACAAGGTAAACAAGGGTTAGGGTTAGAACTATTTAGAAGTGATCACAAGAATATTACATTATTTTATTTAACAATAAATTAAAACCCTGAAGAACACATGGTGTCTGCTCATGACCATCAAACACTGTCTCTGTTTGTGACAGCAAATAAATAGTCATAATAATCTGGGCTATCCATCGCATATGTGAGCTGCTCCAACAAAACCAGGCTTTTGGTCATTTTTATAAAAATAGAGCTGGCAGCATATTTGAATAGTCCACAGCCTAAGCTTTCCAAAAATACAATTCTTTTAAAATTTGTCATATCATCTGGAGTTGAGTTTGGCTCATTCACAACAACAAGAAGGCATACAGTTTATGCTTTTGTGCCAATAGTACAAGATAAAGTTGTGCGACAAGCGCCTGGTTTCGCCTGAGCGGGTTACATATCTGCTCTTAGATTTACCTGGTTTGATTTGGGACTAATTACACATTTTTAACCTTAATTATAATCAATAGAGTGTCCATAGATAATTTACAATTTAGCATCAATAGATTGTCCGATTGATTATCTATAATTTAGCGTTAACTGTGACAGTCTTCGTATCCACATTAATACTGACACTGGGCAGAGCTGGCACATCGACATATCTCACTGTAAAAAAATAAATAAAATACATATAAAATCCAACAATGGAATTCTATGAATGTGGTAGTTTACCTACATAAGAAAACCTAGCTATCACTAGATCTAGCAATATGTTTAAAACTTTAATAACCCAACCCACACCCAACCTGGCTCTATAACATTATATTATAATAACCCAGCCAACACCCAACCTGATTATAACATTATATTATAACAACCCAGCCCACACCCAACCCGACTCTATAACATTATATTATTATAACCCAACCCACACCCAACCTGACTCTATAACATTATATTATAATAACCCAGCCACATCCAACCTGGCTCTATAACATTATATTATAATAACCCAGCCCACACCCAACCTGGCTCTATAACATTAGAACGGTCTTGGAATCTTGTAATTTAAGTCGATAGTCTACAGCACGCGTTTTCAACCACTTGAATACTGCATTACAGGTGAATATGAATACTGCGTTACAGGCGAATACTGCGTTACAGGTGAATACTGCGTTACAGGTGAATACTGCTTTACAGGTAAATTGAAATAAAACTAAGTGATGACATGACATCAGTAAGAAAGTATGAGAACCAAGGCCTGTAATCTCAATGATTGTTTTTTATACTGGGTTTCTATGGTGACAAATAGAAAGTTCACCTGTCAAACATCATGCATTTTCCACAGTTACTTCGGTTTCCTTCCGATTCTATGGATTGCTGCACGGGGCTCTTTCTTTGTCCTGCACAGAACCTCGTCAGGTCAAAATGACAAGATGTTGTTTCAGGCCATACCTTTTCAACATTATTTTACCCGAGAGTCACAATTAGTTGGTATATGTCTAAATCTAAAATCCAGTAGGACATTAACTAGCGAACATGATCCCAGTATATGCTACCCTAGCTATTGTGTAAGACTGGATAATGGAGCTAAATATAGATAGACTTACCAAGCTGTTGTGTAAGACTGGATAATGGAGCCATACAAGGATACATATAAGTATTACCATCCCTGTAGTAAACAAATTCATTATTTAATTTGAGAGAGAGAGAGAGAGAGAGAGCGAGGGAGAGAGAGAGAGAGAACGAGAGAGAGAGAGAGGAGGGAGAGAGAGTTTGAGAGAGAGAGAGAGGAGGGAGAGAGAGTTTTAACGTCCACTTGACACAAACTAGGTCATTTTGGGGCTAACATAATATGGTACAATATTATTTCATTATTTCACTTGCGCGAATGGGGTCTTTAGCATTGAAAGGAAACTAAAAACACAAAGAGAAAACCCATGACGACAGACCTATTAGAGTTTAGAACACCACCTTACAGAGTATAGGGAGAACACCCATAATGACAGACCTATTAGACATCCAACCTTACAGAGTATAGGGAGAACACCCATGGTGACAGACCTATCAGACATCCCACCTTACAGAGTATAGGGAGAACACCCATAATGACAGACCTATTAGACATCCCACCTTACAGAGTATAGGGAGAACACCCATGGTGACAGACCTATCAGACATCCCACCTTACAGAGTATAGGGAGAACACCCATAATGACAGACCTATCAGACATCCCAACTTACAGAGTATAGGGAGAACACCCATAATGACAGACCTATTAGACACCCCCCCCACCCCCGCCTTACAGAGAGAATAGTGATTGACTGATGATATCATGAAATGGGGTTTAACGTCCTACTGTTCTTCTCCGACTGGGCTAATGAAGACGGACTTGCGCCATACAGTCTGCTATGAGGGATATTTTGCGTGGGCAATATCGTCTACTCTTATATCGAATTTCAACTACCAAGGCATCTTTATTGCATGCCAAAGTATACACGGGTCCTCGGTTTTTAATCCCATCCGAACGACTAGACAGCTGTTCTTGTCAGGCCCTCCTTTCTGTACCACTTACAAGGGGAAACCACGTCAAAAAATCTTGATGAACTTTCTTAGCCAATGCAGGCATAGAACACCTGACCTCCAGGCTAGCAAGCCAGCGTCTTACCAACTCAGCCACCATGGCTCCCTCATGATGTCACAGCAGGTGTCTTAATTTGTAATTACTAATTAGAGTCACAATGATTCCTATTTTTGAAGCTTAGTGATAACAAGTGCAATAACAATTACAATTACAATAACAATTAAAATAACGATTAAAATAACAATTACCGTTTTTCTTTTCTCACGGCACCCATCAAATAGAAAGAGTTAAGAGCATTATTCATCATATCAAGGGAGAGAACTTCGTGATGTTTTATTGTTCCATCTGTTATTAATCTGGCTCCAAGTAATTGACCATCTTTTATCACAGTTTTCGGAGGTTTTGACAACGGTTTACCGTGAACATTAGGATCCACAGATAATAAATAACGACACAAAATCTAGAAATAAATATAAATATATCATTCACCTTAATAAATAAAAATATATAAGTCAGAGGTCATTTGCCTTAAAAATATAATATATCCTATTGATATAGTTCAAACTACCGACTATGATATGATGTATATTCTATTTATAGTATTATGTTATACTACTCACCCAGTATCCTATTAAAATGGTTCAAACTACCGACTATGATATGATGTATGTTTATTATCTTATACTACTCACCCAGTATCCTATTAAAATGGTTTAAACTACCGACTATGATATGATGTATGTTTATTATCTTATACTACTCACCCAGTATCCTATTAAAATGATTCAAACTACCGACTATGATATGATGTATGTTTATTATCTTATACTACTTAACCAGTATCCAATTAAAATGGTTCCAACTACCGACTATAATATGATGTAATGTTTATTATCTTATACTACTCACCCAGTATCCTATTAATGATTCAAACTACCGACTATGATATGACGTATATTCTATTATCTTATACTACTCACCCAGTATCCTATTAATGATTCAAACTACCGACTATGATATGATATATGTTTATTATCTTATACTACTCACCCAGTATCCTATTAAAAATGGTTCAAACATTTGACTATAAAAGGTAGTATGTTTGTTAGTTGATTTTTGTATTAAAACTTCGCCATCTTCAATAACTACACCACAGCTATGAGTCAACGTCAATAACGCTTGCTCAAAATCCTGAAAAACAAACAACAACATAAGTTACAAGGATAGAAATGTGGTTTAACATACACTTGACACAAATTAGGTCATTTCTGAAGTAGCGTATGGTTCAATTTTATTTCAATAATTCATTTGCGAGTAGCAGTCTTTAGTGGTGGGAGGAAGCCGTAGGACCCAGAGAAAACCCACAAGGTTAGGCAGGTGACCCTACTCCTTGTCATGTACAAGTGTAATATTGAAACCATGTCACTTGACTCAATGACAGACATTGGAATCTAAAACCCACATGTTAGACCACTCAACCACTTAACCACCACTAATAAAAAGCTCCATCAACCACCGAACCACCACTATTAAAGAGATAAATCAACCACTCAACCACCATTATTAAAGAACTCCATCAACCACCGAACCACCACTATTAAAGTGATAAATCAACCACCAACCACCACTAATAAAGAGCTCCATCAACCACCAAACCACCCCTATTAAAGAGCTACATCAACCACCCAACCACCACTATTAAAGAGCTCACTCAATCCCCCAACCACCACTATTAAAGAGCTTTCAACCACCAAACCACCTCTATTAAAGAGCTCCATCAACCACTCAACCACCATTATTAAAGAACCCCATCAACCACCCAACCACCACTAATGAGGAACTCAATCAACCACCCAACCACCACTATTAAAGAGCTCAATCAACCACCCAACCATTACTATTAAAGAGCTATATCAGCCTATAGCAGATCTTGAATTTGTCTTCAAATGTTATATAAATAATTATTTAGACATTTATTAATAAGATAAGCCTATATTTAACTCTCTAGACCATTGCATGTCCGAGATTTAAACACAATTGCCATTTAATGATTTGATTTAAAAATGGGAGAGAGAGAGAAATGGGGTTTAACGTCCATTGACACAAACTAGGTCATTTTGGGACTAACACATGGTTCAATTTTATATCAATAATTTGCTTGCGCGTAGGGGTCTTTAGCAGTGGGAGGAAACCGGAGGACCCAGGGAAAACCCACGAGGTTGTAGATTTAAAAATGGATAAACAATCTACGCTACATCTTCCAACATTCATAACTCTCCTCAGAATAAAGAAATTTTACTGAATGACGTAATTTTACTGAAATTTTCATTATATTCATTTTTCATTTTCTAGTTTTGAACTATTACACCAAGAACTGCCAGCTCTTTATCTAAATCTTACATAATCTATCTCAAAAGTAAACCTTAAAATGTGAAGAAATCATTTTCTAGATATTATAAAATAATTTTATAAATGAAACTTACCTGTTTGGTGTTTCCCGGAAGAAATATAAAATCTCTACCTAATAAAGTTTCTAAAAACGTATAACTTTTAAATAAGTCATCTGAAAATGATAAAAATAATTTTATTATATTATCTTAGTTGCTTACAATATCCATGTGTGTGGGGTCCAGGGGTTTGTTTTCGTGGTTTTTATTTGGTTGTAATGTGTGGATTCAACTGGCTTAAAAAGAGGCCCATCAAAACATTTTAGCAAATATAAGTGACTTGCTATGATAATATCCTGTTGATGCTATGAGCAGTAGAATTGTTGCTGTGACGATATCCTGTTTATGCTGTGAGCAGTAGAATGGTTGCTATGACGACATCCTGTTGATGCTGTGTGCTGTAGAATGTCCAACTGTGAAATCACCTTCGTGAATACTAAAAGGAATTCAACCATTTTTGGACCAATATTACTTTAAGAGATTCAACTTTCACAATATCGTAGGTTCCAAGGGATACAAAATCCCTCAAATCACGATCTGGGGCATTAATTTCTATTATTGTAAACATGTACCTGGCACAAAAGGTATAAAATATGGAATGTTTCCTTCTCTCTCCTCGCTTATCACCTGGTAATTTACATTATCAGATATAATTTCAATACACTTTTCAGAATATTTGTCTGTATTTGCTCTTAATCTCTCAGGCCCGTATTTTCAAACTGTGTCTCTGATTAGGTCTAATCGGTAACTAGCTAGTTCGAGATTAGTAGCTAAGTTTGACATTCTCAAAAGGTGGATTAGCTAATCTTTGACTCAAATTTTTCTTAATTAAAGATTAAAATTTATTTTTTTAACTTTGATTATAGATAGACGGCCAGGCAACAAAACATACGCCCACAGCAGCTAAAGTGTCCGGACAGTCAACAAGAGTTGTCGCAAATTTTTACTTCTGTCGGTAATGAAACATTTATAATACATAAATTATAATGGTTAAGAGTAACAACTCATTAAGTAATTATCAGAAAATCATTAGAATTTGCTAACATTTAGTATACAAAAAATTTAATACCATGGAGTTAGCTGTCAAGTTATCAAAAATCATTGAAATCAATATACTAGTTCATCTCAAGACCTTACACTCTGTGTATCAATGTAAGGTCAATCGAAACGATTATATATAGGCGTAAACACGGTGTATAAATATAAAATCAATCAGATGATAACAAGATTTTTCAAAGTGATCAAGGGCCATAACTCTGGAGGTAATTATCAGAAATCGGTGAAAATCAATAGGTTTCTTTGTCTCATGACCTTAAACATAGTGTATAAATTTAAAGTCAATCAGATATCAACCTTAGCCTCTAAAGCGTCCACACGATTTTTCAACGTGATCAAGGGCCATAACTCTGGCAGTAAATATTGGAAATCGGTGAAAATCAATAGGCTTCTTCGTCTCATGACCTCAAACAATGTGTATAAATTTAAAGTCAATTGGATATCAACTTTAGCCTCTAGAACATCCAAAAGCAATTGTGGATGCTGGGTGGACGCTGGACCGACGGACGGTCCGACGACGACAATATACGACCACATTTCAATGTGGGCATATAGAAATCAACATTTACTCAATGAGCAAATATAATCATTGATGAAAGGGGCCCAATTATTGGAAGTAGATTACAAAGCTCAATGATTTAGAACAGTGTTTCCCACTTGACACAGACTAGGTCATTTCGGGACTAACACATGCTTCAATTTTATTTCATTAATTTGCTTGCGCGTATGGGGGACCGGAGAACCCGGAGAAAAACCACAAAGTTGGACAGGCGACCCTACTCCTCCTTGTCACGTACAACCACGCCACATGACTCAATGACTGACTTAACCATTCCCCACCACCTAATATCTGCAGTTACCAAGCCTAGTCGGTGCAGAAAAGTAGAAGGTTAAATGTGCAATTTTTGTACAACTGAGTCATACATTAAGTATAACATCTTTTATTTATAAAAAAAACGTGAAAGGTAATCCTATATCTGCAGTTACCAAGCTTCAATGAGCGAGTATAAATGTATTTACTAATTCATTCCGCCCCGTTTTCATTAGTCCAGTCGGTGCACAAAAGTAGCAGGTTAAACATCAATTCATTTTATTTCACTTCGTTCCGCACGACTGTCTTTGTTTCTAATATTATCTCTTATTTGTAGGGATAATTAAAATATTGACAAAGCTGTGTAATACTAACAGCTTACAATGACCGACATGCACTGGACAAACTATTTATAAAACCACAGATAAAACTGTGTGAGAATTAATGAATATATACGGGTTATGAAGGCCCATGCATGTCTCAACAAACCACCTGTTTCACTAATAAACATAATGCAATCACAAAATATGGGATCCTAATATCAACTATTCCAGACAAAGTGAACATTTCAAAATCACTACAAGATTCGTGTATTCTAGGGATATAATTGTTTCGGCCGCAGAACATACCCCAGAAGACAACAAAAAATAGAAATAATTACAAATGGCTGATTCACAAGAGATAAAATAATACTATAAAATAAAACGTGTACAACTGACTAAGCAGGCGCAAATTAATAAAAGAGAGAGAGAGAGAGGGGGGGGGGGAGGGTTTAAGGTCCACTTGCCACAAACTAGGTCATTTCAGGACTAACATATGATTCAATTTTATTTCAATAATTCACTTGCGAATAGGGGTCTTTAACAGTGGGAGGAAACAGGAGGACCCAGAGAAAACAGTGCACATTTTTTTATAAAATCATTTAAATCTTTGATATGATATGTAGCCATATGCTTTCCTTGTCTATCACTTTTTGCACTACTCTGGTCGGTGATTAGTAGCGCACAGCAGCGCACCGAAGAGCTAGTCTGAATTGTGTAGAAGGTCCTAATATGGGAAATCTGAATGAAAAGAGTATATGCAGATGTGGCGCTCAGTGGATATTTGTAAACTTCTCAACGAGTCCACGCGTGGTAATGGATTTGATCACCATCTGTTCCACACAAATGTTCAGTGTTCCTTGACGTTCCAGAGTATCCCCAAAGTAAATGCGATAGAGGTTATAGTTTTTAACAAATTTCTTTCAAATTTGGTGGAAGCTTTGGGGTCATGAGAGGATGAACCCTATGAATATTAAAGGCCAATCTCGATTATATTTTGGAGAATAAAACTGCTAGATTTTGGGTTAAAATCCCTTAAAACCCTCTACCTTAGGACCGAGCAAATAACTCAATATACGGTGTCTGGATAAAACCAGACTTTTATTTTATAAAAATAACGTGTAGGTGAAATTTACCTTTAGTTATCAAGAACAAGACGTTGGTCATGCACTGTATAGACCTCTAAAGGAACGGCAAGAGATTATCAGGTTACCCAACGAAAAAATGGCCCTGACATCTTAAAAGGGTTATGTGTCCAGATAAGCGGTTTTGACGTTCAGGTCCAATCAACTCAATACTTTGAGCTGAAATTTGAGATAAGGTAAGTACACCATTCCTCTATATTTTGATGTTTAAATCTCATAAGAACATGGACGTTTATTTCTGCGACTCTGTTAAAATCGGGATGGACCCTTTAAGCGTTCTGCGACTTTCCGATTCATTGAATTTGCTCAACGTCTGAGTTTTCTATACATGTATTTATTGTAAAGCGCACCTGAACACGTATGTGGAAGATAGCGCTATATAAGTGTTGTATAATAATAATGACTAAATTTTGGGGGTGATTTAGTCCAAGATTAAGTACAAGTCAACGTTCCAGAATATCACATTTTACGGTATTCTCGAACAATGATTAACTCATGGCGTTTTTGTGAGTCGATTAGATTAGGTTTTGATTTGCTAGTACGATTTGGTATGATTTCGATTTGATTAGCTATGGTCCACAAATGTGAAATTTGATAATTACGATTTTGTAAGATGGCTGCCATCACGGACACCGATCAGAAAAAAAAAATTGTCTCTGCTAATTATTGATGACTTGTTAAAGACAAATGAAGGTTATCTACGCAAAAAAGGAAAAATGGTTGCCGTTAGAAACAATCTCCTATGTCCAACAAGTTCAAGTATTTTTTTGAAGACTGAAGTGACAAAACATGTAAAAAGTGTCCTGAGAAAACCTAGGATCGAGGAATATATTGAAAAAACTGTAAATGAATAAAATTGCTTAAAGGTGATCTAACATTCTTGTGGACTATAAAGTTAACATTAAACACGTCAAATGCTTTTTAAAAAAAACATTTTTTATGGAGAAAAACATCAATAAGCATTAAAAATTACTTACGACGTCGAACATTCCGCCATTTTGAAAAAGTCAAATCTAATCGCCTAAACACCTCCTGGGACGATTAGGTCGATTTGCCTAATCAGTTGAGTTAAATCGTCTCACAAATGTAACGATTAGCATAATCAACTTGGTTCACAAATGCGTATAATAGCTAATCGGTCTAATCTAATCGGTTCACAAAAACGCTTTCAATGATTAGGCTAATCAAAGTTTATAAAAATCTTAGTTTAAAATTTAATCCGTTTTTCATAATACATTGTTCAGAAAATCGGAGATAAAATTTCTGATTAGAACTAATCCACTTATGAAAATCTGGGCCTTGATGATTTAGTTTAGAATCTAAAATATGGGCCTCAATGATTTAGTTTAGAATCTAAAATATGGGCCTCAATGATTTAGTTTAGAATCTAAAATATGGGCCTCAATGATTTAGTTTAGAATCTAAAATATGGGCCTCAATGATTTAGTTTAGAATCTAAAATATTATTATTAAATATGACCACCTTTAAGAAATTAACCACCTTTAATCTTTGACATGTTACAAGATTCTGGTGATGAATATGGACACAACTTACCTAAAGATAGCGTGGACTGGTGACAACCGTTGATAGCCAATGAAATGATGGCAACCCGAACAAAAACATGTAATAGTTGATTACGATATAAAGACAACATCAGATGTTGTGCTGCAGTCTGCATCAATGGATCAACCTGATTGCCTGCATGACTAACAATGGGCATTAACTCTACCACATCTTCATCACTTACGTTGACGATATTTTTATGTAATGCCAAATGATGTCTTATAACATGCTCTGCTGTTTCATTCCCTGAAATTACAAATAAACGTTTTAGAATATTGCTACATACAGTTGAATGTCTAGTGACATCAACAGTAACCTAGTAACTTGGCTGTGTAACATCTGCTTTTACAACAGTTATAGCAAGAGAGAGAGAGAGAAAGAGAGAGAGAGATAGGTTTAATGTCTACTCGACACAAACTAAGTCATTTCAGGACTAACATATGGTTCACTTCAATTTCAATAATATGCTCGCACGTAGGAAATCGAAACCACGCCAGTTAACTCGATGACAGATCTTATGATACAACGCACATGCGCTAACCATTCGGCCACCCAACTCCCCACATTTACATAGAAACAGGGTTGGAAAGCGTATTAAACAAGAGTCCTATATACAATAGGTATCGAAGGGATAATTTGAGTACAATGAAGAATGATGCCAGAACAACAACAGCAAGCAACAACAGACAGCAACAACTGACAGCAACAACAGCTAGCAACAACCGACAGCAACAACAGACAACAGAGCAACAACAGACAGCAACAACCGACAGCAACAACAGCCAGCAACAACCAACAGCAACAACAGACAACAGAACAACAACAGCCAGCAATTAGATTGAATAAAATAACAAATCTCACCAGGCCAATCAATATATCCACCTATATTTGATGCTTGACGTTTCAACCATTCTACTTCTTTAATTAACTGTGTAATAGTGATCCCATCTTGACTCTGTAGCAAAATACTAGCTATTAGAGACCAAGGGGAGATAACCATATTCTTCTGATGACTTAACACAACATGGTGACTTAAATTCTTTAATAAATTTTGTTCTTCTGCTGATAAACTGGCTATATATCTATATAAAAACAAAGATACAACATCAATTAGTAAATTACATGTTTCTGTTACTGACTGTCTGACATGCGAGGTGGAGAATATTGTCAACTCTTTGTTGGAATTCCAATCCAGGTCTGTAAGGGTGAAGGAGGACAGTCATACTACCCAAGTCTGTAAGGTTGGAAGAAGGACTGTAGTACGACCCAGTACTGTAAGAGTGGAGGAGGACAGTCGTACTACCCAAGTCTGTAAGGTTGGAAGAAGGACTGTAGTACGACCCAGTACTGTAAGAGTGGAGGAGGACAGTCGTACTACCCAAGTCTGTATGGTTGGAAGAAGGACTGTAGTACGACCCAGTACTGTAAGGTTGGAGGAGGACAGTCGTACCACTCAAGTCTGTAAGGTTGGCAGAAGGACTGTAGTACGACCCAGTACTGTAAGGGTGGAGGAGGACAGTCGTATCTCCCAAGTCTGTAAGGTTGGAAGAAGGACTGTAGTACGACCCAGTACTGTAAGGGTGGAGGAGGACAGTCGTACCACTCAAGTCTGTAAGGTTGGAAGAAGGACTGTAGTACGACCCAGTACTGTAAGGGTGGAGGAGGACAGTCGTACCACTCAAGTCTGTAAGGTTGGAAGAAGGACTGTAGTACGACCCAGTACTGTAAGGGTGGAGGAGGACAGTCGTACCACTCAAGTCTGTAAGGTTGGAAGAAGGACTGTAGTACGACCCAGTACTGTAAGGGTGGAGGAGGACAGTCGTACCACTCAAGTCTGTAAGGTTGGAAGAAGGACTGTAGTACGACCCAGTACTGTAAGAGTGGAGGAGGACAGTCGTACCACTCAAGTCTGTAAGGTTGGAAGAAGGACTGTAGTACGACCCAGTACTGTAAGGGTGGAGGAGGACAGTCGTACCACTCAAGTCTGTAAGGTTGGCAGAAGGACTGTAGTACGACCCAGTACTGTAAGGGTGGAGGAGGACAGTCGTACTACCCAAGTCTGTAAGGTTGGGAGGAGGACAGTCGTACTACCCAAGTCTGTAAGGTTGGAAGAAGGACTGTAGTACGACCCAGTACTGTAAGGGTGGAGGAGGACAGTCGTACCACTCAAGTCTGTAAGGTTGGAAGAAGGACTGTAGTACGACCCAGTACTGTAAGAGTGGAGGAGGACAGTCGTATCTCCCAAGTCTGTAAGGTTGGAAGAAGGACTGTAGTACGACCCAGTACTGTAAGGGTGGAGGAGGACAGTCGTACCACTCAAGTCTGTAAGGTTGGAAGAAGGACTGTAGTACGACCCAGTACTGTAAGGGTGGAGGAGGACAGTCGTATCTCCCAAGTCTGTAAGGTTGGGAGGAGGACAGTCGTACTACCCAAGTCTGTAAGGTTGGAAGAAGGACTGTAGTACGACCCAGTACTGTAAGGGTGGAGGAGGACAGTCGTACCACTCAAGTCTGTAAGGTTGGAAGAAGGACTGTAGTACGACCCAGTACTGTAAGAGTGGAGGAGGACAGTCGTATCTCCCAAGTCTGTAAGGTTGGAAGAAGGACTGTAGTACGACCCAGTACTGTAAGGGTGGAGGAGGACAGTCGTACCACCAAAGGGGAACATCTAAACATTTTTATCTTATTCTATCAAATACCTCAAGTTTAGGTTGCAGTTTTGTTCAAATGAAGTTGCTTTATTCCATGGGGAGGGGTGGATGGCCACTTTATCCATTGTCACGTACAACCGGTGAATCGAAACCATGCCAGTTGACTCAATGACAGACCTTATGATACAACGCACACACGCTAACCCTTTGGCCACCCAACCCCGCTCTGATTTGAGAAATAAAACTACAAACAATACCTTGGAGCTAAATTATGCGAACTTCTATCGATCTTTCCATCCATGAACTTTCTTATTGAGATCGGTTCACCAAAAAACATGTGGACACATCCATAATCTTCCTCTAAAATACTTCTTGCTTTTAATAACCCCTAAAAGATACAATAAAATACTTCTCCCTTTCAATAACCCCTAAAACATAGAAATAAAATACTTCTCCCTTTTAATAACTCCTAAAACATACAATAAAATACTTCTCCCTTTTAATAAATCCTAAAACATGAATAAATTACTTCTCCCTTTTAATAGCCCCTAAAACATAGAAATACACGAAAGGAATGAATCAAACAGGTTGTAAAATTAAAACAACTGAGTACTTACTGAAGTTGATTCTTTAGGTTTAGGAACTCCCAATAATTCATATGCGTATAAACTTTCTTCAAGAATTCTGTCGTAACTAATACTAATAGGCATAATCATTATATCGGGAATATGTGATTTAAAATACGTCTCAACAGATGCTTGTAACATCCCTGAAAAAAACCCATTAAAAACATGAAATATCTCGGAACCTATCCCACTTGGATGTCACTATCAGGCTGTTTACTATTGACAGGTTTCAGTATAAGTTGAAGCTCTGATGTATTTCATAATTACAATTCATCTAAAATTAATTTTAACATATTTTATATCAGAGCTAAATCTGTCTATTGCAGGTCTTTCTTTCTTTAGGCCTGAAATGTTATCTGAATTATTAATTAGACATTAATTAACTTATCCAGAACATAATCAACTCTTGATGTCATCGTTAGCCTGTGATATTTACTGGATTAGGATCCGATCTGCTGCTTAACGCTCATGGATGATTAAATCAAAAAATGGATAATCAAGACTATGTATTTTATAGGCCCAAAATTCAATTGCTTAATTCTCTGGTCTAATCTCCCATACTGTATCTTTAATTAAATTTATGACCATCTGAACGTCACATTTTTCTGCTGAGGTTTTTTTTTTGCCATCTTTATTATGTATCTAAGTTCATTGATAATATAATAAGAAAATATAATAATACCTACCTAATCTTGGTGAGTATGATTTTTGTGTTCGACTTCTCGTTCCTTCAACATAAAAAGAAACGGGTGAATCTCCATTGCATATCTGAGTTTGTACGTATTCCGTAAAAACAGCCCAGTAGAGTTGATCATCACCGAAACTACGTCGAATATAAAATGCACCACAGTTCCGTAATAACCAACCAAAAAATTTCATACCCATAAAATCTGAAATGGAGGACAGTCGGGTTATTTAACCAATAAAATTTGAAATGGAGGACAGTCGGGTGATTTTAACAGGCATGAAACTGTTGACTTCACTGAATCTTTTGGTTCGATTCCTAATGGATTTGAGATTAATTGGTTGAGAATCAGCTCAGATAAACAGAATAATACTACATGTATAGGGAGAGAAATGGGGTTTAACCTCCACTCAACACAGACTAGGTCATTTCGGGACTAACATATGGTTTTAATTTTATTTCAATAATTCGCTTGCGCGTAGGGGTCTTTAGCAGCGGAAGGAAACCGAAGAACCCGGAGAAAACCATGAGGTTGGACAGGCAACCCTACTCCTTGTCACGTACAGCCAAGGAATCAAAATCACGCCAGTTGACTCAATGACAGGCCTCATGATACAACGCGCACTTGCTAATATGTACATGTATAGGCAAGGTGGTAGTGTTCTGGAACTTGAAAAGTAGTTCTTAGACAATCTCAGTGCTCCTTTAGATGTATACATGTACTGTATAGGCTTGGAGTGGAGTGAGGTTAAAATTGTGGCAATGCTTTCAATGTTTGTTTGTACGACGTTTTGATGAATGTAGAATGAATTAAATATACTCTGTATATGTGTCTGCTTCCTGCCGTACAAGTTCATGATGTAGGTACATTGTTTACCTGTGCTTAACTACAATAATTTAAAAGTTGACTAGTTGATAGAACTATCAGTTCATAAATTGTTAAATTCTTTTCAGTATTTACAAAGATATGATGAATTAACAGGTCAAACTATAAAATATTTTACATACCCATAGCCGAGGCTATAACTGGCAGTGGTAGGTCTTAGTTATAAAATATATTACATACCCATAGCAGAGGCTATAACTGGCAGTGGTAGGTCATAGTTATAAAATATAAATGACACTAAGAGAAAATCCAGGTAACTTCTATGTGTTGGCATTACTAATATAGGATATTCTTTCATTATTTCACGCACCTGAAATATTCAATATTATAACTCATTCAATTATTTCAACATGGAAGCAGGATTTCCCTAATAAATACAGTATTTAGGTGATTTCTCTGATCAATACAGTATTTAGGGGATTTCCCTGATCAATACACTGAGACCAACATATGGTTAGTCCAGTGGTTATGTGTAATAGGAGGAACATAGTAGCATTTCCATCAGCCCCAGTATTCTTTGTTGATTTCCAAATATCAACGGTTCTTTTTCATACATGCAAATGTGTATATGTCATACGAATAGACCCTCGTTGCCAGCCACCACCACCACCCCCACCCGCCGATACCACCCAAGACAAGCGCTACCATGCAGATTCCACCCTAGACAAGCACTACCCTGCAGATCCCACCATAGAAAAGCACTACCCTGTGGATGTCATCTTAGAAAAGCACTTCCCTGCAGATACCACCCTAGACAAGCACTACCCTGCAGATTCCACCCTAGACAAGCACTACCCTGCAGATGCCACCCTACACACCTTGGATTTGAACCCAAGATAATCTGCTCGAGAGTTCAGTGCCCTGACCAAACGACTCGCCAAATATTTCAACACACCTTTTGCACACCTTCTTCATTGACGTAAATTCTTTTAAACAGTTTTTTCATGGCTTTAATCAGGAAATAAGCGAACCCACGAACAGCGCCAAGTCTCAGATTGTGAGCCATTTCATCTAATATAGATTGAGCCTGTATCGTTACATCTGTTACAGGTAACTGGGTTTCCTTACACACCTGTAAATATTACAAAAATCAGAGTAAATATCATAACAATCAGTGTAAATATTACAACAACTAGTGTAAATATTACAACATCTAATGTAAATATTACAACAACTAGTGTAAATATTACAACATCTAATGTAAATATTGCAACAACTAGTGTAAATTCTAGAGTTTTATATTAGTTCCATGACAGTGTTACCTGTCCTCTATAACAGTGTTACAATTTACCTGTCCTCTATAACAGTGTTACAATTTACCTGTCCTCTATAACAGTGTTACAACTCACCTGTTCTATAGCATATTTAACTCTGTCACTTTTCATCACATGTTCTTTGATGTCATCTGGAGATCGGGGTTTATTTAATTTAAAACTAGGCACATCTCGTGATCGTGTGAACCATCGTAAATCGCTGTTATGTCGTCTGTCCTCGAGAATATCATCAAACATATCTTTATGTTTACCTGAGACCAGTTTCGGATCATCTATAAAATAAATAAAAACATTCACTCATTGTTTACCCGAGACCAGCTTCAGATCATCTATAAAATAAATAAAAACATTCACGCGTTGTTTGTATGATCTGAATCTGGCAATAAAGAGAGAGAGAGAGAGAGAGAGAAATGGGGTTTATTGTCCACTCAACGCAAACTATGTTATTTCGAGACTAACTTACGGTTCAATTTTATTTCAATAATTTGCTTGTGCGTAGGGGTCTTAGCAGTGGGAGGAAAATGGAGGATCTGGAGAAAACCCATGAGGTTGGACAGGCGACCTAATCCTTGCCATGTACAACTGGGGAATTGAAACCACACCAGTTGACTCAATGACAGACCTTAGAATACAGCGTGCATGTGCTAACCATTCCATTCGGCCATCCAACCCCCCACAAACATTAAGATAAACAGTGCTATGCTATGCTATTATGCAGATGCCTACAAGTATCTTCATACCAAACACAATTAGACATTGGAATAATCTAAACCCCAGTATACTAGAGAAATCAAACTCCAAAAACCTGTCCAACTTTTCAGACCTTATTAGATCACAAAGATATGCGAATAATTTTTTATTAGACACTTGACGCATGTAGCACCTATAATAAAAGTTAAAGATGAAGATGAAGTCCTGTCGCAAATCTAACCTGTGATAAAAGGGAATTCTCTACAACCAGAACAGTACAATGTATATTTAAACTCGGACAACACAGGACTGAGCAATGTACCAATACGTAGGCATATCCAGATAGCCTAACAATCGCACAATTACTTCTCTTACATGCCACATTTACATTAGCTTAATTCATACATTTCACAACAAAAATGCTGATTTTACTATCCTATTGGAATGTCACATTCGTACATATGATACAAAAGAAATACTCATTAATTTTTTAGTCTTTTTGGGTGAATTTTCAGATTTCTAGCAATTCTAAATAGAAAGGCTAGCCCCACCCCTTTATTGGAGTGGGAATATCATCAACAATTCATAAATTCAGGTCATTTTTTATTTAATGATAATCTGACTTGTAGAATCCGGCTGCACCTTTTGTGATCCAGGAATTTCTAGACTGTTCATGATCATCCATTTTTATGAGCTGTCTTATTTCATCGATAAATTTTAGAAAAATCAAATCAAAAACATGTTTTGCTTTTCCATCATCCACATCAGTGCCTGTAACCAGATTGTAAACAATCCATTGGCCAATCCGTTTATCGCCTGACGCCGGCAGCGCGATTAACCAGTAATGATTGTCAATTGGAAATTTGAGACCTAATATTCGTATCTCTATCCAATGTCGTAAATAATAAACGTTCTTTAATTTCATAGATTAAGCGTCTGAAATCTCAACAAAAGTTGAAACTATTTTCCTTGCCAACCGATTTTATTATGTTCTTTTTTAAATTTCGCTCTAATTTTATCACGTCGAATATAATTAATGTCGGAAATATATGTGCTCTTCAATCGAGAAGGTGATAACAGTCCATCGTAATAAAGAACTGATTCGAGTAGAAAATGACAACATTTATTTAATTTTACCAGCATGGTGCACCGTTCTGATTAATGCCAATACGATGAATTTATGGCAATGTCTCTATTTATTTGCACTGTTGCCAATGTGCTGCGGAAAAGTGACATTTGTAAGTTTATAGTGAGAAATTTGCAATAAACATTGCCAGGGGAGACAACTGAGTTACTAATCTTTTGGGCTTAGACTACATGACTATTATCGTTAATTCTCTATCCTGAATTGAAATGTTGAATCCATGACATTTCTTGATCTACTGATGTCCAGATGTGCAATAGTGTCTTTATTTTTACAAAAAAACAAACATGACATAATCATTATTTAAAAATATTGAATAGTGTTGGTTTCCAGGTTATTTCGATTGTTGGTATGCCTGGTCAAAGAAATCTATTGGCCACTGTTCTTAATCGGCTGTTTTTTGTCGAATGACATATCCGTTGGAATTAGGTCAATCAACCAGTTGACACGTTGACAGAGGCTTAATTTTAAAAAATATTGTCGTTATTATTGAAGGCTATATCATAGTGGTACAGAATTTTATTATAGGCTTTGTCATCATTTTCATAAATGATTTACCTAATGTCAGAACATTCAAGTATATTAAATATTTTATGAATTTTCTATTTTAGAAATCAGTGAAACAGTTTATAGACAGTCAAATCGAACAACTGGGTAAAAATGGAGAAAAGTGTTTGTTAAAAAAACTGAGTAGAAAAAATATAGATCGTCATCGACTGAAATATCTAATGGTAATAAACTTCTTTTATTTTTAGAAATTCAATGGTGTTTAACGTCGTACTTTTCTGCACCGATTGGGCTAATAAAGATGTTTTTTTTAACTATCCGAGCTACTGTACGTTGCCCCATGTCAGGCCTTCTTGACAATATTGGTGTCAGTCATTATCACATATGTGATAGAACTCGTTAAACATTCCAAATATAATTTTAACACAGAGATCATTGCTACGACAGATGTGTAATACAGGTTTGAAGAAAAGGAAGTGGCGAATGCAAAAGGAAAACACAAGTTATCCTTCAATATAATGGACTGAAGTGACGAGTGAAAACAGATACACGGGCGAATATCTGCTCACTAACTTCGGAGACCAGAAGTTATTATACGAGACTGTGAGAGGGTATCTGATAATTAAAAAAAGTAATCGAATGTCATTAGATAAGAGAACAGGAGAAAAATAGAAATAGTCCGTACATTCCCTTGTTTATATTCATTCTATACCTATATAAAAACATGGTAATACACAGACTTATTCTATATTTTTTTAATGCTACAAAATAGTAAATATTTGAAAACCATTGTTGACTACAAAGAATGAGGTAGGTGTATATTTCATTGCCAGGCAACCAATTTTATTTTTATTTGTTTTTCAGACAGAAAATGTACAGGTAGAGATGTGTCATATCAACTATTTAATAGATAATGAAAGAGATGGCGTTGTGTGGTCGTCACTCGCTGATATTTATTCCACCAGAGGAAAGAAGTTTACAGCACAAGCTAACTTCTGCTTCAAACAAGCTTTACAGATTACAGGAAAACACACACCATTTATCCAAGACTGGTATTTTCTTGGTCCTTTTGGAATTGGTAAAACTGAATTTGATGGGGATCCTGTGGAATCGTACGGTGGCATTAGAAACGCTTCGGTTTACAGATATACGAAGAATGATTATTATTCAGAGTTAATGCCCCTTGCTGTCGTCAGATGGTTTTCAATTACGCAAAGCAGTGCCAATGAAGCTATCCGTGTTGCTCCAAATGTTCCGTGGAATGATTTAGTTAATACATTAGGGTCTTTAGGTATAACAGAATTTCAGGGGTGGTTGGTTGGTGATTTTGCTGTTAATGCTGAAGACAATTTTGTATTTCAATGTTTAAATGCTGTCACATTTTATATTGACGACATTCCATTAACTGGAGATGTGTATCAAAGACGTCAGTATTGGTTCGGTACCCCGTTAGATCGCGGAATACACACAATTTATGTTCCAGTTCGAAACAAAATATCGGCCAACATTCGTTGCTCATTTCAAATTGCTCCTAAAAATTTCCAAGTTTCGGAACCTCCGTTTCTTCCTGATCTGTATGACGGTTATTTATTTGGAAATTATATCCACATTCCCGTTTCTAATTTACATTCTACAAAATGGCTGAAAAATATCAGATTCTCCGCAGCGTACCAGTCACAAGGGGAGACAATTCAGGTTAAAGCTGTGAATAATAATTATTCAATTGCTCCAGGTCAAAGTCGACCAATTATAGTTAAGCTAACATCAGAAAAAAAAGTTTTATCCCAGTGCACAGAAAGTAGCGTTGATTTAAAATTGAAGATATCTACGTCAGAGGGCGCAGATGAAATAACTGTCAGTCTGCGTTGTCGGAATCTTCAACAGTCTGTTGTATTTACGTTTTTGGATCATGATGGATCTGTGCAGCATGCAGCAGCCATTAAGCCGATCTCGTCATGTCTTGGATCCGTCTGTCCGGTTATGATAACGTTCCATGGTACAACAGTTCCACCACAGAATCAAGCCGATAGTTATAAACACATGGTCAATGGAGAGTTTGTATTTGGCGTGGAGAATATGTGGTTACTCGCTCCTACTAGGTACAAATTTAGTTTTATAATTGTCTATTATTTTTACTGATTAATCGTAATAAAATAGATATAAATAAATTATCATCAGCACCAATATTGTTTGAAAGTTTTTCTTTTTAATTAGGTATATTTTATAAAACCTCTGACAATTACACATTAACTCTGACAATATCATGTTTTATATAACCTCTAACAATTACACATTAAAGATACATTATGGGATATTTTTATAGAGAATTGGCCATTCTTGCTATAACAGTTCAAAAGTAGATGATGAAAGAAGAATATTTTGAAAATTTCAGTCAAATTACTTTATTCTGAACATAGTTATCATCGTTGTAATATTTGACTAGAAATGGTAGTGAAATGTGCTTTCACCTTGGCCGGTCGTTTGATTGACAGGCGTTAACTCCACCTACATATCTCGATTATCAAGTAAAGTTTTCAATGGCATGCGGAAACGCTCTACAGCGGCCTCGCTAAGTACACTCTATCATTTAGCCTCGATCTAACTGACGTATTCTCATCAGGATGCGCCATATTTGAATTAATTGATAAGTGAAATCCTATTTAAATCCGAGCTGTAGCCAAGCCATCCGTGGGTCGACAGAGTTGATTTTGGGCTTGTTGTTTAAATAAAGATCTAATTTATAATTTCTATAACATCTGAAACCTAAATTGAGACTTGCAATAATCAGATTTTGCTCTTGCATAATGTATGTTTAACTCGGAATATATCACTACCTTACCAAGTTTGTAAACCTCCAGTTAAATCAGTGAATTCTGTTATTAAAAGTCTATATCCGCTTCTTTCTCCATTTCAAGAAATCTGTATTTAATATTATTTTAGGCATGGGGCACATAATTGGGAAGGTCCTGGACTTCTAACCGCTTTAACTGCTCTCGAAGCTTTAAAACAGATGATAGAGAGAGCTGATTGGTTGGATTATAACTCAGTTGATACTCAACAGTTAATGGTTGCAGGTCAGTAATTTAATTATGTCGTCTGTCCACGCATCGCTTCAGATTTTCTTCTTTCTCTTTCAAGAAATGTTTAAAATATGAAATATTGTTCATGTATGAAATCCATTGATCAGGGTTACTGACTTGATATCTGAACCTTTGATTTTTAGAGTTATTTCTTGTAACCAGAGGGGGAGTGGATGGCCAAGTGTTTAGCACATGTGCGCTGTATCATAAGGTCAGTCACTGAGTCAGTTGGCATGGTTTCGATTCCCTGGTTGTACTTTGCAAGTAGTAGGGTCGCCTGTCCAACCTCGTGGGTTTTCTCCGGGTCCTCCAGTTTCCTCCCACTGCTAAAGAGCCCTACGTGCAAGCGAATTATTGAAATAAAATTTAACCATTTGTTACTCCCGAAATGACCTAGTTTGTGTCGAGTGGACTTTAACCCTTTAGGATTTTAGGTAGGATCATCAAGTCTTTATCCATAACAAACTGTAATTATCTTATATTAAATTCTGTCCTGTGTAGTTCCAGTTCACTTACTAAATGCTATTGAAACCATTTTAAGTTTTTGTCTATCTACAGGTCATTCTATGGGAGGTCATGGAGCGTGGCATCTAGCTACCCACTACCCCGATCGACTGATGGCCCTCGTTAGTTTGGCTGGTTGGATTAAAAAGGAAGAATATGGAGACAGTAATTTATTTTTTAAGTAAGGTATTAATAAGTTCATTCCTTTCTAATATTTCACAATGTAGGAAAATTCTATTCATTAAAATAGTAAATGAAAGCCTTGGAGACACATATTCCTGAATCAATGTCCTGAGACCCTCCCTGGCCATTGCTGGATTAGCTTCTGATACTTGAGCTTTGGAGGGAGTGTGTCTATTCTTCCCGTTCAATCAAATCTATCCCAAGTACAGCAACATGACAGACCTTCGTTTAATCTGGGAGGTCTTCCCTAAGGCTTTAGACAGTGATTTAAGGTATTAAAAAGGTGAAAGTATTGTTCGTCGTCAAACAATATTGTTTACATTATAGCCGTTTGATAGCCTCGTTTGTCACGCAATTAGTTTTTCTGCAATATTCTGCTATGCACTGGTTAATTGGGCGTAATAAAAGCGGGGGTCATGACGTAAAGTTATGTAAGCATATTTGGTCCAATTTGGAGCTCTGTTTGAAGCGTAATGATAATAGTACTCAGTTAGTTATTGGCTGTTAATCGGACTATTGACCAGTCATAATTTGGAACAGAAATTTGCTTCCATTACCGCAGTGTTAAGTGGGATTAGCTCTAATCAAACGAAACACTGTTAGGAGTATGTGGAGACATATCAGCAGGATTATTGATTGTTGGTTTAGAGACATGTTATTATGATTATTGATTGATTGGATCAGGCCAAAACAATTTAATTTTTAATTCTTTGAACACTTGATAAATAAATAACCACACAAGTCTGATTAACGAGGTTTTACCCACTCCAGATCATAAGACCTGTTACCTATGCAAATCAGTTGTTTGACTCTCACTGTAACCCAGGTATCATACGATCGTAACACGCTAATACAGATTATAGATGCTGTTTATTTTATACGATCGTAACACGCTAATACAGATTATACATGATGTTTATTTTTGTTGAATTTGTTTATTTATAGACATGACATATCTACAAGTTATACCGATTCTGTCGTTAAATCTATCATGGAGTCGTGTATCGCAGAAAATGATGCAGATAGACATATTACTAACCTGCAGGTAAAATCTTACTTCTCCTCATCCAATCACAGAGCTTGTAACAAATACACGTGTATTTGATCCTTGTTCCCACTTGTCAGGGACTGATACTAACAGTGTGTTCATTGTAGAATTGTGGGGGATGGGATGCCAAATGATTTAACACGTTCGCATTAGATAATAAGGTCTATCATTTAGTCAAGTGGCGTGGTTAAAATTCCCTGTGGTATGCTTAGTCCCTTCTCTCCCTATCATTCCACATGTGACCCAAGTAAATATAATTGGAATAAAATCTGGTTTAACATCCAAGCCAATGGAGACGGGCATAAACCAGCTGTCAGGGAATAATTAATATATTCGAGCCAATGGAATACACAGGACAGAAATTAAATATAAATACAAACATCCGATTAACTCAAAATCGCTGCGGTAAATAAAAGAAAAGGTTCATGTAAGGAAGACATTCTCCCCCCAAAAATTATATTTTATATGTATATAGTTCTATTCTAATAATTATATTTTATATGTATATAGTTCTATTCTAATAATTATATTTTATATGTATATAGTTCTATTCTAATAATTATATTTTATATGTATATAGTTCTATTCTAATAATTATATTTTATATGTATATAGTTCTATTCTAATAATTAAAATGATTTTGCCCACTGTAAAAACGGTATGAATACATATAATATAGAAATACAAATTTGTAGTGAATGCCGACATTGTATGTAAATGTGTGATGACATAGTGCACTACATCATCTAATTCAGAAATAATAATAATAATAATAATATGGAGGCGATGATATAACCTATTTTTTTTTTTTAGGAAATACCTGTTTATGCGAGGATAGGAGCGGATGATAGAACAGTTCATCCTTACTATGTACGTAGAATGGTTCGATTATTGAATCAGGGGAAAGTAAAAGTAGAGTACAGTGAATTAACAGGAAAAGAACATTGGTGGTGGGATACTAGGTATGTTAATGGCTACTATTTCATGTCACCAATAAAATACCAAGTGAATTAAGTTTTTTTCCTAAAGAAAGAAATATTAATTTTCAACAGTATTAGGCCTTGTAACATGGACAGGAGATCTGTGCAATAACAATAAGCATGTTGAGCAGTTGTCAATGTTACTAGTCATTTATAGCATGCTTCATCTGTTAACAGGTTTAACCCCTTGGCCTTCGGCCTCTGGTTAAACCTGTTAACTCATGAAAGCCGTGCTATAAATATAACTTGTATTATAATATATTTTCTTCATCTTGTTCATATGGGATAAAAATAACGAGGTACACCGTTAAACATTTGGCAGTTGGAAATATGAAACTAAAACTAGGTCATAGACTTGATGACTGGGCAAAATTTCTCTTACATCAGTGTACATGGTTTATGCCCATATAAATTAACACCATTGGTTATGGTGCGAATGGTTAGTACGTGCGCGTTGTATCATAAAGTCTGTCATTGAGTCAACTGGCGTGGTTTCGATTCCCCGTTTGTACGTGACAAGGAGCTGTAGGGCCGCCTGTCCAACCTCGTAGGTTTTCTCTGTGTCCTCCGGTTTCCTCCCACAACTAAAGATCCCTACGCACAAGCGAATTATTGAAATAAAATTGAAGCAATTAAATTCTATATTTCAGTAAAACTAATGATGGTGGTGCTGTCAATGATGAATCAATCAGGAATTTTGTAGCAAAACATTCCACAACATCAGCTGATGCTGATCAACAATCATGCTCAAAGGATGGAGATTGTGCCAAATCTAAGAAAACCCCTGATTCTAAATATAGTAACAATGATGACACATCCCGGGAGTTTACGTTGACAACTGTTAATCCAGCTTTAGGGGAGGGGCTGAAAGGAATTAGAATCTTACAGCAAATCTTACCCTATAGAACTAGTCAAATTCATGTGAGTACAAGTCATATATACCATACAGAATGAGTCAAATTCATGGGACTAACGTGGTTATTTCTATGGGCAAGGCATGATGGAGTATTTTGCCCAGATAGCTGTGTTTCCACCTACATTTCTTTGAAATCCCAACTGACAAGGAAGGGTCCAACTGCCAAGGGTTTTACATGCATCCCAACTGACAAGTGTTCTTTTACATGCATGCCAATATGTACATGGAACAACCTTAGCTTTTATTGCCATTCAAACAACTAGGCAACACTTTACCTGTTATATCATTGTAGTTCTTGTAGTATTGATAAGATTTACCTGTTATATTGTTGTAGTTCATGTAGTATTGATAAGATTTACCTGTTATATCATTATAGTTCATGTAGTATTGATAAGATTTACCTGTTATATCGTTATAGTTCATGTAGTATTGATAAGATTTACCTGTTATATCATTGTAGTTCATGTAGTATTGATAATCATTTTATAGTTACATGTAATCTACTGTATAATTGGATAAGATTTGTTTTGGCATGTCACACCATTAAATCAGTCTGTGTGTCATTTGAATTTTTTGTAAAATAGAAAATCTTTAATGGTCAGTCCACTCTAAAAGTTACTCCGTTTTCCGCAAGTCCTCTAATGACATTCTGACTCTTAGTCTTTGAATTTTGTGACGAAACTTATTTTATAATCACCGGTGATTGATGAACATTTGAATCCTAGTCATAGCACCAGTCTATTACAGTTTCTTGATTTAAAATTAAACTTTCTGAGAAACTGACACAATTGACTTTTAATGTTGAAGACCATGTTTTCTGAGAAAGTAACAGCTTGTATTATTTGTGTTTGAACAGATTTCATTAGGTAAAGAGAAGATAACTCTAACTACAGAGAATGTAGTCAGGTTTAGTATAGGAGAATCAACCAATAGAAGAATAGATTGGAATAGTAAACAAATACAGGTGAGCCTACTGTATTCATATTTTTATTTCCCTTGATAAAATCAGATGTCTGTAATATTGAATCCCAGGCTCTGATCAGATGGAGAATTTAGCCTTAATTCCAGGCTCTGATCAGATGGAGAAATTAGCCTTAAAACATAGCTTCTAGGTTTAAAAACACTAAACAATAATCTTAAAATATCGCAAAATGACTAATAATATTATTATTTCAGGTTGACAACACAAAATTTTTTGCTGAGGAAATAAAAAATATTCTACTAACTGATTCTGGTCATTTTCATCTTGTTAAAGGTAATATTGATTATTTATTTATAATAATGTTGTTTGCTGTGAAACCCTACAGTCACGCCATGAGAACAATAACCAAGGTCTTGCTGTGGTGTACATAGTGACTGGTTTGCTGTGAAACCCCACAGTCACGCCATGAGAACAATAACCAAGGTCTTGCTGTGGTGTACATAGTGACTGGTTTGCTGTGAAACCCCACAGTCACTCCATGAGAACAATAACCAAGGTCTTGCTGTGGTGTACAGATTGACTGGTTTGCTGTGAAACCCCACAGTCACTCCATGAGAACAATAACTGGGGTCTTGCATTGGTGTACATAGTGACTGGTTTGCTGTGAAACCCCACAGTCACTCCATGAGAACAATAACTGGGGTCTTGCATTGGTGTACATAGTGACTGGTTTGCTGTGAAACCCCGCAGTCACTCCGTGAGATCAATAACTGAGGTCTTGCCGTGGCGTACAGATTGTCAAAAGAACCCATATCAGATCGAATTATCAAAAGATTGAGCGAACAAAATTCACCCCTCAACTTGCATTGATCACAGAAATTTACGATACGATGGTTTGAAAACAACTACTTATTCTGTTGATGAGATCTCGAACCCTGTTACATTTCATACCTTAATAGAAGACCTGATACCACTTCTGTAATCAGATGTTATAAAGTAAACTTGGCAATAGGTCAATGAACATGTTGTTTGGTGTTTTGGTGTATAATTATTTTTTGTTTAGGTCGAGAATGGAAGATTTCTAATGATGATATTTATTCTATTGCTGAACGAGGTCCTGAAAATCTGGGTCCTGCCAGACGAGTTGCTGAAAGGGAATTCCTCATTATAGTTGGTAAGTCCATGTGGAAGGAAAACTTGTTCCTTTGAATCGGTAAATATTAGTGGGGGAGCTTGAAAGGGGGTGGGGAATGGGGGGCTGGAAGGGGGTGGGGAATGAGGGAGCTGGAAAGGGGTGGGGAATGAGGGAGCTGGAAGGGGGTGGGGAATGAGGGAGCTGGAAGGGGGTGGGGAATGAGGGAGCTGGAAGGGAGTGGGGAATGGGGAATGTATCTGTTTGTGTGATCTAAGGTTAGATTTTTAGATCTTACAATATATCATCTGTTCAAAGTTTGTATGTCACGAGGAGTATGGTCACCTGCTTGCCCCAGCCAGATTTATTGATCTGTATTTGTCATTATGTTGTTTGTATTTATAGGTACAAAGGGTGATTCGGAGATGAAGAATGTTTTATTATCCAGTGCTGTATATATAGCTAATTTATTTTACCTGGCATCCGATACAATCGTTAATATAGTCTTAGATACTGATATCTCTCTACAACAAATAGGTAAGGAGAGGGGAGTTGATGGGGTTAATATAGTATAGATATATCTATACAACAAATAGGTAAGGAGAGGGGGGAGTTGATGGGGTTAATATTGTATAGATATCTCTATACAACAAATAGGTAAGAAGAGGGGGGAGTTGATGGGGTTAATATAGTATTAGATACTGATATCTCTATACAACAGGGTGGGTTGGGTGGTCGAATGGTTAGCACATGCGTGCTGTATCATAAGTTCTGTCATTGAGTCAACTGCCTGTCCAGCCTCGTGAGTTTTCTCCGGGTCCTTCGGTTTTCTCCCACTGCTAAAGACTCTTACGCGCAAGAAAATTATCGAAATAAAATTGAACCATGTGTTAGTCCTGAAATTTCCTAGTTTGTGTGAGTGGAGGTTAAACCTCCCTCCCTCTCTCTCTCTCTCTCTCTCTCTTTACAACAAATAGGGGGTGGGGAGAGAGGGATAGGATCAATAAGCTTCTGCCTGTTCTCTAATCAAGTTTCTGTAAATAAATAGTTTTAATGAAAGCCAATAATAAATAAGTAAATACAGTTTTATTTTTGTATCAGATATTTTAACACCATGAAAGGATCTTTACGGGCCACTATTGTAGAATTTTAAAAGCTAAAAAGTGTGGTATATTTATTCACGTTGGTTTCATAATATACAAAGTAGGTGTTTTATATCTTTCATTGCAAAATTATATGTTCTATTTTTCAGAAAAGAAGAATGCAATAATATTAGGAAACTCCAAAGAAAATTCTTATACTGAAGACTTTTTATCAAAAATTCCTTTAAAAATAAAAAAAGATGATATTATATTAGACAATTGTGTTTATGGCAGCCATACTAGAACAGGGGTGATAACTCTAGCACCTAACAATAAGAAGAACATTGTTTTAATAATATTTGGAAATTCTAAAGAAGGATTGTTAGATGCTGTTTCATTGGCTAAACCAACCATTCCTCCGATGACACGTTCTCCGGTAAGTTCTCAACAAGTTAAGTTTTAATTCTTGTTCAGACGCAATTGATTAACACATTTAAGTTTAAAAAGAAACTTCATGAAGGGGGTGGCATGTAAGAAAGAGAAACTTCATGAAGGTGGTGGAATGTAAGAAATGTTAGCAGAATTATTGACATAATAATAATAATGATACTTGTATCATGCAACTATTCATTCTACCAGGGAATGTACTAGAAAACGTTCTCACTTTGGATTGTTAATCATAGTGACTTAAATAACCAAGTTTTCACTTTGGATTTAAAAACTGACACAGAATCAAATTGTCAGATGTTTTCTGGAAGTTCCACACAGTTGATGCACTGTATCGAAAAGTTCTGGATCCAAATGATTTCAAATTATAGGCAGGTACGTCCATTCCAATAGTAGGTTGCTTTCTGATCTTAGTGATCGTTTAGGTTGATACAGTGATACTAGATTTTGAAGGAAACTTACATAAGCAATGTAAACTTCAAATGCCAATGGTAGATAATCTCCTAGCCTGGAATCAATCAAATTAAATAGAGGGCTATCAAACGTTTTTACCCAACATTTACAGGTGGTGTTGGCTTCTTTATATGAAGAGCCCAGCAGAAGAACGATCTGAGTCACATTTTTGTCTTTTCACATAAAATGCAAAACAGACTTTGGATGAGAATGCATGACGCGAACAGAACAACGAGTGGGTTAATTACAACTTCAAAATGATGTTTAATACGAATCATAATTACCAATACAACTGACTTCAACTTTTCAGCCAAATTAAGGTCTAATAAATACAATGGACTTGTATTTGTCCGGGAGGCCATTTCAGAAGGGCCTTGGTTCGATGTGACTCTGATCGTTTTTACCTAAAATTGATTGTTCCACAGAATTTGCTATCAGATGGCACCATTAACCGGGGTTCATTGAAAAGGTGACTTAGATCGTTCCCGGGGCTCTTCAGATATTTTGGACTAATATTCCTTTTACAGATTCAATTTTCACAATATTCTAGTTTACAATGAAATGGTATTTTACGTCCTACCTTCTGCACCAACTGGGCTAATGAATTCAGACGTAGTTTCCCCGTTTGTACGTGACAAGGAGTAGGGTCGCCTGTCCAACCTCGTGGGTTTTCTCCCACTACTAAAGACCCCTACGCGCATGTGAATTAATGAAATAAAATTAACCATATGTTAGTCCCGAAATGACCTAGTTTGTGTTGAGTGGACGTTAAAACCCCATTTCTCTCTCTCTCAGACATAGTTTACAAGGGATCCATATAATGCCTCATATGAAGATCACTCTATTTATATATTTTCTGTATTTTTCAGTTTTCTAATCTACTACCCGACTATGTCATAACGGGACCAGAATTCCGATTAAAAGGTCCAGGGGGCTTCCAGTGTCTCGGTTTCTGGAATAATCAGTGGAAATATCAACAAGAACTTTCATCGTGTATTTGTGGTTAATGTAAAATGAACCTAGAAATTTGATATTGTAACTGGACTATGGCCCTGATTGTTGTGAGCCTTTGTTGATGCATTTTATCATTTTATCATTTTTTACAACGAGAGATGTCATTCTGCAGACTACTGCCATCAAGACCAGTAACATTGCTTCTTTCTTGTATTCAGTGCTTGTTTTATTGTTTTCTGTTTTTGGTAAAGGATTCATTCCCTAACTTTTATTTAATACATTCATATTTTTTTCAAATACATTATGGGAGATTAGATAAAAAGTTGGCAGTTCTCACTATAATAGTTAAAAACTAGATAATGTAAAGGGAATTTGCTGAAAATTTCAGTCAAATTGATTCACTGTGAACCAAGAACAAAGCGATTGAATTTCCGCCTAGCCTTGATCATCATTACTAAAGTTAGTACGATAAACAGCATAGTCTCGATTATCCATTTTTTTTTATTTAATCATCAATGAGCATTGGGCAGCAGATCTGATTCAAATCCAGTAAATATAGCAGGCTAGAGATGACATCTAGAGTTGATTATGGTTTGGAAAAGTTAATTAATGTCTAATTAATAATTTAGGTAACACTTCAGGCCTAAAGAAAGACTTGCAATAGGCAGATTTAGCTCGTGCATAATGTATGCTTAATGTTTTAGCTTTTTGCCTCATTTAACTGAATAGATTATAAGCTATGATTTTGTTTTCAATATGCTGATTTTAAGATATCATGTCAATATACAGCCAATCATGACACATACTAGAAATATAAATTGGCTTGTACAGTACAGTGGTATTTACGGCTCACTCTAGTTTCCATACATTGCAAGGTATATACCTGTTTCGCTCACAGCACACTGCAAGGTGGTTGACCGTTTCCCTCACAGCACACTGCTTGGTACATACCTGTTTCCCTCACAGCACACTACAAGGTATATACCTGTTTCCCTCACAGGACACTACAAGGTATATACCTGTTTCCCTCACAGCACACTACAAGGTATATACCTGTTTCCCTCACAGGACACTACAAGGTATATACCTGTTTCCCTCACAGCACACTACAAGGTATATACCTGTTTCTCTCACAGCACACTGCATGATGTATACCTGTTTCTCTCACAGCACACTGCATGATGTATGCCTGTTTTTATTTGAGTCTTTTAAGAGAAGAATATGAAAATCATCCAGTGTATGTATCTGTTGTGGTGTACGCCTTTTATTTTTATGATGTAAATATTACTGTGAAAAGATGTGCAATATTACACATGAAATATAGTTTTATCTGTATTATTAGTTTGTTCGTATTATAAAACTGCCAAGAGATCTTTTACGTGCCCACCAATGTATACACAGGACCTCGGTTTTTCATCCCATCCGATTGACTAGACAGCTGTCCTTGTCAGGTCCTCCGTCCTGCACCACTGACAAGGGGAAACCACCTCAGAAAATCCCGATGAACTTTCTCAGTCAATGCAGGGATCGAACGCGCGACCTCCAGACTAGCGAGGATCGAACGCCCGACCTCCAGACTAGCGAGGATCGAACACCCGACCTCCAGACTAGCGAGGATCGAACGCACGACCTCCAGACTAGCGAGCCAGTATCTTACCCACCCCTATGAATACACAAGTTGGAAGTCAATACAAATAATATTTATTTAATCTAATATTAAAATGATATAATACATATTGATAATAAATAATTACATGTGTACACAACATACATACTATACGTACATTAGACTAGAGTGAATGATTTCGGTAGCGGACAGGCTATTTTAGGCTGCTTTGGCTGAAGTGGGAACCACAAAGGGTTGGGGCTAAGGAAAGACATCCCTATAACTTGGGTATCATTTAATTTCTTTCACATTCGTTCAATATCAAATCTATTTAAAAATTTGTAAAAATCACTTAAATTCACCCCAAATCACCTAATTTGTTCGTGTCCAGTTTAAAGCGGACTGAGTAATTTTGATAATGAGTGTCCAATTTACAAGTATTTAATTTCCTGACCACTGTTCAAATATTAATCATTATTAAAGATACATTATGGGAGATTTTTATAGAGAGTTGGCCATTCTTGCTATAACAGTTCAAAAGTAGATGATGAAAGACGAATATATTGAAAATTTCAGTCAAATTACTTTATTCTGAACATAGTTATCATCGTTGTAATATTTGACTAGAAATGGTAGTGAAATGTGTCTTCACCTTAGCCGATTGTTTGATTGGCAGGCGTTAACTCCACCTACATATCTCGATTATCAAGTAAAGTTTTCAATGGCACGCTCTACAGCGGCCTCGCTAAGTACACTCTATCATTTAGCCTCGATCTAACTGACGTATTCTCATCAGGGTGCGCCATATTTGAATTTATCAATAAGTGAAATCCTATTTAAATCCGAGCTGTAGCCGAGCCATCCGTGGGTCTACAGAGTTGATTTTGGGCTTGTTGTTTAAATAAAGATCTAATTTATAATTTCTATAACATCTGAAGCCTAAATTAAGACTTGCAATAATCACAGAAATGTAATGAAATGGGGTTTAACGTCCTACTGTTCTTGCATAATGCATGTTTAATCAAGGGGTTTTATTTTTGAACAGTGATTGAGAAATTAAACGCTTGTAAATTCGACACTCATTATCAAAACTGAATGGTCAGCTTTAAACTGGACACAAGAACAAATTAGATGATTTTGGGTGATTTTAAATGATTTTATAAATTTTCAAACAAAGATTTGATATTGAATAAATGTGAAAGAAATTAGTGCTAAATAGATGAGATTAAAAATACCTGGGTTATAGTGCAAGCTTAACCCTATCCGAACCCAGATTTCCTGCAAGATGAATTTTCAGTAAGGAAATGATCTCAACCACTGGTAGTCTTCACAAATAGTTATAAATATGTATACAAACTAAACAGCGACCAAGGGCAGACTCAATTATACAATTGCTTCTACAATGTTTAGCTTCCACCATCATCTGCAGGTAGCAATTTACTTAAATAAAAAGACAATGATAAAAAAAAAAAAAAACAATTAATGAAAAATATCCAAAAATATGTTTTAAAAATTGACATTTATAAATATCCTTCTTTTGTTTATGGTTAAAAGATAAGTTTATATTTATAAAAACAATTCAATAAATTCTTCTTGTCCAGCCATTTGTTATTTAGCCAGACTATGAATAAATAATTAATTACACACTGTCAACTATTGTCTAGCCATTTGTTATTTAGCCAGACTGTGATTAAATATTTTTCTAATCTACAAGTCAACAGTTAAACTAATATCACCGGGTTTTACCATGGACTAGTAAATAAATAGCGTCCGTGGTTTTACCATGGATTCGTGAATTAATAGCGACATGTCCATGGTTTTACATCTTGTCCTGGTTTCAGTATATTAGCTAACCTTGGTAAGGATGGGACTATCTCTGTATTATTTGGAACTACCTGGTCCAATGGATTTTTATTATTTAGTCCCTTCTTTATTATGTGTAACTAAAACAAATGATGGAGATTATAATTATTGTATTGTGATCACGGCAAACTTATAATTATTGTATCATGACAAACTCATTGTATTGGCTCCAGACTCTCAATAGTCGAGTGGAGTAGGTTTAGTCTTGATCAACTAGTACAGTGGAGTAGGTTTAGTCTTGATCAACTAGTAATACAACAAATACCATCCATCCTTACCGAGGATAGCTAACAAAGTAACAGAACTAAGGGCAGTTCAAGATGCAGTCCTTAAAATCTCGTTCATTTATTATATTAATTAAAATAGGTGAGCAAACAGGTATCAAAATGCTTATAATTCTCGTCAAGACATCTTACTTATCACAAGAAAACTAAAATCAATTTTTGGTTTCCACAAATTTCAGGATTCCCTGATTTCTAATCATTGAGTATTTTTTTTTAAGGCAAAAATACAAAATATAGTGTTTATGAACTGGGAACTATTCTAGCAAAAAATATCCACACACATACATTTAAAAGAAATTGACAAACTCCCTGCTTTCATTATCCCAGTTGGTGTAGAAAAGTAGGATGTCAAACCCTGTTTCATTTAAGAAAAATATAATCCTACTTTTCTGCACCGACTGGGAAAGCAGCATTTAAGAGCAACAATGGTTTATCTATATTTAGCGGTTGTTGAAATGCAATTATAGATTAAAACTGAATTTTGACAGAGTTTGTAGTTACTTACATAAAATATGAACAAGCCCAAATTTGAACCATAATTCCAATAACCCAGGGCCGTAACTAGCTCAGAGCAACGAGGGGGGGGGGGGGGGAGAGTCTTCTCAGGGGTGCTGTAAAATATGAACAAGCCCAAATTTAAATCATAATTACAATAACAAGCTAATATACCTTTTATAGTTCAAACTTTCTAAATTTTAAAAGGTAAAATGTTTAAACCTTGAAACAAATTCTGTTTCTGGCTAAATTAATGGTACTAACTGGTCAGGACTGGGGTTTAAGAGATGCTACATATTGACAACTGAAACGTTGTAAATTGACTTATTCCCCCTCTGATGTAGACACTTAGTTGTTAATAATTACATAGTAATAATAATTTAGTCTACATTTCACCGTCTTACCATCTAATTATACTATAGTGTGAACTTCAAAATCACACAAACAAAAAAATATTTGGAATTAAAATTTAAAATTAATTTCAATTAAATCTGATACAGATAGTCCAGTATTAAGAATTAACTCGCCTACAGCTTGCAATTTAAAAACAGATATCCAGATTAAGAAAAAATGGCTACATTTTTTGTTTTTCTTATCTTCTATGGAAGTTTTGAAAAAACACAAACAAACAAACTAGAAATTAGAAAAAATTTATGACTCAAATGTCTCTTTACCATAATCTACCGGTATTTGAAACATTTGAAATCTAAAAAAAAAATTATCCCCGATTTTTCTTTTTCTGAAACTGAAGAAATAAACAATATTAGGGATATCTACCATCTATCACATGCATCAAAATTAATTATTTCTATTTCTATTAATGAATAAATCTAATTCAAATCTAGATTTTAATACTGTTTTATAATTTGGGTTTATCAGGCAACAGTCCGGCATTTTCAGGTAAATATTAACAGAATTTCAAGTCGATTTGAATCTACAACCAGGATTATCCAACCTATATTTTTGGGTCTATATTGCCGATTAAATTTGCTAATAGGCCTAGTCTCATTCTGTCTTTTTTAGTCAGACTAATAAAAGTCTAAAATCACTTAAAACTGTTCGTATTTCAACAATGTTAAATTTGTAAAAGGACATTGAATATTCCACTGAATTTTCTTATCCTATCCTGAAGTACCTTCGATAATCCTTGTATAAATTTGGGCAAAATATGGCAGAATTTGTTTATTGTACATACGCAACTTGTCCTGTAGGGTTATAAACATTCTAAACAGATATAACACACCTGCTCACAGATATAACACACCTGTACAGATATAACACATCTGCTGATATAACACATCTACACACACTTCAAACAAAAACATATGATTTTAAAAACAAATAATTCTAAGAGCTTACAAAGACTTGCTATTTTCTGTAGATCCTCAAAGTTATGATTGAACAGTTGACCAGCTCAATCGACGTCTCGAGAGGCAATTAGATAGTTTATGGTACAGGAAACAATGAAGAACATTACACAAACATAAAAATTTACAAGAAACAGTTTCTATCATTTGTCATTTCCACTGGCACTGATGAAACATGTACTAGACAATATTCCACAGATGAAATATGAACTAGACAATATTCCACAGATGAAACATGTACTAGACAATATTCCACAGATGAAACATGAACTAGACAATATTCCACAGATGAAACATGAACTAGACAATATTCCACAGATGAAATACGTAATAGACAATATTCCACAGATGAAACATGAACTAGACAATATTCCACAGATGAAATAAGTAATAGACAATATTCCACACATGAAACGTGTACTAGACAGTCGTCCATTAAGCAAAAGTTATACAGTCGTCCATTAAGCATAAAGTTATACAGTGGTCCATTAAGCAAAAGTTATACAATCTTCCATTAAGCAAAAGTTATACAATCGTCCATTAAGCATAAAGTTATACAGTCGTCCATTAAGCAAAAGTTATACAGTCGTCCATTAAGCAAAAGTTATACAGTCGTCCATAAGTTATACAGTCGTCCATTAAGCATAAAGTTATACAGTCGTCCATTAAGCATAAAGTTATACAGTCGTCCATAAGTTATACAGTTGTCCATTAAGCATAAAGTTATACAGTCGTCCATTAAGGATAAAGTTATACAGTCGTCCATTAAGCAAAAGAATTTCCACATTTATAAATATACATATATTATGTTTTATTAATTATTGGTTTTAAAATATAATAAATAAAACTCAAACATCTAACCCTGTTCAAAAAATATTCTTTTCTAATTATACGGTGAGTAGCCTGGTTTATGCGAGTCATGTAGCAATAGTAACGCTGGATTCCCGCATTCCCACTCAGTAAATACCAGAATTTTGGGTAAAAAGACATGCACCATTGTGAGGTGGGGACAAGTCGATTTTAGTACCGAGTCAAAAGGATTCCTTAATCTAGATGAAATACAGTCCTTATGTATGAAATGGGGCTTAACGTCCTACTGTTCTGCCCCGACTGGGCTAATGAAGACGGGCATATGCCATACAGTGTGCTATGAGGGAAATTTTGCTTGAGCAGCGGCACTATGGCCTACTCTTATATCGAATTCCAACTGCCAAGGGATCTTTTACGTGCACACCAATGTAAACATAGGACCTCGGTTTTTCAGGCCCTCCACCCTGCAGCATTGACAAGGAGAAACCATGTCGAAATATCCTGATGAACTTTCTCGGACAATGAAGGGATCGAACATGCGACCTTCAGGCTAGCGAGCAAGCATCTTACCCACTTAGCCACCATGGCTCCAGATTTATTTGAAATTATGCCACTGGCTCTAATCAGTAGGTCACGTGATGAAGTATTACGTTTATGACGTCACTCATTCACAATTTACTTCTCGGACTCAGAACCCATGAGAACCAGAACAACGTACCTATTTTAAATCCAACATTATAACTTTCACATATCAGTAACGATGACTTAAGAGAGAGAGAGAAATGGGGTTTAACGTCCACTCGACACAAACTAGGTCATTTCGGGACTAACATATGGTTTAATATTTATTTCAATAATTCGCTTGCGCGTAGGGGTCTTTAGCAGTGGGAGGAAACTGGAGGACCCGGAGAAAACCCACGAGGTTGGACAGGCGACCCTACTCCTTGTCACGTACAACCGGGGATTCGAAACCACGCCAGTCAACTCAATGACAGACTTTATGATACAGCGCGCGCACGCTAACCATTCAGCCATCCAAGCCCCCCCCCCCCCCCGATGACTTAAGCTACACACTGGTATGATCAGAACGATAATAGTCACAACCATCCAGGTCACTAATGACCACTCACGTTTTATAAAATTAGAAAACAATACTAATTGATCAGAGCTACCAAATTCTAGTAAAAAAGCAACAGTATAGAATATGTTTATGAAAAAAAAAACCAAACAATAACATTTAACAAATATAATAATATCAGCATATTTCAACACAGTTATCTTAATCTACAGGATGAATATTTATTATAATAGTAAAAGAATTAACGGAAGACACTGCTCAACATTTTAAAATAACTCACTTCTTACAGTGTTATAAACATTAAATCTTCAGGAATTGTTCAAATAGTCAAAATAACACTAAACAGCAGTTTTGGATGGAAATGGGGAATTTAATTTTAAACTTAAAAAGAATCATTCTCTGATAGAAACTTGTGACTTGTTTTAAAACGTTCCCAGTACATTTCACCCTGCAGTTATCTACATAGTGTTGTTATTCATTAATTATGTAAAAATTATGCTTGACACTAAATATTTATTTAGATAACTGAAAATTACATGTATGAGTTTCAGTCAGATCGGTTGTAAACTTTTAGAGAACGACTTATTGTAAGTATAAAAATAAAATTTTCCGTTTCCATGTTAACCAATAAACAAATTCCCCAAAAACTGCTGATTAGGCTTATTTTGGCTATATGAACATTTCCTGAAAATTTTACATTGATAGCACCATGATTTATTGTAAAATACATAAAGTCGAGTAGAGTATTCCCTTAATCAACCAGACCATGAAATCCAAATTACATGAAAAAAGCCTTATTAATTAAAACCACTGTTCATCATTTAAGGGTTTCTGAATCCCTGACAACCTATAATATTATGAAAGATGAATTTCTACAAGGAATATCAGTTTGTTCAGTATTTGACAATGATATAATGAAATGAAAATACCAAACATATTTCATCCTCTACAGACGTTATACAAAATACAATGTAAATTTCCTCTCTTTGGGAACATCTATTGAAACTTCTGCTTACAAATTAAAAGACTAATTTAAAACAAAAATTACTTAGTTGCTCTTGATTGCGTTTAGTTTCAAATCTATAAGGTTTAAAAGTTTTCACACAACTTGTGACAAGCATTCAGTTACTTATTTATAGATGAAGAGCCTGATTAACTAGTAATTAGATTGACTTACCCGAGGGTTTCGGTAAAACTTTTTGATTAGGACCCTGATTAACTAGTAATTAGATTGGTTTGTCCAAGGATTTGGGTAAAATCTTTTACCCTACAACTCTTCAATTTGTTGGAATCCAAGCAGTTGATATTACAGTTTTGTATTCTGAATCAAATGTTAATGAATTAATCTGGGTTCCATACATTTTAGCTTGGATTAAGAACCATTTTCCCTGGTTAAAAAGTCGGTAATGGGGCCATTTCCAAATAACTTGTGAAAAGGTAAATGGATAACAGGCTTTAGCTCTGAAAAATCAAAAGGCGTCTAAGAAAATTCAAAATGGTGACCAGTGGTTTTAATATGATTAAAATAGATTAATATTTACAAAAAAACGTTGATTTTCCCGATTAAAACAAAAAACTATGCTTTATGGTACTTTTGTTTTTCTCTCTTAAAAATGCAACTAAAAAAACCTAAAAACATAAAGAGGCAGTCACTTGTTGAAATATAAGGTCATAGAAAAATAAAAAAAAAATAATCTGGCTTGATTTCTTGTGTAGATCTAGATGACAATTGAAGAGCCCCGGGGAAGAACGAACTAAGCCATCTGGTAGCAAATTGTAAAAAATCTTTCTGTGTAACAATCAATTTCAGGTAAAAACTATCGGAGTCACATCAACCCAAGGCTCTTCTGAAATGTCCTCCCGGACAAATACGTCCATCGTAGCCTTTATTTGACTTTAATTTGGCTGAAAAGTGGAAGTCAGTTGTTGTACTGGTAATTATGATTTGTATTAAACATCATTTTGAAGTGGTAATTAAACCCACTCGTTCTGTTCGCGTCAAGCATTCTCGTCCAAAAGACAAAAATATGACTTCGATCGTTCTTCCCCTAGACTCTTCAATTATTTTTAATTCTTGATTGTATATAAACTTTGTATACAGGAAGAATAAAGTTTAGATACGTAACATGACAATTATATAAACGTGAATAAACAGTTGGTAAATAAGCTTGTATTAGGTTTAACTGAGTAATACAACAATTGGTCATCATGTAAGAGATTTTCTGACGTAGAACCTTCAAATGTGATGTTTATGGGAAGTCAATTAGTCACATGTTCCATTAACAAAATAAATAAACCCCCGCCCACATCAGATATTTTCCTCCCTCCCACATCACCTATTTTGGAAGAATGAGAACCCAAATATTATAGTATAAAGTTACGCTAGAAATGTTTATACAAATTCAAAACATGAATGATTTTAAAAACAATATGGCTAGACCTCAAAATCTGTCCACCGCTCCGATAATCTGTATCGCATCTGTTCACCACTTAGAAAATCCATATCGCATCTGTTCACCACTTAGAAAATCCGTATCGCATCTGTTTACCACTTAGATAATCCATATCGCATAGGTCCAGCCATCTGTCCACCACTAAGATAATCCATATGGCATCTGTCCATCACTTAGATAATCCGTATCGCATCTGTCCATCACTTAGATAATCCGTATCGCATCTGTCCAGCCATCTGTTCACCACTTAGATAATCCATATCGCATCTGTCCAGCCATCTGTTCACCACTTAGATAATCCATATCGCATCTGTCCAGGCATCTGTTCATCACTTAGATAATCCATATCGCATCTGTCCAGGCATCTGTTCATCACTTAGATAATCCGTATCGCATCTGTCCAGCCATCTGTTCACCACTTAGATAATCCATATCGCATCTGTCCAGGCATCTGTCCACCACTAAGATAATACATATGGCATCTGTCCATCACTTAGATAATCCGTATTGCATCTGTGCGATTATCCTGATAATCTCATGTAGAATATATTCTACAGACAGGTTGCTGGACAGATTTTGGAATCCTCCGAAAATGCCATGAATAATTTCATTATATTTGAAAGGAGAGAGAATAGTGAAAAAGATGAGCAAATAAACAGATAAAATGAAAGTAGTCCAAATATAAAAAAAAAAGTAGACCAAATATAAAATGGTCCAAGTTTGAATACAAAACGGTCCAAGTTCTAAAATAAACCGGTCCATGTTTGAATATAAAGCAGTCTAAGTTCAAGTTTAAATATAAAGCGGTTAGTTAGAGTTTGAATTCACAATTGATGTTAATTTAACAATATAATATGAATTTGTTAATAACTCATACTTCAAAGATAAAACCATGCAATAACTAATATAAAACTATTTGTTCTCCCAAATATTTAGTTGGATTTTTGATTGCAATTATGACTGATTTTCATCACCAGTGGATTCGAGAATGTATTGTCAACAAGCCAACTCCGTCTATGTTTCGAGACTGTATTGTCAACAAGCCAACTTCGTCTATGTAACTCATTTGATACTTAAAGTGATAATATAGTCCAAACAGAAATTATATTCCAGTATTAATAATAATACCCTTAATAATCAAATGGGTTTTCCCCATTTATAAACATGGCAATATCAATACCTTACATAGCCCTCAACATCAAAATATTAGGGAAAAATTATTTTTCTGACAAATAAATATCAACAGAGAAATTAGAAGTGAAAACAACTAAAATTTAAATGTCACACTTTTTTTCAATGTGCCATGTCCATGCCGAATCATTAACTTCATACCGTATACATCTTAAGCAGCATTACCGTGTTGGACTTGTATATTAAAACATTTTTCTTTCAGTTCGGTCATACGACTTAATGTCTGCTTCCATTGAGCATGATCTCGCAGACAACTTTCATTTTACTCAACTATTACAAAATCAGATTTTCGCAAACTAACCAATGTTATGTTGCTTTCGAACAAGAGAGAATCAGTCATATATAGGAAAAGTGAAAGTAGACTATATTGAAAAGTGAAAGTAGCTAATAATAATTCTAACATACATGCACTATGATTAGCACAATTGAGTTTGTTTATGTTTAAAGGGAGAGAACTGAGAATCGTTCACAAGAGAAAGTGAAAGTAAATTATACTCAAAAGTGAAAGTAAATTATACTCAAAAGTGAAAGTAGCTAATAATAATAATAATAAATTAAAATGATATATCTATTTATCATATTATCGTTTAAAGGGGGAGAATTAGATCAGATAGATGAGTAATTAAAAAGATAAACGCGAATCGTTCACAAGAGAAAGCAAAAGTAGCTAATAATACCATATCATAATCCTATAAAGGATAGAATGGGTCGAAGAAGATAAACATAATGAATATATGTCGACACAAGATAAAACATATGGAACATTATAATCTGTATTACATCAATATCTAAAACACCTGTTCGACCCAGTGGTAAAACACGTTTCGGAGATTCTGTCGTATCTTCTAGCGTACCATTCTTGTAATAATTCTCTAACATTTGATCCTTTTCTGTGTAACGTGCATACAGCCAAGTTGTTAGACCTTCCGTATCTTTAGGAATATCCGCCACTGGATAAGCTCGATAGTGAAGTATTGTATCAGTTGGTGGATACCAACCGAGAGCGACTCCGTGTGCACTGAGAGCTCCACCTGGTGGATAACCAATAGTTACATCTATCAACCATTTTAATGGCCTCTTGTGAGATTCTTTTTCTCCTGAAATAAATTAAAATAATCCAAACATTATGCAAGAGCTAAATCTGCCTATTGCAGGTCTTTCTTTAGGCCTGAAATCTTATCTAAATTATTAATTAGACATAAATTAACTCATCCAGACCATAATTAACGCTCGATGTCATCGCTAGCCTGCGATATTTACTGGATTGGAATCAGATCTGCTGTTCGATGCTCATTGATGATTAAATCAAAAGATGGATAATCGAGACTATGTTTTTTTTATCGTACCCACTTTAATAATGATGAGTAAGGCTAGTCTAAAATTGAATCGCTAATATCTCGGTTCAGAGTAGATCAATTTGTCTGAAATTTTCAGCAAATTCCCTTTACATTATCTAGATTTTAACTATTATAGTGAAAACTGCCAGCTCTTTATCTAATCTCCCATACTGTATATTTAACTATTATAGTGAAAACTGCCAGCTCTTTATCTAATCTCCCATACTGTATCTTTAACTATTATAGTGAGAACTGCCAGCTCTTTATCTAATCTCCCATACTGTATCTTTAACTATTATAGTGAGAACTGCCAGCTCTTTATCTAATCTCCCATACTGTATCTTTAACTATTATAGTGAAAACTGCCAGCTCTTTATCTAATCTCCCATACTGTATCTTTAAACTATGGCATTTTAAAAATCAATGAGAGAGAGATTGGTCTACATTTTTTTTTTTTGTAGCTGATGTTTCCATGATTAAGAATAATTAAACGGAATAAGACACCAATGAAGTTCAACACAAATTATAAATATTTTCACAACATTAAGAAATGTAAATTGAGTGCAGTAACACTCTTACCAAGCAAAATAAATATGTCAATACCTTTATTATTTGAGTCTGGATTGTTAGTGTCTTCAGCAAGAGTATCCAGTATAACTTTAATTGCACCTAACCTTGGCAGAGTGCAGTGATTTAATACTGGATAACCATGTTTCTTGGCAAAGCTTAAAAATATGACAGTAATATCTATTATAGCAAGGGTTGCCAGGAAACAAAAGAGAAAGAGAGAGAGAGAGAGAGAGAGAGAGGGTTTACGTCCACTCGACACAAATTAGGTCATTTCAGGACTAACATATGGTTCAATTTTATTTCAATAATTCACTTGCGCATAGGGGTCATAGGGGTCATAGGGGTCTTTAGCGGTGGGAGGAAACTGGAGGATCCAGAGAAAACTGAGGTTGGACACATGTGACCCTAGTCCTTGTCACGTACACCTGGGGAATCGAAACTATGCCAGTTGACTCAATGACAAACCTGCGCACGTGCTAACTATTCTGCCATCTATCCCCCAACTAATAAATAAAGGGGCAAGCTAAAATGCATACAAATTGATTATTTAACATTAAGTTAAGAAAATAAACCAAAATATCACTGATAAATAATCTTCCGACTCGATTCAATTGCTTTATAAAGAGGCTCATCAAAAGATTTCAACCAACAATTACAGGTGGCACTGTATTTTTAATAGGATGGAGAATGTCTGCACAGGAAATTCTCAATTCATCATATCTTCACAATGTTGTTTTAGTTTTCAAGGGCCAAGAGATTTAAAATCAATCAATCAGTGACTTTAGATACAGTAACTATAGTAACAGGTATAATAAACAATACTTACTTTTGACTAGCTTCTAATCTATTTCTAAGAAAACCTCCCTCTGGAAACAGAACGATCCATTTCCTGAACCTCGTCAAGTAAATATTGATCAAATGATCTTTAAACGCTGTCAGTTGAGCTTGTCTCGTATCTTTACCCTGCACAAATACACAAATAAAATAAAATGGGGTTTAACATCCACTGGACTTACAAGGTGGGCATATGCCATACAGTGTGCTATGAGCGAAGTTTTCCCCGGATAGTGGCGCTACTCTTATACTGAATTCCAACTGCCAAGGGTTCTTTCACGTACAAGCCAATACATCGGAGCTTGTTTTTCGCACCATCCGAATGACACGGGGGAACCACACCGGAAAATCCTGATGAATTTTCTGGGTTAACATCGGGATCAAACTTTTAGTAATTGAACTTGAAATACACAGGACATAATTCTATTCACGTCAACGTCATCAAGTCACATGTAATAATAATTCTATTGTGTCTTGTCTATGAAACAGTTACTGATATATTCAGACTACCTAACCCTATTCACGTCAACGTCATCAAGTCACATGTAATAATAATTCTATTGTGTCTTGTCTATGAAACAGTTACTGATATATTTAGACTACATATTGAATAGTATTCACGTCATTGTCATCAAAAAATTAACGAAATGAAATGGGGTTTAACGTCCTAATATTTTGCTCCGAACTGGGCTAATGAAGAGGGGCATACGCCATACAGTGTGCTATGAGGGAAATTTTGCCCGGACAGCGGCACTACGGCCAACTTTTTATCGAATTCCAACTGTCAAGGGATCTTTTACGTGCACACCAATGTGTACATGGGACCTCGGTTTTTCGTCCCATCCGAAAGACTAGACAGCTGTACTTGTCAGGCCCTCAGTCCTGCTTTCACTGAAAATCTGGATGAACTTTCTCGGCCAATGCAGGAATCGAACACCCGACCTCCAGGCTAGTGAGCCAGTGTCTTACTTACAATACCATCAAACCATATGTAAAAACCCTTGAAGCGTCTTATAAATATATTAGTAGGTGTTTTCCATGTGTTATAGTTTTATTATTTTTGTTTGGTTTTAAAATATAAAATGAAAAATCGAACCTGAGCAATGAAGAAATCTCCTCGTACTTGTGAGATCCAACCAAAGTTTGTATATTTAAACATGTGATCCATAACCCATAATACTCGACCACTAACGAGTCCACGAGACCCAAGCGCTGTCATTAACAAGGTCGTATCAGAAGTTGTCTGGTGATTGGCTATAAAAATGGCTTCCTTCTCTTCTAAACTACAGATATTATCACCAGCTTCGATTACTGTAACACAAAATATACAAAATTTATACGGATGATGATGATGATGATGATGATGATGATTGAGAAGCAGATGATGATGCAATCTGATTAAAACAGATACTTTTTTGTTTTGTTTTTTTAAAGTTTTACTTGTCTTTACTACACCGCGTTTTGGTTGAGGTGAGGGATTAGCCAATGAAACGGTCTGTTACCACAAGCTTTTGGCGTGAAGTGCACGAAACTGTGGGTAATCCACTAGAAACCTCAATGCTGACTGGCTAATCAAATGTCTGACGTAATCGAGTCAAAAGCCGCTCGTATGACCCCTGACACGAACTATCGCTACAATTGGTCAGATCTTCATGTAGTGTAGGCTATCGAGAGTATAAAAAAAAAAAAAAAAATATAGATCTGTATGATGACTGATGAGAGAGACACAGATACTAGGTCACTTCGGGACTAACATATGGTTTAATTTTATTTTAATAATTAACTAGCGTGTAGGGGTCTTTAGCAGTAGGAGGAAACCAGAGGACCTGGAGAAAACCCACGAGGCTGGACAGGTGTCCCCACTCCTTGTCACGTAGAACCGGAAAATCGAAACCACGTCTCATAACTTACCTCGATATCCTCCTGTATGTATAATTAATACCTCATTCAACCACCCGACAGATGATAACTTACCTCGATATCCTCCTGTATAATACCTCATTAAACCACCCGATCCATGATAACCCTAACCCTAACCCATAATAACTTACCTCGATATCCTCCTGTATAATGCCATGTTATAATCATCGATAGTAAACCTTTAAATAATACAGCATCCACTTTCCAAAATAATTCGGGTGCCAAAAATCGCAAGGGTTGCAGGAAGACGAACCAGATGAAGTAGGATGGTACTGTGTAGATATTCGTGGACAAGAAAATCAAAAATCGATAAAATAATCGGAAAATAAAGCTAAAGGAAACCATGTTGATTTAGTGACTAGATTCAGGGACGGCAATAAAACTGAAAGTAGACAAAAATATATAATAATAATAAAGAGGCAAATTTATTTTGTTCTCAAGTCTCGCCCAACAGGGCCGGGTGTACAAAATGCGGGACCCAATTTGGGAGGCCCGAAAATATGAATACTATGTAGGATATGAATAACTTTAACTAGACCTATATTCATTCATATTTAAGGCCAACTATGCTTGACTTGACAATTAATAATTGATTAATACCTAAACGTATATATACACTATTAATATTAGTTGTATACAACTGTACTCAACTTTGACCTACTACTGTAACTTATAGTAGACATTCTCCTATTTCCTGTATTCAAGTACTATAACCTTGTTTATCACAGTTATTTACATTTTATGTACATCATAAATTATTGATTTATCTTTAGTATAATATCTATTACAATGTATGTTCTGTTATATATAAATAATGTTTTACATATTGTGAAATAAATACAAAAAATATTGCTATATCAATATATTGCAATACGACCGTCCGTGATACACTGTATCGCTATATTTTTCTACTTTTATTTTATATTCAAATTTTAGCTAGACTGTTTATAAAGATTTCATAATCAGTCCTACTTTTAGGCTTTGCAGTAAACAATAATTCTGCTAAGACAAGATCTAAGTTATAAAAACAAATAAAGTGAAATGTGTATTCACATAATCAGTGATATTATAGGTTTTACAGTAAACAGTAAGTGTCCAAGACCAAAGTTGTAAAAACAATAAAAAAGTGCTTTGTGATAAACTCTGACTTTATCAATATCTTCCAATCATCTTTGTCATGTATCGATATATGTGAAATTCAAAAATCAACTCCCTGAGAATTGTTGCCATTTGGAGTAGGTTCAAAATTTTTTTTTTACGTAAATTGGAACCAAAATTGCAGCTTTGAAGGTTGTTTGTAAAATCCAATATGGCAGCAAACGGTTCAAATTGTTATGGAGCAAGGTTTCTGAATATGAAAGATAATATCTGGAGCTAACAGTAACACCACCATACACGTATGTCATTTTGGGTCTATTTTTAAAATTGAGTGAACTATTCATGTTCGAGAAAAATCGGAAGGCCTCTGTAATTTTTGTAAAATTCCACCATTTTGAAGGCATCAATGTGTTCATTATTCCTACTAAGTTTCAACCTGATACATCAAATACTAAAGGAGATGCACCCTCTTGAATGCCGAAAAAATGCTGAAGAAAACTTTCACAAATCTGTGATGCTAAAACTTCTGAATTTCGAAAAACCGTCAGTCAGAGCCCATATGGGAATCGTCAAAAGAATCCCAAAATTAAAACACAACGGATATCTTCTGACAAATAACTGAGATATGTGAAATCTTAGATTATTTGTTGTCCCATCTGTAAAACTATTCCCGTTTGTCAAAAATGACTCAATTTATAATTAATATTTAGTTCCATGGAGGCCAACAGTATCTACATTGGCAGAATGTTTGCACCATGCATAGATTTTGCTTCAACTTCTGACTAAAATCGGCAAAAAAAAAAAGTAAAATAATAAAAACTCTTACGAATATGATACATGTTTTGACCAAACACATAAACACCGGTGGCTAAGTAAGTAAGACGCTGTCTCTGTAGCCTGGGCTGGGGGCTCGCAGGTTTGCTTCCGGTGTTGGCAGAGAAAGTTCATCGGGATTTGTCGGTCGGCGTAGTTTCCCCTTGTCAGTGGTGTCATTGAAAAACGCCACGATTTTATGGAAATTGGTCTTCATTATAAAAAAAATATTTGGATCTGTTGCCCTCACCAGAACCGTCACTGATCCTACCCTCCGAACATTTGAATGGCCGCAATGAATATAGTGACAAGACAGTACAAAATATACGACAGATAGATGTTAGAACATAACCAATAATATGAGGCTGTGTGCACAGTGTTGCAATCTGATTAAAGTACAGAACTATATTACGTTTCTTTTTTTTATACTTTCGATGGCCTACACTACATAAAGATCTGGCCAGTTGTACTGGAAGGTCACGTCAGGAGTCGTATGAGCGGCTTTTGATCCTATGACGTCAGAAATTGATTAATCAATCAGCGTTGACGTCCTCACACCATCTAGAACGCAGGTTATATACATGTAACAAATCTTCCAGATCCTAGTGTAGTACAGACAAATAAACAAAATTTTGAACTATAAAAAACGAAACAAAAATAGGATAATTGTTTTAATCAGATTGCACGGTTCCGCGTCCCCACATGATGATCCCTGACTGCTGTCTATTACAAACAAAAGTTATTTTACAACTATGGTCGTCAATGGCTGGCTAAGGGGGGTGAGCGTAGGTATTTATTTTGGCTTCAAATGATATATAAACTATGTATATTATATTGTTTTTGCAATATTAATATTTTGTTGGCTGTTTGACGAATTTTGGCTGTTTTGGTTTATTGTCACATACATGTATACATAAAGAACAATATGACAGATATATATATATATAACGATCTATATTATATTGCCTACATTTACTGACAAGATAAATAACGACATACATTTACATGTAGCCTTCGTTAAAACGGTCAATGGCCTTAACTATAAAATGATCATTTACATAATGTCCATCAGTAAAGAAAGAACAGTGGAAAATAACAAAGGTGTTCTATATCATTACATGGTCCAGTGACTTGAGAAAAAAATGGCAATAATAATATTGATGTGCATGGGGGGGAAAAAAGATAAGAAATAAAAATAGGTTATCAATAAGTGATCTAGATCTGATCTAGACCACGGATCTAGATAATTTAACTATGATAATGAAAAGTACGGTTGGTCATAAAACTGCTCAATCATGATTTTATCAACCTTGTCAAATTATTGGATAATTGACATTTCACAGTTGAGTTAATCTGTCAACTTCTGAAATTGAATTTTTAATTTTTGTTTGCATTGCATGAAATAATCTTTACACTTTAGTGATGATTTTCGTTTTATTTTATCTTTGGCTTCTTGCAAATGTAATAAATCGACATAATAGGGCTATGCATGTAAATTAGATAGCCTAAATAATAAAAATAATGTTTTTTGAATGAAACTGAAAATGAATGCATCAAGCATATTGTATTGTGTGAATACTGTGAATAATAAACATGACTTCTGCTCACCGGGAAATACAATAAATTGCCCGTTTCTTTGTTTACGTTCTTCTACATCACCAATAAATATTTTCTAAGGCGCTAATGAGGGTCTATCGATATTACCTATACAGTATCAAGGTTATAGCAACAAACAATAAGCCGATTTTATTTCATCGGCTTCGATTTCTCGCATGAGTTACGTCCCTTAAGGAAAAAAACCGAAAAATTAATAATAGTACTATGCAGCATCTAAAATCAGACGTCGCAATGTCTATGACGAACAATTCATTATTTATCTTTTGTTAATTCAGCAGCATATTAAAATATGTTCTTTCAAATTTACAGCAGCAAGCATGACGGAAATTAGTAAGAAGAATTTTCTGCCGACTGAATTATAACAATTGCGTGTTACAGTTTTATAAAGATTTGACTAACACCGAATCTACTAAACGGTGTCGATGGAATAAAATCCCCAAACAAAATCTCCAAATTTGTTTTACCTTTATATGGATAAAACCACCAAAAATACTTTTAGAACATTTGTGTAGGTGAAAATATAAAACAAAACAATATAACAAGCTAATATACGTGAAAAAGGTTCGTTACGCATGGATATTTATAGGATAGGTGCATAATACTTGTGGTTGGGCTGCACGATCACCGCCGTAAACGTGTTTACAATTATTACAGATTGGACATATGTGAAGATATTTTTTTATGACGTGAGTTTATTTGTATGATCCGTTAAACTAAATTATTGTTTTATTTTATACTCGAATATTTCTACCTTCTGAAAAATCCACAAAGTTTTTATCTAGGTTATCTAGAGAACTTCAAAGTATCGCCCTTTCTACACTACTGAGTATTCCTAATTTCCTTCTGTTCGGTGGATTTGGTACTTCCTTAAATTTTTACTTTTTCTACGTGCATACAGTTCTGATCCTACCAATATCCGTTTATCTAGAAAGCCTAATCTAATCATTTCTTTTTCCGCCTGCTTCTCTTCACTATCCTATTTTATGTTCACTGATACTTGCACACTATTTTGAGTAGGTTATGATTGGTAAAAATTAGTTTTTATGTCATCAGAATTGCATCATTGATCAAGGATTTTCCAATTGAATGTTTAAATACCATCTTCAAGTCGGATCTTCTAGAATAAAGTAGATATACATCCTGACTGAATAGAATTTCAGATTGTTTTGTTTTTATCTTGCATCAGATACTGTTTCTGTCCAACTTTAGTAAAAGTTTCCTTGCACAAGTTTTATGGTAGCACGTCATTTCGGACTCACTTTGACGACGGTTCAGAATTACTGGCAACGTTTCGGACTCAGATGAGTTAAAGACTGTTGAAAATTTGTGTGATATATTTGTAACAGCTGGTTTTTTTTTTCGTTTTATGTGAGTCCGATAGTTGTTTTGATTTATTTAATTGATCAGCAATTCTTGAGACCGCTAATAAAAAGATAAAACTGATTTTACACTGCTTGTTCTATTTCGGTTTTTTTCATCGGCGAGTATTGAACTTAACAATAAAAAATTGTTGAAAATTTGTGTACATTCACTTGATTTGATATTTGTTTATTTGGTACAATATCTATTTTCTGTCTTGTCCGCAGGTTTATCTCGTAGATTTTTGTTTTACATGTAGTGTGGTCCTCCTGCACTTACTATTAGTAATACTGCTAATGTTTTTATAATTCTGGAAGCCCAAATGTCTTTTACGCAAGTCGGAAAATCATATCAACACACGGCCGCCATTATCGCCGATTGACAACTCACATTTTTCCTCGTCCACTAAAGAACTGTAAGGTTTCTTTGCGCATACTAATATAACATCGGTTAATCAGCTTTAATTATCCCACTTTGATCGTTGCCATTTCTAATATTTTCCAAAAAGAGTTTTCTTTGTATGCACTAGGCCATATTTTTTTTAGTCCGAAATGACGAGAGACCGAAATGACATTTTAATTCGAGTTTAGGAGTTAATAATGTATTAGTTATATTTACAGATAACAGAATTAGAATATAATTTGAAGATTCAACAAGACAACAAACAGTCAAGATGGTTTTAGCTGATTTAGGAAGAAAGATTACTTCAGCCTTGAAGTCGCTGAGTAATGCTACTATTATTAATGAAGAGGTAAGAGATTGTTCAGTAGTCAAGTAGCCATATTGTACAAATATCCTATCTTCAAACAATTTTCTCGAAATGAAATGAAATGAAGTGGGGGTTTAAAGTCCTACTGTTCTGCTCCGAACAGGACTAATGAAGATGAGCATACGTCATACAGTGTGTTATGAGGGAAATTTTACTCGACAGCTGCACTATATCGAATTCCAACTGTCAAGGGATCTTTTACGTGCACGCCAATGTGTACACAGGACCTCAGTTTTTTATCCCATCCGAATGACTAGACAGCTTTCCTTTTGTCCTGCATCACTGACGGGGGGAACCAAGCCGGAAAATCTGGATGAACTTTCTTGGCCAATGCAGGGATCAAACACAATTTTCTTGACCAATACAGGGATCAAATAAGGGATCTGTTAATTGGTAAGCCATATTTCCCATGTCTCATTTAAGGGCCAATCTCGATTATATTTTGGAGAATAAAACTGCTTAATTTTGTGTGAAAAGCCCTTAAAATCCTCTACCTTAGGGCCGAGCAATAACTCAGTATTTGTGATACGTTTTCAAACAACTTAAACCTGTCAGTCTTCATTTAGAAATGGAGACTGGTGTCCCAAGCTGTATTATACAATGTCTTTATAAAACCAGACTTTTATTTTATAAAAATAATGTGTAGGTGAAATTTACCTTTCGTTATCAAGTACAGCATGTGGGTCATGCAGTACGGCAACAGATTATCAGGTCATCCAGCAAAAAAATTGATCCCAAATCTTAAAAGGGTTACGTGTCCGGATAAGCGGTTTTGCATCCATGTCCAAACGACTCAATAATTTGAGCTGAAATTTGGACACAAGGTAAATACACCATTCCTCTATATTTTGGCGCTTAAATTTCATACGTAGACAGACTTTTATTTCTGGGACTGTGTTAAAATGGGGATGGTACCTTTAAACAAGTGTATATTTTGTTTTTATCTTCAGGTTTTAAATGATATGTTAAAAGAGATCTGTAAAGCCTTGTTAGAAGCTGATGTAAATATTAGACTAGTCAAAGCGCTCAGAGAAAATGTCAGGTGAGCATCGTGTACTTGTGATATCTTAGTGAGAGGTTCTGTATTTAATTGTTCAATTCGTTGCAAATCATCAAACAAGATTGTGATCCATACTGTTGCATAGTTTAAAATGGTCTATGAGTGTTTACAACTCTTTTCTTTCACTAGGTGTGTCGAGTAATTAATTAGTCTAAGTGATACCAAAGTTGTAGTGATAGAGGCTAACAGACAACCGACAATACTATATACTGGAAAACTACCGGAAAACACCATGTTATACTGAATACCTGAAAAACACTAAATACCGGAAAAACACACTAAATACCGGAAAAACACCCTAAATAGGTAACCCAGAGCCTGGTCCTCTGTTTGCGGGGGGTTAGGGTTAGGGTTAGGTTTTTCTGGTGTTTTCCAGAGAACCAGACTCCGAGTTACCTACTTAGGGTCTTTTCCAGTATTTAGTGTGTTTTCCAGTATTTTTCCAGTATTAAGTGTGTTTTCCGGTATTTAGTGTGTTTTCCGGTATTTAGTGTTTTTCCGGTGTTTTCCGGTATTCAGTATAACATAGCGTTTTCCGGTAGTTTTCCAGTTGTTTTCCACTGTTCGACAGTGTTTTCTGGTATATAGTATAGCCCCAGACAACAGCTTGACAGAATTGCTTCCTTTTTGCCAAACTTTGAAATGTACCATTTATAAATTGAAATTTGTAGAGTTCACACAAATAATTGAATACTCAAATTCAAAAATTTTTCCAGACACTTAAAACTAAGATTGTTAATCAATGTCAGTATGAGATTTGGTCTCTTGTTTATCTACTACAAGATATTTATTGATTCTACTACAAGATCAACAGATAAAATGAAAATACATTAATTTCATAGGGTTTATAGACATTTCTAAGAGCACTAAAAATGGTCCATAAATTAAAGAAATATTCTAACATAGTGACATAGAATATTGAAATAGGAAAATCAGTATACATCATTTTTTATCTTAATTATATAAAAGTCTAGTTTTTCTAGATAGAGATCTTATGCAGACAAAGTTCTTCAGCATTATTAACATAATGGAGAGGGGTTTTACATACATGTAGGCTAAACCTCTTCCACAATCCCATTCAGACAACCTGAATAAAATATTGTTTAAAAAAAATATTATTAACATACCCAAAAATGATTCTATCGATATAGAAATGTCTGAGTATGGATGTGTAGACTTGACGTTCAATTCCGTTGATTTTGTAATTAAAGGTATAATTAGTTACTTTGTTGGATTGTTTCAGGTCTGTTATAGATTTTGATGAAATGGCTGGAGGTTTAAATAAACGAAGAATGATACAATCTGCTGTTTATAAAGAATTAGTCAAGGTTTGTATGAGGGGGGGTTAGGGTAGGGTTAGTCAAGGTTTGTATAAGGAGCTCTTGTTCTAGAGAAAACCTAGTGTCATCTAATCAGCAGATTGCTCACAGGAGAATAAAATATACTTTCATTAATCCTGAAAGACAGTCAAGTACAAGAGTTGAATCACTGGACCCTTGACTATAGTTTCTCAGGTTTGCGTAAAAAAATCTTTGGAATTCTTTGATTTGAAGACTTTGCGGAAACCCCGCTGGATGACGAAAATTGTCCACTGAAATGAAAACTAGCATGCACTTAACTCAAAATGACCGATATATTTGTTGTGTTGACAAGCTGTTCAACCCTCATTACAGAATGACAGTTAGTGACAATGATGACCATGTCAAAATGGTTGGTGTTCCCATAGCACAGTTTTATTAGATATACTAGATCAGTATGCAAATTCTGCAAATAAATCTAAATTTTGATATTGGCTATTTTTTGTTATTTGTAGTTGATTGATCCAGGTGTGAAGGCATGGCAACCATCAAAAGGAAAGAGTAATGTTATTATGTTTGTAGGGTTACAAGGCAGTGGTAAAACTACCACCTGTACTAAGGTAAACCAATTTATTTATAAACCACCATTTTTATTTATTAAGCAGGTAAATGGTTATCCTTACAATTACAAAATACAAATTTATAGATAACATCGGATGAATTTATCTGTCATTGAGTCAACTGGCGGGGTTTCGATTCTCCGGTTGTACGTGGCAAGGAGTAAGGTCGCCTGTCCAACCTCGTGGGTTTTCACCAGGTCCTCCGGTTTCTTCCCACTGCTATAGACCCCTACGCGCAAGCAAATTATTGAAATAAAATTGAACCATGTGTTAGTCCCGAAATGACCTGGTTTGTGTCAAGTGGACGTTAAACCCCATTTCTCTCTCTATCTCTGATGAATTTATCTATAGATTTTTGTCCTGAAAAAAGGAGTCTTAAAAAAACAGCATATTCACTTTATGGTTTTGGTTGATGAAGGAGTAACCCTGTAAGACCTTAGTTGAGATAATCTGCCTTGTTCAAAGAAATAAGTATTCGACACAAAGCCTTATGGTTATAGATCTAGCTCAGTAATCGCTCATATAAATCCAAGTATGAACAATCCAAATCATTAGACAAGACAAAATAGTGTAAAAAAAGTATCGGCAGAATAGTGTAATCAGCGTGTACAAAATACATGACAAACAGTGGTAACAGGTGTCCGGAAGAGTAAGCTTACCCTGCCTGGCGCCACACACGCCATAGCTGCATCCAAACCATTAGACGAAATCTCGATATTTTGCACGCTAAAATATGAAAATCTTGGGTGATTTTTTTCAGTTAGCTTATTATTACCAGAAGAAAGGCTGGAAGACATGTTTGATTTGTGCTGATACTTTCCGTGCTGGAGCCTTCGATCAGCTGAAACAAAATGCAACCAAAGCAAGAATTCCCTTTTATGGAAGGTAGGTCAGACAATGGTTAAGATATGTATGATGGTTTCTGTGTATATAAGGGTTCTACAGATTGGGTTGCAAACCATTGACAGATTTGTTACTTCTGAAGTTATTACCCAGGATTGTGTCATATAATGCGAGGGGTTGAATGGTCTAGTCCTTGTCCTTTAGACCATAAGATCTGTAATAGAGTCAAGTGGTGTGGGTTCGATCCCAAGCTTGAACATGACTAGGCATGTCCAACCTTATGGGTTTTGTTAGGGTCCTCCAGTTTCCTCCCACTGCTAATTGCCCCTACGCACAAGCAAATTATGGAAATAAAAATGTATCATATGTTAGTCCTGAGTAGTGTTGTCACGATTACAAAATTTTTGAATCGGTTAATCGGCCAGCCCAAAATCGTATCGGTGCCGATTAATCGAATGTCGTATAAATCTATAATGGCAATGTCTGTACTGCCCACCGAGGTTTTTTTCTTGTGATTTTTTTTTAATAAGTAAATTATAAAATGGCGCGTGAACACTGAATAGCTGATTGTATATCAATGTAGTACATTTCGTTGAGTGTGTCCTAAATAGATGTTGGAATAAATTGTTTAAATTGGCAATAAACAACATTTACTAAGTCATTAGTTTTGATATTTAATTATGCGATTGAGATGAGTAAGACATTCCCGTGTTCTGACTTACCCCCACAGCTTTAACTACTAATTAAAAATCCAATACTGGCAATAGATTACAATTCTCTAGTACAACAATTCTCGTACATAATATTTTAACATATATAGCGATAATCATATTGCCGAAAAACAACAAGAGAAGCCGCGGAAGACAGCACAAATAGAAAAGAACACGTGTCATTTAAAAAGACGGCAACGTATGCCGAGGGGGGACGAATAGAAGATCCTCATACACAGGATAGAGGAGTCTCGTACACAGTAACGGCACATTCTGGTTGTGAATTAAATGATAAATTACAGATGGATTTAAAATTAATTTATACTGGAGCAGTGTTTTCTTCTTTATAAAACGGTATTTTATTAAAATTACATTGGCAGTTTATCACTCATAAAAAGGCATAGCCAACTTCCCTGTCTCGTGCAGCATGCATTCAGTCCATGTATTATAATGCCCATGATTTTCATGTCGGTTGTTGACAGCTATTTCGCGCCAAAATCAACCATTTTACACATTTCGTAGTAAGATATGCCTAATATGGTAGGCGAAGAATTCCATGCGACATTGAGATCGTGCCACTGTAAATGGGAATTTCTGTATAGAGTCTCAAACGACGTACTTACGTAGGGCCCTACTTTCTATACGGTTTTAATAGGCAGCAATTTAGCAGTGTGTTTAGCAGACAGTAAAAGTCAAACATTTTTCAAAATGTGAATCGGTTTGAGCTAGAAACCAAATCGACTACGACTAAACCGATTAATCGTGACAACCCTAGTCCTGAGATGACCTAATCTGTGTCAAGAAGAATTAAATACCATTTCTCTGTTTGACTTGTTTCCCGGCAATCTGTCTTTAAATCTATCGCAATCTGTCTTTAAATCTATCACTATCTGGTTTATTAATGGAATTAGGTCAGTAAAGCTGTAGTATTCAAATCTTTGTTTTATTTGTTTAATGTTCAAAATATGTTGTTTTATTTTGTATTTATTCAGAGTCTGACTCTCTGTTGTTGTTTTATTCTGTAGTTATTTAGAGAGTGATCCTGCTGTTTTATTTTGTAGTTATTCCGAGTCCGATCCTGTTGTGATTGCTCAAGAAGGTGTTGATAAATTTAAAGATGAGAATTTTGAGATAGTGATTGTTGATACGAGTGGTCGACACAAACAAGAAGATTCTTTATTTGAAGAAATGTTACAAGTTCATCAGGCTGTTGTAAGTTATCAAAAACTTTTTTATTATATATATTTTTTAGAAAAACACAAAAGTTTCTGAATCAGATGAAGTCTAGCTACATGTATGACAAAAAATTTGGGATTTTTGTATAATAGCTGCAGTATTATGACGATGTTTTCAGAAATTCAGATAGGATCCTAGACACTGTGACCCAGTGGGTATGGGTGCTTGTTGACTGACCGGGAGTCTCTAGTTCAATCCAGGAAATGGTTGAGAAAGTTCCTTGTCAAACGTTTAGGCCAAAGGAATTTCAGAAAAAATAAGTGACAACCCTTGTTGATTCCCCGGACAACCTAGCTATGCTTTGTTGTCTGGCAACCCATCTTTTACAAATTATTAAGTGATGTTTGCTGTAGATATGACTAGTAAAAATTACAGTATTAATATAGTTCTATTTCGTTCTCGTAATATTTTTGTATTTTTGTTTATTGTATTTTTAGAACCCAGATAATGTTGTGTTTGTTATGGATGCCTCTATTGGTCAAGCTTGTGAAGCTCAGGTAAAAACTTTAAAATATTCACTGTTTGGTGTGACTGTATAGAGGTTCCTTCGCAACCCTACATACTCCTCGCAGTATTTCGTTTGAGGTTCCTTCACAACCCTGTGGATTTACTCTGGTATCTGGACATGTACTGATTTTACTCTCGTCTACGATATCACTCAGTGGAAGCAGACATTAATCCAAAATCCAAATCAATGTCCTAATTCTTAGGAGCATTAGCCTAATCACAAACGTGTAGTCTGTTACAGAGTTTGGTTTAAAGTATGTACTGATAAATACTCTTTGGGTTTTTTTTAAGTAAATGTTTATGATTATGATGTTTAATTTGATATTTAATTTTTAGGCTCGAGCTTTTAAAGATAAAGTTGATGTAGCGTCTGTTATTATAACTAAATTAGACAGTCACGCCAAGGGTGGTGGAGCTCTCAGTGCGTAAGTATAAAATTATTATAAGATGTATAAGCCGCAGTTGTCTGTGATATTACTAGCGTGGGAACAGATGTTATATATAGATCCTTTTCACTTGTTTGTCATGTCACCTCTGCAGAATCATGTCACCATTTTCACACTTGTAATCCTGACTTTTGTGCGATATCATAAGTGTGGAAACAGACGTTATACATCAATGTAAACCCCAATTGTCTGTGTTGTCACAAGCATAGAAGCAGACAGTACACACGTCTGGTTTCCTCAAACTACTAATGACCCCTACACACAAGCGAACACAAGTTAAAATGAAATTTTGATTGTATTTTTCTAGTGTTGCTGCTACAAAGAGTCCCGTAATATTTATTGGAACAGGAGAACATATAGATGATTTTGAACCGTTTAAAGTTCAACCATTTGTTAGTAAATTATTGGGTAAGTATTGCTTGAGAATATTAAACCTCAACTGCCATGTGATATATTAAGGCTTGCTGAATATGTGTGGTTTAATGGACATTGCGTAATATGTTGTAACAACACGAGTGATGTTAGTTGTTGTACAATATATTACTTAATGTTTAAAGCTTGAGACCATTAAACAACTTAAAATACAGACACTTGCACATGCTTTGCAATGAAATATGTCACGCATGTCCAAAATTTTAATTAGTATAAATAATGTACCATTATATGAAATAATGATATGCCAACATAATAATTAAAAACTAGATAACATAAAGGCAATTTACTGAAAATTTCATTCAAATTGATCCACTATGAACCAAGAACTAAGCGAATGAAATTTCTGCCTAGCCTCGGTCATCATTACAAAAATCAGTACGATAAACAGCATAGTCTCGATTATCCTCTGAATCGTTTAATCGAGAAGGTAAGTTATGCAGTAAATCGGCTTACAATCACTTAAGATCGCAGGCTAGCGAGGCCATCTAGAGTTGAGTATGGTCTGGATAAGTTAATTAATGTCTAATTGATAATTTAGATAACATTTCAGGCCTAAAGAAAGACCTGCAATAGGCAGATTTATCTCTTGCATAATGTATGTTTAATATCTTGCTCTGGACCTTTAAAGCCAGGTTGTATGGCCGAATGGTTAGCGCATGTGCATTGTACCATAAGATCTGTCATTGAGTCCCCAGTTGTACATGGCAAGGAGTAGGGTCGCCCGTCAAACTTTGTGGGTTTTCTCTGTGTCCTCTGATTTCCTTCCACTGCTAAAGACCCCTACACGCAAGCAAATGATTGAAATAAAATTGAACCATATGTTAGTCCCGAAATGACCCAGTTTGTGTCAAGTGGACTCTCTCTCTACCTTGACCATTAAACCAAACTAATAAATTGTATTTATATTTATGTGAGATATTGATAATAAATTGTATTTATATTTATGTGAGATATTGAAGAACGTTATGATAATAGAATGTTTTATATATTATAGGTATGGGAGATATTGATTATAAATTGTATTTGTATTTATATTTATGTGAGATATTGAAGAACGTTATGATAATAGAATGTTTTATATATTATAGGTATGGGAGATATTGAAGGATTGATTGATAAAGTTAATGAATTAAAATTAGATGATAATGAGGAATTAATGAAGAAGTTAAAACAAGGTAAGATGGTAAAAGTTAAAACAAGAAAAGATGGTAAAAGCTGTAAATATTAAATATACAATTCCTGTATTGGTTCAATGTTTAACTTCAAATCTCTGGGTCTGTTAAAGACCCCTACATGCAAGAGAATTATTGAAATGAAATAGCATACTACCATATTTTAGTTCCAAAGTGACTTAGCTTGTATTGAGTCGCGCGCTGTATCATAAAGTCTGTCATTGAGTCAACTGGCGTGGTTTCGAATCCCCGGTTGTATGTAACAAGGAGTAGGGTCGCCTGTCCAACCTCGTGGGTTTTCTCCGGGTCGTCCAGTTTCCTCCCACTGCTAAAGACCCCTACGCGCAAGCAAATTATGGAAATAAAATTGAACCATATGTTAGTCCCGAAATGACCTAGTTTGTGTCGAGTGGACGTTAAACCCCATCTCTCTCTCTCTCTCCCTCTCTCTCTCTCCCCCCCTCTCTCTCTCTATCTCTATCTCTATCTATCTTGTATTGTTTCAAAGTTAAACCCAATGTCTTAAGTGAAGAATCATAGGTAAAAAATTGTGTATAATTTATGTAGATATTTATTTCCCCCCCCCCCCCCCTTTGTGGCTTAGGTAATTACATAGTGATGTTATATAGTCCAAAATAACTCTATTCCTTGGCCTGGAAACAAAAAAAGTGAACTACCTAGATGTAAGCCCCATTGTGTACATGTTATGTTTAACATTATCTGTATCACTATGCTTTGACGAACACCCCACCCATCTAGAACTCAACCCAAGGGTATCACAGTGTTATAACATAGAGGGGGAGGGGCTGACAAGTTAACTTGCGGTATTTCTACCCCAGGTCTGGGGACTTTCCCTAGGGCGTAGTAGAGTAACTAGTACCCTGTGTGTAGCCCCATCACAGATTATCCAGGTAGTACACTGTTGGAGGGTGCTCAGTTTATTATATACCAGCTATTTTACTGACTTAGAAAAATAATGGCAGCATTTTGGAGGCAATATTGGAAATAGATTGAAGTTTATAAATTATTCTATGAATGACAATATGAATTGACTATGATTAATTTAACAAATGTGTTCACTGCCTGTTTTTGGTTTGATTTTCAAGTAAAGAAGATGGAAATCACTTTACATTTCTCCAAGTCATAAAATGTATATGCAAGTTTTTTTATGGATTTTTTCAGGTCAGTTCACTTTACGAGACATGTACGAACAGTTTCAGAATATTATGAAGATGGGGCCCTTCAGTCAAATCATGGTAAGACATATAATGATGTACATTTAAAAAATATTTGTTAATTTATTTAATTTTCTGTAATTTTTTCTAATTAATTGGGGAATTATCTCCCTTGATTTCAAATTTGTAATCCAGTCAAGCGATGAAAATTTAGTTTATAGCTCTTTAGTTTAAATTGGCACATCTAATATGTTTGTTTTTGTTGAAAGAAATATGTGCACATTTTTCTATGGTACCAAGTTAAGGCCAAAGCAACTTTTTTTTTTTAGTTCAGAGTCCACTTGAATATCTTTGTACTATGTTTTGTTTTTACAAAATTCTAAAACTTAAAATAAGAATGAAAACCTTGTTACATATTCCTGTAGAACAAATATTCAGATTGATGTGGCCTAAGGGCGCTGTATTCTCTCTTCACAATTTACAGATTTTGGCTCATACATTATGCAAGAGCTAAATCTGTCTATTGCAGGTCTTTCTTTAGGCCTGAAATGTTATATAAATTATTAATTAAATATTAATTAACTTATCCAGACCATAATTAACGCGATGTCATCGCTAGCCTGCAATATTTACTGGATATGAATACCTTTTATGACGGATGATTTAACGTAAAAATGGATAACCAAGACTTTGTTTATTATCGTGCCGATAGTAATGACGTTCGAGGCTAGCCTAAATTTGAATTGCTAATATCTCGATTCAGAGTGAAGCAATTTGACTGAAATTTTCAACATATTCTCTTTCCCTTATTTATTTTTGAACTATTATAGCGAGAACTGTCAGCTCTTTATCTAATCTCCCATAATGCCCCTTTAAATATAATGTTATTATGAATTAAAATTGTTAGAACGTGAATAATTTACTTGTATTTATGATTATTTATATAATAATTTATATGTTTTTTTCAGGGTATGATCCCGGGATTTAGTCCTGATTTTATGTCAAAAGGTACAGAACAAGAATCAATGGCTAGATTGAAGAAACTGATGACGATGATGGATAGCATGAACGATGCAGGTAAATAGATTAGTCCAGCAGTACCCCCACCCCCACCCCCTTCATGTTCCTGAAGCAACCACCCTAAGTTTTACAACATTTAGACTTTGCTACACTGGTCTGTAATTACCGAACTTATAGCTACATTATCTATCTTTAACGCAGACATGTGAACGATAGCATTCAATCAGAGGTTGTGACACAAACACACTCAAATCAAACATGGCAACCTCCACGGAAACCTTGACATTGAACGAACCTTGAATTTTGCCACTCGATATCCAATCGAAATTAATGCCGAAATATGCAGCCTATTACGTGAAGGGCTTGATAAGATGTACAGAGTTAAAGCGAGATGAAGCCTTCTATTGAAGATGCCCCTCTTTTAGCCTCCTAACAAAATGTAAACCTTCTGGAAAGGCAAAATTCAGGTAACGCAAGTTGACGTTGTTTTCACGAGCTCTGCTTTGACAATTATATAGCCATATATAGAGAAAGTCTGGCCATAATCGCCGTCTGGTTACCCATTCTTCAAGTTTAATAGATGAACATTAGAAGGAAAGAAACATTCAATAAAGGACGTAGCAGGAGGACATTTTACTTCCCGTATATTTGTAAGGATGTAGCAGGACTTTTAGACGTTTCATTTACTGTATCTTGCACAAATTTTCGACGTTTTATTTTCTGTATTTGTAGAATTAGACAGTATAGAAGGAGAGAAGTTGTTTTCCCGTCAACCGAATCGTGTACAGAGAGTCGCTAGAGGTTCAGGTGTATCTATAAAAGAAGTCAATGATTTGTTGAGTCAGTATAAAAAATTCGCTCAGATGGTGAAGAAGATGGGAGGAATAAAAGGCTTATTTAAAGGAGGAAAAGGTTTGTCCTTTGATACACAAGGGGGGTTGGATGGCCGAATGGTTAGCATGTGTGCACTGTATCATGTGGTCTGTCATTGAGTCAGCTGGCGTGATTTCGATTCCCCCGGTTGTACGTGACAAGGAGTAGGGTTGTCTGTCCAACCTTGTCTGTTTTGTCCGGATCCTCCGGTTTCCTCCCACTGCTGAAGACCCCTACGCGCAAGCGAATTATTGAAATAAAATTGCACCATGTGTTAGTCCCGAAATGACCTAGTTTGATTCATGTCGAAGTTAAACCCCATTTCTCTCTTTTGATACACAAACTTCGCATCCTTGTTCCTTGGACAATTGCGCATCAGTTGACAGACTGATTGTTGATATGATGTCACAGCTCAAGATGGCGACAAGCACGTTTCATAAAACATGAGAAATTTTGGGATACTTTTTTTTTTTCAGTTTTCAGCTGAAATATGTTTCAGCATTTGATTTTCTTCCGACGAGAAGTACTATAGGGATGTAGTAATTAATAGTAACAGGCCAAGATAAACTTGATTAATGGGGCATTATGGGAAATTAGATAAAGAGCTGACAGATAATGTAAAGAGAAGATGCTGAAAATTTCAGTCAAATTGCTCCCCTATGAACCAAGATATTAGCGATTGAATTTTAGGCCAGCCTCGATCATCATTACTAAAGTCATTACTAAAGTCAGTACGATAAAAAACAAAGTCTTGATTATCCATTTTGATGTTTAATCATCCGTCACAAAATATATTCAAATCCAGTAAATATCGCAGGCTACCGATGGCATTGAGAGTTGATTATGGTCTGGATAAATTCATTAATGTCTAATTAATAATTTAGATAACATTTCAGGCCTAAAGAAAGACCGGTAATAGGCAGATTTAGCTCTTGCATAATGTATGTTTAAAGAATTATTGGATCTAACCAGCATTGCTCCGCTACTCCTCGATACAAGTTTATGACAGATGTCAATATTATTATAATTATTTATGTATTTATTTTTTTACAGGTGGAGATATTAGTAAAAATGTTAATCCAGCTCAGATGGCGAAACTCAATCAACAAATGGCCAAGGTCATGGATCCTCGAGTTCTTCAACAAATGGGTAGGTAGCATCATCATCTGGGATTCAATATGGTCTGTTATGATACAGAGTCAAGGCACTGGAATCTATGGATTCTAATCCAGACAGGAGACAAGAACTGTTGGCACTTTTAATCCCTTGCAAACTGAAAAAAGTTCCAATATGGTATCCCCATGTCAATGGTGTAGGATGGAGAGCTGGTTTCCCCATGTCAGTGGTGTAGGACAGGGGCTGGTTTCTCCATGTCAGTGGTGTAGGACAGGGGCTGGTTTCTCCATGTCAGTGGTGTAGGACTGGAGGCTGGTTTCTCCATGTCAGTGGTGTAGGACTGGGGGCTGGTTTCTCCATGTCAGTGGTGTAGGAGGATGGCTGGTTTCCCAATATCAGTGGTGTAGGATGAGGGGCTGGTTATGTAGAATGGAGGGTTGGCAAGGAATGATGTGAGGAAGAGTAGGCGAGAACCCTACTGTCTCTCATATAGGTCACAGCATTATCCTGGACGGTGACGTAAACTTCATTTTCTCTCATTTTCATCTAGTCCAGGATTATGTTCCGAAAACCTTAGAAATATGTGTACATTAATCTGATTAAATGTTAATTATATTTCAGGTGGTATGCAAGGTCTACAGAATATGATGAGACAATTTCAACAGGGTGCTGCAGGAAAGATGGGCAATATGTTTAACTGATGACGTATCAGTACTATAGTTAATATCATCATCGCGTTAACATCATCATCGTTACTAGTCATGTGGGATTAATAAGTAACCAATCACTGACAATACTATTACAGTGTCTCCAGTCCCTTTCATTCTGTCACGTACAAACAAATTTGGCTTTATGTTGTTTTTATGGACAATTTTAATGCATGTCACAAACAGTTAAAAAAAATTGTCTGTCATGTCTTGCCACATGGCTGGATGAATTTGAATTTGTTATTTTCAGTTTCAAGCCGGTTAAGATACGATTTGGACATTTTGATTACTAACCTAGTGGCTTAAGACTGGGCTTTTGAAAAGTTGCTACTTGATAATCGAGTACCGTGGACCTAGACATCAGCACTCAAACTGATAAACATTACAGCTGGGGAATTGATGGCTTGTGTTGCGGGCACTACAGCGTTGCTTTCTTGGTTTATCGCCTCGTCTTGCGAGCAGTGTTTGTCTGTTCTTGTCGTGTTCAGGGGATTATGGGTAAATATCACACATGACTAGTTACGATATCTATTGTTAATATGGAAATCATCTTGGTATATAAATAGTTGATGGTTACCACGGCAACCAGTAATATACATTTATTTTGGTATTTAAGATGAAAAATGTATGGAAATATTTAGTACAGATTGTTTAACTGAATGCGAATAACACAAGTTCAAAATTTATTTCTGGTGATGTTTCAATGAGGGTCAATTTGATTAAAACACAGATCTTATTTCGTTTCGTTTTTTATAGTTCAAAATTTTGTTTTACTTGTCTTTACTACACTAGGATCTGGAAGAGTTGTTATATAAGCCGCGTTGTGTATGGTGTGAGGGATTAGCCAATGAAATGGTCTGTTACGGCGAGTGTTTGGCATGAGGTGCACAGAACTTTAGGAAAACAACTAGAAACGTCAACACTGATTGATTAATCAAATGTCTGATGTCATAGGATCGAAAGCCGCTCGTGTGGCACGTGACGCGACCTTTCACTAAAACTGGTCAGATCTTCATGTAGTGGAGGCCATTGAAATAATTCAGAAAACGAAATGAAATATAGATCCGTATTTTAATCATTCTTTGCTTGATAAAGACGGGAGAAACCATGTCGTAACGTCGCCAGAAATAAACGTTTTAAGTAACTTGTATTCATTGTGTTATTATCAGTTTAAAACAACTATCAAAATTTCTTTTCCAGACTTTCTGTTTCTCGAAATATTAGTTTCGAATTTTAAGGACAGAAAGAAAGAAACCTAAAACTTGTAACTGTTAAAAAAAAATTCCCAATTCTCTGATTTTTAGTTCTGGCCATCGTTTGTCGGCTATTTCATCTTTTATATCCTCAGGTTTTCGGAGCACTTTCACAAACCAGTTTTCAACAGCATGTAGATTCTATCTGTTCAAAGATCACCCCATTATTACGAGTCAGTCAAATATATCTGACTGTATTTTAAAACAATTATCAAATCTATCTACTTGGTATTTTAGCTCCTTTACTAAGATCAATATATGACAGTCCCAAAACTTGTCTTTATGGCAGGATCTCACTGTGAAAGTGCACTGAAAACCCATGCCCCATGCAGATAAGACAATAACATAAATATATGACGTTAATAACTATATTATTGTTGTTTTTGAAAAACGGTGATTTTCAGAGTAATCGTGAAGAGTGATAGAGCGTTCAGTGTGAATGATTCCTAAGAAAAATGTTAATTTTTTTATTGTTTCTAATTATTTAATATTCAGACTAAAGTCAATCTTTATTGTATGTAGAATCCATTTGGGTTTTTTTTTATTGTATGTAGAAGCCATTTATTTTTTAGCGTATTCAAAGTTAACTACTGTTCAGAAAAAATTTCAGTGTTTGGGAGTCAAAAGTTTATATCCGGCATATTTTAAAAAATAATATTCTTATGCACCTTTTTGTCTAGTTCCCATAATTCTAAGCCAATAAAAAGGGGTTTTATAGATATTTTTTCAAAATGTTTTACATCGATTGATTTGATTCCCAAAAATATTAAGAGCGAAAAATGGCTCTCCTGAACAATTTTGTAAATGTCAGATATAACCCTTTAAATTTTCAAACATTGGATACAATTAATTTAAAACCCTTTAAATCAGCAGTAACGATATGATATACTAGCATGTTGTTTTTGTTATTACTGAAAGAAAAAAAAATTACAGAGAAAAATGAATGGTAAAATATATTAAGAGTATAAAATTTTGAACAAGTTGGATCTAATTGTTGTGTTTTTATGTTTAACAAATACTGAGTATCTGTACTTCACTCGACTTCATGTTTGTAATCTTGTTTAACAGAGTATCTGTACTTCCCTGTTTGTAATCATGTTTAACAAATACTGAGTATCTGTACCTTCCCTGTTTGTAATCATGTTGAAAGAAAGCTGGTGATGGCTTTCATTACATGTATCTGATAATCTTTGTTTTATGTATGGTTATTCCACAGGGACTTGTACTAATTGAAGGGTTCTTGTTATACCACAGGGACTAATTGAAGGGTTAATATTGTTGCCAGATTTTTCATCCGGGGTTAATGCATGTAAATTTATTAATTTGTATGTGTTCTCAAAGCGTTTATTTACCAGTGAAAACAAGAAACACTGTTTATTTCAAATTTATGAATAGCATCATACTCTTCAGACCTGGCATTGTTCTATTAACAGGCGTTTCTCAAACAGGTATCCTGTATACAGGTATTTATTAATCAGTCGATTGTGTCAAGTCCCTGTGGGTTGATATTTGTTGATGTATAAATAGATCATTTGTAAATAAAAGTAAATTAAAATCTGTTGGGCTTCGAATTATCTTTTTTAAATTAAGAAATGTATTATTATACATGTACATGTCATTTGAATGCAGACTACATTAGCAGGAGATCTCTGTGTTGGTTGAAAAGTTCCACAGGATTTTCCAGTCTGGTGCCAGCCCCTTGTTATTGGTGGAAGGGGGCTGGCACCATCCCCTTGTTATTGGTAGAGGGGGCTGGCATCATCCCCTTGTTATTGGTGGAGGGGGGCTGGTACCATCCCCTTGTTATTGGTGGAGGGGGCTGGCACCATCTTCTTGTTATTGGTGGAAGGGGGCTGGCACCATCCCCTTGTTATTGGTGGAGGGGGCTGGCACCAACCCCTTGTTATTGGTGGAGGGGGCTGGCATCATCCCCTTGTTATTGGTGGAGGGGGGCTGGCTCCATCCCCTTGTTATTGGTGGAAGGGGGCTGGCACCATCCCCTTGTTATTGGTGGAGGGGGCTGGCACCATCCCCTTGTTATTGGTGGAACAGGGCTGGCACCATCCCCTTGTTATTGGTGGAGGGGGCTGGCACCAACCCCTTGTTATTGGTGGAGGGGGCTGGCATCATCCCCTTGTTATTGGTGGAGGGGGGCTGGCACCATCCCCTTGTTATTGGTGGAGGGGGCTGGCACCAACCCCTTGTTATTGGTGGAGGTGGGCTGGCACCATCCCCTTGTTATTGGTGGAGGGGGCTGGCACCATCCCCTTGTTGGTGGAGGGGGGCTGGCACCATCACCTTGTTATTGGTGGAGGGGGCTGGGAAGGATAATTTTTTTTTTACAGTTGTAGAAAAGTAAAATGTTTAGCCCAATGTCCTTTCATTTCCCAATTAACCTGATCCAGCTACAGGTGGGACTGTGCATCTGCAGACTGAAAGATGCCGAGTAATTAGGTCTGAGGGTTTTTTTCCGGGCCATAATAAAAACAGGTCTGTCTCGAAATAACCATTTTACTTGTGACTTACATGGCTGACAAATTGTAAGGCACAATAATACTGAACTAGTACCGGTACCTGGCATTTTAACTCTGAGTTGGATATGTAAATACAGTAAACTAGTACCGGTACCTGGCATTTTAACTCTGAGTTGGACGTGTAAATACAGTAAACTAGTACCGGTACCTGGCATTTTAACTCTTGAGTTGGACGTGTAAATACAGTAAACTAGTACCGGTACCTGGCATTTTAACTCTGAGTTGGACGTGTAAATACAGTAAACTAGTACCGGTACCTGGCATTTTAACTCTGAGTTGGACGTGTAAATACAGTAACCTTCACATAAGTCGGATCTAAGTGGACTGACCAATTTATCAGAGTAGAGCGAAGATCCGAGTTAGCCGAAGACCGAAATCCAATCTTAGCTTGATTAGAAATAAACTGCAAGAGTCGGGTAATAATTGATTTGAAGGCACATTTCAAGCTTTTGTTCGTATGTGTGAGTAGATAACTTCCGTTTTGGTGCGAGCAGATAACTTCCGTTTTGTCGCCGTCTTTCAAAAATGTCCTAAATTTTCTCGGAAACAGCGAGTTTCAAATTTTCAGGGAAAATTCTATTATTGCGTTGCGTCAAATTGGCTGATTTGAGTCAAAATGATAGAGGAAAGTAACCCCGTTTTAGACCATCAGATCAGGCGAAACTGACAGTGAAATTTTTGAACATACTGCCGATCCAACTTAGGCAAAGGGAAAAGACTGGAATTAGATCAAATGGACCAACCATTTTGATCCGAGTTGAGCGAATATCCGACTTACACGCAGAAATTTAATAAGAAAAACGTGCAGGATCAAACGGGTCCAAACAATTTTATCCAAGTTGAGCCAAGATCCGACTTGTGCGAGGTTTACTGTATCAATTAAAACACAGGAATACGCCAAATCTGTGAGAGACAAGGTGACAAGTATCCGAGGGATTGTGACTGACATTCTGACATGTGCCCGATTCCCAGGGTTAATAAACAAATTAAACAGTCAAATCAATAGTTGGTATAATCAATCCTCGACTATTAAAACATAATCAAGTGCAAAAATAGAATTGTTATCCTTCAAAATTCAACCAGTTTTAAATGTATCATGTTTTAATTTCATAGACAGTTGATGACAGATAACCGAAAAACCACCTCCAAACATAAAAAAAAACAAGCTCCATTTTGTTCAATATCCCTTGTTAACATGAACTGAAGAATTTTATTAGTCCATTGTTTCTCCTCCACTTTCATTTACCTGTCATCCTATTTTTAAAATTCACCAAAAGAATATCAGTTGTTAGTTATACATGAAGTATGGTACCGTAGTTAGGACAGGTACAAATAACATCTATATTTATAAATAAAATAATTACTCCAATAACAAGTCCAATCAATTTTATTTTAGTCGTTGCACAATCACAGCATTAATCAGATTAGCTTCTACTAAAGTTTGTGATTCATCACTCAATTCTTTATTAGGAAATGTCGTCTGCAAGACAAAGTTTGTGCCTGCGTACTGTGGTCGATTTGAAACGATGTAGCCACGAATGTCACTGACTTTATGAGAGTGATTGAACTTTGACACTAATCTGGTTCCATCAGCTAATCTAATCTGTAAATTGGTCGTAGGTTGACTCTCGTCAACAGACACGGAAACAGGTTTACTAGCACTGCTAGCACTTGATGTACTGGGAGCATTAGATACAACATTCGGTACTGGACTTCCCAATGTATGACCTTCACCTGTAAACGCTTTCAATTGTCCTTTTGGTTTGACGAAATCCTCATTTCGATGATCCTCCATGTTGAGACTGACTTCTCCTCCCTTACCCATGGAGATAAGTTCACGGGGAACTTCACCCTTCGATACAGAATCAAGAAACTCTTTGTTCCCTGGATCTTTGAATTCACGTAGGGGTCCATTATCAACACTGAACCCATTTTTCCATAATTTCAAGACCATATCCACCTGCCGAGGTGCTGTCTTCAATGCTCCACCTTGAACTGTTTCAGAATCATCGTCCGTCTGGCCGAGCTTGTAACCTGTGCCACGAAATGTAGAAAACGCAGACTTTCGATCCTCTGGTTTATCTATGGCTTCAGCACCATGTTCTTTGGCAGACTTAAACAGATTTTCAACAACATTTTTATCTTTTTTCTTTGGGGGTCCAATGACTTGCTGACCACTGCGTTCCGATCCTCCTGCGTAATACGCCTGACCTTCTTCCTCACTGGAATCCGATTCAGACGACTGTTGCTGAAAACTGGATATTGTGCCAAATCTAGAATTAGAAGCTGGTTTGTTTTTCTTATCTTTAGATTGTCCCTGCCCTGTAATTGCAGCTGTTGCCATCTCTGGCTGTGAGATTTCTTCAATGTCCGCACTTTCCATTTGCATTTCTTCAACATCATCCTGATCGCCATCCTCAAAGAAACTGGCAGTTGCCATTTCTAGGTTCCAGGCCGACGATTCCAAATAAAATGTGGCTCTCTGTTCATCGACGCCTGTTACGGCGATGAAATGCTGAATTTTTTCGTCGTTTTCGGCCATATTTATTGTCGATTCTAGAATCAAAAACACTGAATCACGCTTAAACCTGAAGAAAGGATGTTGTTTTCGTTGAACCGGAAGAACAAATGTTGGAAACGGTAGTCTGAATCATTTAGTCCGTTCGATGAATTACTGAATTACTAACAATTACTAAAGCAAATTATGTCTGGATTCTCGAGTCTTGTCTCCACTCGGCTGTACCGAGTTTAATAATATCATTTCGGCAACAAATTGCCGCTTAATATAAGGTACATGTCGCCTCAGGGCCCTTTCTTTATTTTGTTATATTGGAGCAATAAAATATTTGGTAGTATTTAAAAAAAACATTCAAAACAATCTGCTTTGCTACCAATACGTATGATCCGTTCGTGAATTTTATCAAATAGTTTCTACCTGAGGATGTACCGAATGTTTGTGACGTTTTTATCGGCAGACTTTGAACCGGAAGTTTAGGTCGTGAAAACAGTTGTTGGTGGACGGTGCAAAGTTCGTGCAAAAACAGATTTTATCGGAATTTCGTGGTACGATTTTGACCAAAGTCTGTTGTGTTTGAAAGGTTTGTTATATTACATTCCAATATTTGGTTGCCATGCAGAACAAGCAAAATGTCGGTCAAAACCAAGAGGCTCAACTCTAACACAGTAACTGTGTCATCACGCTGCTTGTAAATTTAGCAGACGAATTTTCATTTTTTTTTTTTTTAATTTTAACCTGAGGGCTGGCTTGCACAAATTGAAGTGTGCACAAACCAACAAAAAAAAAAAAAAAAAAAAGCGCGATTAATGCAAGAGAGAGTGCCGAATGCGAAGGTTATTGATATAATTGGGGTCATCATGAAGTGTCCTACATTAATTTTTATAGGTTGAGGCAGTGTGAGTGTCAGTGTCAGTGGTTTATTGTACAATATTGAATAAAACAATGTATTATAAGCCTTAAGGGCAACGATAATACGGTGTACTTTTTTTTTTAGCCAAGGCTAAAGGCTAGAGTTAAAGTAGCTAAGTCTCTAACTCAATATCATCCAAAATCTTCGACATTGAAAACACAAATTATTTGTCAATTTAAATCAACATTGATGTTGTGACCTTACGGGGAAAAGATGGGCTTCTGATATCCTATAATTAAGTCAAAATAAACATTTTACCGTTGGTACACGAATCGTGTACCATGGTGCATTTCAGTGCCATTTTTAACAAAGGACTCGTAGAAAGAGGCTAGATATATTCCACAAGTCATGTCAATCGGTGACGCCATATTCTTATCTGGAGAGCATGTGCAATAAATACTATCGGTATAGAGTGGAATAACCAGGCGCTAGAGATTGCCATTCGATTGAGATTCTGGCGTATTTCACCGAACATAACTGATTAGAAATTGCAGTAAAAACAGAAACGATTGAATGTAAATCAGTTTATATACATTCACATTACATTATTATATGCGTTGCGACCCATTTGTGTCAATTTCTAGATCCAAAATATTAGCGATTTAGCTCCTTTAAAACTCTAAGAATTTCTTAAAAGAAATCTAAACTAGCCTAGTTACTTAGAAAATAGGCAAATAAAATCTGAGACCATACACTAATTATAAACCTGTTAATAATAATAATAATAAGTATACAGGAAGACAAATTACAAATAAACAACTAAAACAAGTACAACAACAACAAACCATGGACCTTATTATGATGTACAAACATGTAATATTATTATAAGGTCCATGAACAAACCAAAAATAACAATTTTGAGGTTGAAAAGCATTCTAGTGCCAGAGAGTTATTTGAGAGAGAGACTCGACACAAACTAGGTCATTTCGGAACTCCCCCGAGAGTTACATAAAGACAAAGAATTAAATAGAAGCAACAATATAAATTAGTTCTTAGAAAATGGGTACCATATAAAAACAAGGAACCAAACTTTTAAAATTTAAACATACATTATGCAAGAGCAAAATCGGCCTATTGCAGGTCTTTCTTTAGGCCTGAAATGTTATAAAAACCATTAATTAGACATTAATTAACTTATCCAGACCATAATCAGTTCTCGATGTCAAGGCTTGCCTGCGATATTTGTTGGATTGCAGTCCGATTTGCTGCAAAACTTTCCTTCGTGATTAACGATTAAATGGATAATCAAGACTGTTAGTTTTGTCTTATCGACTTCAGTTGCCTTTACATTATGTAGTTTTTAACTATTATAGTGAGAACTGCCAACTCGTCATCTAATCTCCCATAATGTATCTTTAAGTGACAAAAAAAATGACCTTAGCCTTGACATTTTTGCAAGTAAAATATTACTTATATTATGTACAATATTTCTAATTGTACTTGTCAATCTTGCTTGAGCTATCATAATAATGGCTCCCAACATGCGCCTAGGCTACATTTAGGGTTGGATGGCCGAATGTTTAGGACGTGCACGCTGTATCATAAGGTCAGTCATTGAGTCAACTGGCGTGGTTTCGATTTCCCGGTTGTACGTGACAAGGAGTAGGGTCGCCTTGTTCAATCTCAGGCTGACCTTAAAAATATCTTTGTTTCGCCTAACGCGACCGACTAACTAAAACCACCCCCGACTTAAATTATTTTATTGCACTTTTCCACGATCTTTTTATTTTATTTTGTGTGTCAACCTGAAATATATCACGAGAGTTATTTCCCTTTACTATGGCTATGGTTTGATTTATTATTGAAACTGGTTAATCAAGACGAAAGCGTCACAGGTGTCGCTTCTCAACAAAATGGTTGCAGACGAAAGCACGTCCATTCCCACGAAATGATTCTGCCTCTATGTCTCTGGGGCGTCGTTTCCACCCGGAAAATTATCAAGCTGTCAAATTAGCTCTTAAGTTTAATAAAAACTTTAAGTTCGTTACTTTTTACGTCAGACCCAAAATTCATTAAACAAAATTAATGAATCTGTAGTATACAGCTAATAAGTTTTCTGTATTGATTTCTCTGACTTTAAAAAAAAAATCTGAAAAAAAAACGACCTACCGACCCTTCTCCTCGATTGTGGGTCGGGTTTGGTGAAACAAAGATATTTTTAAGGCCAGCCTCATGGGTTTTCTCCGGGTCCTCCGGTATCCTCCTACTGCTAAAGTATTGATTTTTATTTGAACCATATGTTAGTCCCGAACTAACCTTGTTTGGGTCGAGTGAATGTTAAACCCCATTTCTCTCTCTCTATCCCTCTCTTTACATTTATTCTGCATATTTCAGCGTGTTACAATGTGGCGACAATCTGTATCAGTTATATCCAAGGGAGCAGCAGTCATGTCTACAAGAAAGATGCTAACTCAGGGATATCAGATACTTCCAGCAATGGTTGCACCAACACAGCGTATGATGTCTGCTGTACCTAACGCAGATAATCCACCCAAACTAAGACAGGAAATCGCCCAGAAGAGTCCACCTTCTTTTAATGTCGAAAAAATGACAGAACTTTTAGATCATGACAATCATGAGATGAGAAAAAAATTTCGTGAATTTGTGAGTGAACCTGTGATGATACCACGGTATAATATTACTCTGGCTGAAGAGCGAGATATTGCTCTTCAGAGATTGAAGAGAATTTGTGATGCTGGTTTCATCTCAGTTCTTGACTTTAAAAATAATCCATTGAGAATTTTTGCTGCTCATGAATTGGCATCAGTGATTGATCCTGCCATGACAACCAAGATGACCGTACAGTTCAATCTATTTGGTGGAACTGTTTTAAAATTAGGAACCCAAAGACATCATGATAAACTACTAAAAGGTTAGTAATGTTAACATTTTGGGGATTGGTGAATGGCCAAATCATGATACACTACTAAAAGGTTAGTAATGTTAACACTTTGGGGTTGGGTGAATGGCCAAATCGTCTGAGGCGTGCGCATTAGATCATAAGGTCAATCATTGAGTCAAGTAATATAGTTTCGATTCCACGCTTGAACGTGACAAGGAATAGGCTTGGCTGCCCAACCTCATTGGGTTTCTAGGAAATCTACAAAAGCATGGGCACCATCTTCTACCTAGCTCCATTTCTGTGAAATCAAATGATTTACATACCTTTATTTTTCAGATCATACTTTATTGTTGGAACTGTTACTGTGATGGGGTGGGGTGGATGGCCGAATGGTCAGCACATGCACATTGTATCATAAGGTCTGTCGATTCCCCAGTTGTATGTGACAAGGAGTAGGGTTGCCTGTCCATACGTGTGAGTTTTCTCCAGGTCCTCCGGTTTCCTGTCACTGTTAAAGACCTCTACGCGCAAGGGAAAATTATTGAAATAACATTGAACCATATGTTAGTCCCAAAATGACCTAGTTTTATTATTATAAAAACTAACACACATGTCATTTGTTTATTTATTTTACTAGGTATTGATACACTGGATGACGTGGGATGTTTTGGTTTGACTGAACTTGGTTACGGTAACAATGCAGTGGAAATGGAGACAACAGCAACTTATGATTCGGCTACTAAAGAATTTATCGTCAACACCCCATCAACATTAGCTCAGAAATACTGGATTACAAATGGAGCTGTTCATGCTAAGCATTGTATTGTTTTTTCACAACTCATTGTTAATGGTGAAAAGTATGGTGAGGTTTTTATTTTGTTATATAAAAGATTATAATTTTACTTGGGTTCTATTAAACATAGATTATGCAAGAGCTTAATCTGCCTATTGCAAGTCTTTCTTTTAGCCTGAAATGTTATATAAATTATTGAATAGACATGAAAGTTATTCAGGGGTTGAAATTACCCTCCTAGGTGTTTTAAGAATAAAATAATTAATGTGAATTAATTATAGATGGGAATAGAGAAAGAATTAATTCATTAAAATAATTCTGTTTTTCTATGGGTAAATTTTGGACAAAAGTGCATTTTGATATTTATGATATCTGATATATCCATGGTGTTTTGGTTCCGATTAAGTATATTTATAATATCAGGTATCCATGGTGTTTTGGTTCCTATTAGAGATGAGAATTTGAAAGTAAAAGATGGAGTACGAGTAGAAGATATGGGGTAAGATTTTAAACTTATAATTCTCGGTTTCTATTAGTTGTACGGGAGCCATGGTGGCTAAGTGGGTAAGACACTGGCTCGCTAGCCTGGAGGTGCCGTCTGGGTTTCTTTTATTTGTAAGACACTGGCTCGCTAGCCTAGGGGGGGGGGGGGGGTCTATCACGGTATTGGCCGTGAAAGTTCATCAGGATTCTCTGATGTGGTTTCCCCTTGTCAGTGATGCAGGACAAAGGGCCTGACAAAGGCAGCTGTCTGGTTGTTCGGATGGAAAAAAAACTAATATTACTATTTATAGATCTGGTTATATAAAAATGGTTTTGAAATAGGGGATGTTCGGATATTGTTTATCATATTTTTAAAAAGAGTTTCTCATTTATAACTTGAATCAGATCATTTTAATTTTGGTTTTCATTCTGTTTTTGTTTATTTTTAGATATAAAATGTCTGGCAATGGAGTTGATAATGCTAAGTTATTTTTTGACAATGTGAGAGTTCCAAGAGAGAATTTATTAAATCGTTGGTCTGATGTAGCAGAAGATGGAACGTTCACGTCTAGTATTGATGGTATTAGAAACAGGTATTAATCATCGGCAATTAAACATACATTATGCAAGAGCTAAATCTGCCTATTGCAGGTTTTTCTTTAGGCCTTAAATTTTATCTAAATTATTAATTAGACATTTATAAAAAAAAACCAAGACCATAATCAACTCTTGATGGCATCAGATACTCGAGATTTGAACTAGATTAGAATAGTTCGCCATTTAAAAATTTAAAGATGGGAAAGCGAGGTTCAGTCTTGAATATACCAGTGCCCTGGTTACCACAGTGCACATATCTTGTTAAAACTACAAATAGTGATAACTTGGTTCAGAATGAAGTAATTTGAATGAAATTTTCATTATACGTTATCTATTTTTGAGCTATTATAGCAAGAATTGTCAGTTCTTTATCTAAATCTTACATAATGTATCTTTAAAAAGAAATACTCACATGTCTGGAAAACACTTGTCTATAGAAGCAGTATCATTGATCAGAGACTGTGACAAATAAACTCCTTAATGAAAATACAGTAAATAAGGTGGAAGGTTCCCTGGTACAGTACAGGCAAGATCCAATCTGTTATACAGTTGGGGTTAAATAGTAGGGAGACAATACATTGTATCGATTTGACATTGCATATCACAATTATTGCCAAGCATTTATAACAAAATATTATTTTTATGTTTATTTTACTCAGTGAAATTGTTTTATTATGTATTTATCAAGTTTTATTTATTGTAGGTATTTAACAGTAGCTGATCAGTTATTGTGTATTTAACAAGTTTTATATATTGTAGGTTTTTAACCGTAGCCGATCAGTTATTATCAGGTAGAATATGTATAGCTAGCATGGCTCAAGGTGCGTCTAAAGCCTCGTTAACTATAGCCATGAGATATGCTGCCACCAGACTTACTGTTGGACCAAAAGGTAAACTTTACAGATTTTATCATGGTGACTCAGTTCTTCCCATACTAAACCAGAAGGCCAGAGAGGGATTTCTACAAGTACCTGATTAATGTTACAGTTAAACCATATTCCTGAAGCAATGGTCCGAGAAATCCCTCTCTGGCCATTGCTGGATTGACTTATGATAATTGAGCCTTTGAGGGAGTGTGTCTATCAGTACAGCAATATGACGGCCCTTTGTTTAATCTGGGGTCTTCCCTAAAACTTGGGACAGTGATTTAAGGTATTAAAATTGTTGAAAGTATTGTTTGTCTCCAAACAGTATTGTTTACATTGTAACCGTTGATGGCCTTGTTTGTCACTCTATTAGTTTTTCGGCAATATTCTGCTATTCACTGGTTGATCGTGCTTAAATATTTCGTGAGTCATAACGTAACGTTATGTAAACAATGTGGAGCTCAGTTTAAACCCGATTGACATTGTTACGCAGTAAGGCATTGGTTGTTAATCAGACTATTGACCAGTCATAATTTGGAACAGAAATCTCCTTTCATTAAGGCAGTGTTGAGTGGGATCTGGTCTAATCAAACAAAACAATGCAAGGAGTATGATCTTGTGTATGTATTCTTCTATTCATTTATCTTTGTTTTATTTTAAGGTAAATCTGACACACCTATCTTAGCCTATCAGTTACAACAAAGAGCTTTACTCCCACTTCTAGCTAATACATTTGCTATAAATTTTGGTTTGGATTATGTTAAAGATCGGTGGGCGTTCCAGAAAGAGGATGGATCAGAACATCCTGAGGTAATTCACTCGTTTTTTTATTGCTTGATGCTAGTAATAGTCAGAGCCTGATTCCACACTAGCTACTAGAATCCGAAAAACAAACAATGACAAATACAATTTTCAAAAACCGATGCTCAATATATATTACAGTGCAAGAATCTGTAACACATCAGTCTTTGTTATTCTATTTCCCGGTTGTACGTGACAAGTCGAGTAGGGTCGCATGTCCAACCTGATTGGTTTTCTCCGGGTCCTCCGGTTTCCTCCCACTCTTAAAGACCCTTACACCCAAGCGAATTATTGAAATAAAATTGAACCATATGTTAGTCACAAATATTAGTATTGATATGAAACTGTGACATCAAAGTTAACACCAGCCCTGTTGGCTTATTCACGCTTTAGTGTCGTGCAGGGGGATCACATGGCTAAGTGGGTAAGACGCTGGCTCGCTAGCCTGGAGGTCAGGTGTTCGATCCCTGCATTGGCCGAGAAAGTTCATCCAGATTTTCCGGCGTGGTTCCCCCGTGTCAGTGATGCAGGACGGAGGGCCTGACAAGGACAGCTGTCTAGTCCTTCGGATGAGACGAAAAACCGAGGTCCCGTGTATATATTGGAATGCACGTAAAAGATCCCCTGGCAGTTGGAATTCGATATAAGAGTAGGCGATAGTGTCCCTGCCCGGGCAAAATTTCCCTCATAGCACACTGTATGGCGTATGCCCGTCTTCATTAGCCCAGTATAGGAGCAGAACAGTAGGACGTTAAACCCCATTTCATTTAATGACATGCAATAAGTTATGTTTCGATTCATCATTTTCACCATTTATTTACTATTTTTTGCTCACTATTCTATGATTTACCAATAGTTTAATCATTCTGACAGGTTGTGACAATGTGTTGTGTTATGCCTGTATAACATTATTCTCTGATTAATAAAGTTAATTGTTTGACAGGTTGTGACAATGTGTTGTGTTATTAAACCTATAGCATCGTGGAATACAGAAGAAGTGGCGTCAATATCGAGAGAAAGATGTGGAGGTCAAGGTTATCTGTCGTGTAATAGGTTCGGTGTATTTATTGGTTTAGCTCATGCTGCCATGACAGCGGAGGGTGATAATAGGTACGTTATACCTTATATGGCCTACTCTTTATTTCCATTTTCAAGGGATCTTTAATGTGGTAGGGTTTTGGGTCGTCGAATGGTTTAAGTGGCTTGGTTTCGATTCCCCGGTTGTACCTGACAAGGTGTAGGGTCGTCTGTCCAACCTCGTGGGTTTTCTTCGGGTCCTCCGGTTTCCTCCCACTGCTAAAGACCCCCCTACGTGTAAGTGAATTATTGAAATAAAATTAAACCATATGTTAGTCCCAAAATGACCTAGTTTGTGTCGTGTGAACTCGCCCTAATCATCTCGTTTTCTTTACTTTAATTAAACATACATTATGCAAGAGCTAAATCTGCTTATTGCAGGTCGTTCTTTAGGCCTGAAATGTTATCTGAATTATTAATTAGACATTAATTAACTTATCCAGACCATAATCAACTCTCCATGTCATCGCTAGCCTGTGATATTTAGTGGATTAGGATCTGATCTGCTGCTCAATGCTCATAAATGATTAAATCAAGAAATAGATAATCAAGACTATGTTTTTTATCGTATAGACTTTAGTAATGATGATCGAGGCTTGGCTTAAAATTGAATCGCAAATATCTTGGTTCAGAGTAGAGCAATTTGACTGAAATTTCCAGCAAATTCCCTTTACAGTATCTATTTTTTAACTATTATAATGAGAACTTCCAGTTCTTTATCTATTCTCCCATAATGTATCTTTAAGGTAAAATTGCCAATTGTTTTTTTTTTACTATTTTAGTGTTTTGATGCAGAAAGTAGCTAAAGAGAGATTAACAGTGTTTAAACCCAAGAAACTTGAGGCACCGAAAGAAGATTTATCGAGTTTTCAATATTTACAATATTTACTGGAACAAAGAGAACAAGTTTTATTTGGTACACTCGGTAAAAAAATGATGTCAGCAGGAAAAGCTGGAATCTTTGATACATGGATGTTGAAGGTGAATAATCTCAGACAATCCTTACCAAAAATCTGGTGTGGGCTACTTGGTTAAATGACTTCTATACACATGAAAGTTTTGTTTATAGGAATGTATGATTATCCAGTATTATTTATGATTATCATTAACATATATCAGGGTTGTGTACTTGATAATTGAGTCTATAGATTGATTCAAATATTTATACAGGTTTACTTCCTGTCAACAGGATGAAATATTTCTATTTTTCAAGTGACGTGGTTTATCTCAGAACCAGAATATTTTTATCAATGGTCTTATTATTTATTGATTTCTAAAACAACTAGCTACAGTTTCTAGGGTAACTGGTGCAGGGCAGACGGTCTGAAAAGGACAGTTTCTAGTCGTTAATGAAAAGAACAAGGTCCTGTGTACACAATGGCTTGGAATTAGGATTAAGATTAGTTCACAGCACCACTGTCTGGGCAAAATTCCCCTCATATCACACTCTAGGACATAAGCCTGTCTTTGTTAGCACTGTTGGTGCAGACAAGTAGGATGTTAAACCCCTATTTTATTTGATGAAACTTCTGTGATATTGATGGAAGGTTAAATCATTGTTACTAGTTATTCAAAATATACTACAAGGTTCGCACACTCCTTGAAACTCCTGAAAACTCCTGGAAAATTGAAAATGTGATTTCCAGTACTGAAAAATCCTGGAAGGTTACTCCTTGAAACTCCTGCAAAATTAACATTTGTGGTTTCGCTATATATTTTAAGATATAAAACTGAACGTATTCATCAAATATTGCTTCAAAAGATCACGAGTTCGTCTCCGTAAAGGTTCTTCAAGCATAAAAAAAGACATAAGATGTATAATTCTATATAGGGACTCCTGGAATCTGTTAAAAAACTCCTGGAATTTTAAATGTTCTGATTTGTGCACACCCTGTCTAAGTAAAGATCTGAGGACTGTCAGTTCCATTAAACAACCAGTGAAAAAAAAATACTATAATCTTGACCCCAAATTAACCATGTAATGTGATGAGAAGATCTTAAACATTTTATTTGTTCCTATAAAAAGAATTTTTGTTAAATATAATGCACGACAGTCTAATTATTTAAATTTGATTATTTTAGGAGAGTGATTTAGTACAGGCAGCAGCACGATCATTTGGAGATCGTTTAATAAGTGATCAATTTGCAGCGAGATTATTAGAAGCTGATAGTTCTCTACAACCAGTATTAACACAGTTATATCATCTTTACCTTATAAACCTACTGGAGAATAACTTGGGTTGGTTCGTTACTTCAGGTGTTTTACCTGTAAAACTAGGAGCACAGGTATGTTAACACTAATTTAATATATGAGAGGGGGAGAGAGAGTATATGAGAGGGAGATAGTATGAAAGACAAATTATATTATTAATCAACAGGTGAATGAGGTAGATTTAAATAAAGAGAAACCCAAGGTCTCTCCCAATCCCCCATCCTCACAACTAAGGCCTGGAATGATGACTGGAGTTTAAAATTATACAATTATGGGCTTAAGTCAATATTATTCTGAACTGTTGTACAAGGAAGATTATTGAAGGTTTATTTGAGACTGGGGGGTTGGATGGCCGAATGTTTAGCATGTGCGCGTCGTATCATAAAGTCTGTCATTGTACTTGACCAGGAGTAGGGTCGTCTGGCCAACCTTTTGGGTTTTCCCCTGGTCCACCGGTTTCCTCCCACTGCTAAAGACCCCTACGCGCAAGCGATTTATTGAAATAGAATTGAACCATATGTTAATCCCAAAATGACCTGCTTTGTGTCGAGTGGACGTTAAACCCCTATTTCTCTCTCTATATATATATTATGAGAGACGACAGTGCATTTAAGAAACGCCTATGACAATGTAAAAACTTTTATATTTTGAGGCCTTAGGCTTCGGATACCGGTGTTGACTTAGAAAGTTCATCAGGATTTCCTGCCGTGGTTCCCTCTTGTCAGTGGTGCAGGACCAAGGGTCTAGCAAGGGAAAAAGTATAGTTGTTCGGATTGAATGAAAAAACAAGGAACAAGGTCCTGTGTACACATTGAAGTGCACGTAAAAAAAACCTTGGCAGTTGGAATTTGATATAAGAGTAGGCCGTAGCACCGCAGTCCAGGCAAAATTTCCCTTACAACACACTGTATGGTACATGCCTGTCTTCATTAGCCTAGTTGGAGCAGAACAGTAGGACGTTAAACCCTATTTAATTTTATTTCCTTAGGCTTCAGTCTGGCTATAGGTAGATCTGTCACTGGATGTAGCTAGTATTAAATATATGGCATATGTGCGTCTTCATTAGCTCAGTGGGGGGGGGGGGGTGGATGGCAGAATGGTTAGCAAGTGTGCACTATATCACAGTCTGTCATTGAGTCAACTGGCATGGTTTCGATTACCCGGTTGTACGTGACAAGGAGTAGGGTCGCCTAACTAACCTCGTGGGTTTTCTCCAGTTTCCTCCCACTGCTGAAGACCCCTACCCACAAGCAAATTATTAAAAACAAATTGAACTATTGTGTTAGTCCTGAAATGACTTAGTTTGTGTCGAGTGGACGTTAAACCCCATCTCTCTCTGTCTCTCTCATTACCTCAGTTGGAGCAGAACAATAGAATGTTAAACCACATTTTACCAAGCCTATAGGTAAATCTTGTCATTGGATGTAGCTGGTATTAAATACAAGAGTATTAATTTATTATATACTATTAAAAAAAAGTAGGGGATATTTGATTTTGGGGGCATAATACTAAAATATGCAAATGACTACGAAAAAAGTCACTATAGAACCTAACAGAAGAAACATTTCCAGTTACATGTGACGCCCAAACGCACCAATAGCTACCGCATGGAATGCAGGTGATGCTTGGGATCATCATGGGGGTCCAACCCAAGATTTGCACGACTCTGACTTTGAATGTTACAGTCATTGTGGCATTGAATTCCAGGGTGGAAACATCAGTTTAATTGTTTTAGTGACCAGAAAACAAATTTTGATATGCGTCGGCTTACCCAAAATGAAAGGTTACGTGCCCTTGGCATGCCACAGATCGGCACAACACAGGCGGTTGTGGCGCGGACGATGAATGTTTCTCAGTCTGTCATAAGTAGGCTATGGTCCAGATACCGTGATACACAATCTGTACAGGACAGACCAAGCTCAGGTCGACCAAGGACGACAACTCAAGCCCAGGATCGATTTATCCGTACCTTGGCCTTGATAAATCGTGTCATCACAGCAAATCAGATCAGCGCTCGTCTTCAAACAGACACTGGTGTGAGAGTGAGTGGCCAGACGATTCGGAATCGACTGCATAGGGGTCACCTTCGCGCCCGACGTCCTCGCGTGATCCCTTGTTTGAGAGATCATCACATTCAGGCAAGACGTCGTTGGTGTAGGGATCGTCAACACTGGGATAATCGACGCTGAAGCAATGTGATGTTTTCAGATGAGTCAAGGTTCACTGTTGATTTTTTGGACAGACGTAGGAGGGTGTGGCGTCGTCGAAACGAGCGCTTCCAAGACGTTAACGTCATCAGACATGATCGATTTGGGGGTGGTTCTGTTATGGTGTGGGGAGGCATCACTGTTGCTGGAAGAACGGCTTTACTTGTTGTTGCAGGGCGTGTTACAGGCCAGTACTACCGGGACAACATCTTGGCAGTCCATGTTGTGCCGTTCGCACGACGTCATGGCCGCCGTTTCATCTTCCAGGATGACAACGCAAGATGTCACAGGGCCAGGATCGTTACAGGTTACCTCCAACAACAGAACATCACCACGTTACCTTGGCCAGCACTGAGTCCCGACCTCTCCCCCATCGAGCATGTCTGGGACATGCTTGGACAGAGGTTACG